ATAAAATGAGTGTGAATTAATTACCTAGAAAGGCATGATCTGGTGGCTAGAATTCTATACCAGAAATGCATAAAACTAACAGATGATAGATGCTTACGCAACAAAGACAAAAAGCCAAATGTCCTTGATATTTCGACAATTAAATTATACAGAGTGGAAGATCTTTATAGACAGAAATGTTGCTCACAACCTGGACATAACATTGATACATGAACTTTTAAGAACACTTTTTTTAAAAAATAGGGACAGCTAGGTGATACAGTAGATAGAGTGCCGGGCCAGGAGTCAGGAAGATGTGAATTCAAATCCAGCCTCAGACACTTACTAGCTGTGTGACCCTGGACAAGTCAGTAAATCCTACTTGCCTCAGTTCCCTCATCTGTAAAATAAGCTGGAGAAGGAAATGGCAAACCACTCTAGTATCTTTGCCAAGAAAACCTCAAATAAGGTCACAAAGAGTCAGACACGACTCAACAGCAACAACAAAATTTTGGATAGATATTGCCATGCTCTCAATCACCAGACTATATGGAAGGAAAAGTTTCTAGGTGGTGCAGTGGATAGAACAGTGGAGTTGGAGTCAAGAAGACCTGAATTAGAATCCTGCCTCAGGTACTTACTAGCTATGTGACCTACTTTGAGGTTTCATCTGCGTAGTTGAATTTTCTCTATCACTTTCTTACAGCTAGCCAATTTTAAAAACACAATAATTCAAGCCCTGATTTGAAATGTTTGCTGATTTCTGAGGTGTAAGGGCTCACATTGAAAATTTAACCATCTGCTCTCATAGACCAGCATGAGCTGACTCCCACTGGTTGTAATTGTAAAGAAATTTTTGTTGAAATCAATCCTAAATTGGTGTCTTGGCAATTTCCACATCCTGTTTCTAGTTCTGCCCTCTGGAACCAGACTGAACAATTTTAATCTTTCTTCCCCTTCACAGTCCTTCAAATACTTGAAGATAGCTAGTACGTCTCCTGAGGCTTCTTTCTCCAGATTAAACATTCCTCTTCCTATATCAGTCCCATACATCATGCACTGGAGACCCTTTACCATTATGACTACTCTCTTCTGGATGCCAAATATTTAAAAAAAATCAAAAAATGATAAATACAACAGGAGTTTGCCTAGAGGCAACTTAATAGTATACTAATAGACCACTGGATTTGAAGTCAGGAAGATCTGAATTCAAAGCCTATTTCAGACATTTAATAGCTGTGTGACCCTGAGCAAGTCATTTCAATGTGATCTGCCTCCGTTTCTTTGTCTATAAAATGATGATAATAATAGCACCTCCCTACCAGGGTTGTTGTGAGAATCAAATGAGATGTAATATGTAAAGTGCTTTGCCAACCTTAAAGTGATACATAAGTGCTGACTATTAGAATTGTTAGCTATTGGAATCACGACCGCAGTATTCATAGCTCACATAAGAGGGTGCTGGATGGTTTCTAAAGGGCCTTCTTCGAAATAAAGGCAGGTGATATTGTCGACATTTTACAGCTAAGGAAACTGAGGCTTAGAGAGAAGTCTTTTGGTTTGCCCATTTTCACATGATTAGTTAACTGCAGACGGTGGCTAGAAGCCAGCTCTTCTGACCTCCATCTAGCTCTTTTCTCTTTCCCGTATGCCACACCAACTCTCTCATTAACTTTCTCTGGAGGAAGTGATGGGTCTGTAGCTTATAGACAGGGGTTAATAGGCAGCTGGCCCTCTTATCTCCCATTTCATTTCCCACCTGAAGGCAGCTTGGTGACATGATGGGAATTTGATGGCCCAGGCAGCAAATGACCAAATTGAATTACTTTGTGGGAGTATTTCTCCAGGGGATGTGCTGGGAGGAAGAGATGCTAGGCTGCTCGGTGTCAGAGCAGGAAGGCTTAACTTAGCCTGGGCAGCCCCCGGCATGAGCCTGGGGGACCTGAAGCAAGTGATAGCCAGCTCAGCTAGCTCAGCTCTGATCAGACCATAGGAAAAGAGTTTAGCAGAGAAGTGGCATGGTTGTAATTAGCCTCCCTACATCCGGATGACGGATTTGCTACAGTTATTTCTCCATGATGTCAGCCTGGGAGCCGGATCTGCTGATTGAACCTGCCAGTCTCCGAGCTGTATCTCCCTGGACACCAATGACAGTTAGGGTAATTAACTTGGACTCCTGAGGGGTCAGGAAGGTCAAGAGGCATGGCAGCTGGGGCTCTGCCCTACACATTGGCCTCCCCAAGAGACCCAAGCCTCAGATCTGTGTCCTCATCATATCCAGACAGCTCTCAGTTTTCATCAAAGAAGGGTGTTAACTGAGGCTCGGTGGACTTTCTTTTCTGGTCTGTGCCAGCCACTTTTCTGTTCATGACCTTAAGGTGTCCTTGGGTTGTTAGTAGCTTTCCAGTATGACTAAGAGGAACATCTGGCCTTCACATTCCTGTGTATGACATCTGGCTGCAGCTAGGGTTCAATTCAATTCAATAAACATTTATTAAGCAACTGCTGTGTACCAGGCTCTTTGCTAAGTGCTGGGAATTAAAAAAAAAGTCAAAAGACAGTCTCTGTCCTCAAGGAGCTTACAATCTAATGGAGAAGATAACAGGCAGACAAATATATACAAAGCAAGCTATATACAGGATAAATAGGAAATAATTATGAGAGAGAAGATATTTGAATTAAGAAAAGTCAGCACTTAATAAATACTTTTGGTTGGCTGACTTAGTCTCTTTGAGACTCAATTTCTTAATCTGTAAAATGAGAGGAGTAGACTAGATGGTGGCCTCTGGAGTTTCTTCAGGTTCTAGATCAATGAGCCTATTATCCCCTACGTTTCTCACAGTAAGGTTCCTTCAAGCTCTAGATTGATGAGCCTATTATCCTATAAGCCTCTTGCAGTACCATGATAGGGATCCTTCAAGCTCTAGATCAATGAGTCTATTATCCTAAAAGCCTCTTGTGATAGCAGGATGTTTTTGATCCTGTGGAATCATATCAAAGCCCCTTCCTTCCCTGCCTCATTTTGATTTGATTCAATAATTCAACACTGGTTAAGCATCCACTGTGTACTGAGTCCACTGAGCTAGTCTCTGGGGACATAAATTAAAAAGGGAATCTTTCCTTACTCTCAAGAGCTTGTTTTCTACTGGGGAGACACAGCATAAATACAGATGAGTATAATCTGGCAGGGGGAAGAATGCATCTGGTAGTGTGGGGGGTAGAAGGTAAAAATGGGTGAGCAGGAGAACTAGTTGCGGTGATGTTCCCAGCTCCTCCCTAGTGGAATGGCTTTCTCTCTTGTTAACACCCCTCCACCAGAACCTACAGAGTTTGAATCTCCCATGAATGAAACCGAGGAAAAGGTAGAGGGGGAGGGAAAAATGGGCCTTCTTTACCTAGCTGCTTGGCTCAGGCTCTTTTGCCTAAAGGGAACTGGGTCTGTGTGTTTTCTGCTTTGGGAGGTTATATAACTATAAATCAATAAAATCTCTTTTGTTCATCTTGAGCCTCCAGCTGGTGTTTTCAGCAATTATGAGAGACTACCTTTGTTTTTCTGTCAAAAGTATTTCGGTATAAAATCTTTGATACACATCACTATCCATTGTCCTCCTTCTCAGCTTTATTTAACTCTCAGGAACACACACACACACACACATACACACATACGATCAGTGTCATTAAAATGAGTGACCATGAGATGATAGATAGATAGATAGATAGATAGATAGATAGATAGATAGATAGATAGATAGATGATAGACAGATAGACAGACAGACAGGTAGGTATGTAGGTAGGTAGAACCTTTATTAAGCACATACTGTGTACCAGGTACTGTGCCAAATGCTAGGAATACAAATACAAGCAAGTAAAGTATTTCCTCCCTCAAGAAGTTTCCATTCTAATGGGGGAAGGCAACACATAAAGGAGAGCTGGAGGTGGGGTAGTATGCATTATGTTACAAGGCTCCTGGACAGTGGTGTGGAGGTCTGGTTGTAGGTAAGGTGAGACTAAAGCTTCCCTACCAGAGCCTGGCATCCCAAGAGTAGAGTCCAAGGCTCCAGTTGGGGAGGGAGGGAGGGAAATAGGAATGATAGAAGGATTACAAACAGTGTAGTGTGGAGGTGGCTGGGAAACCAATTTAGAGAAACCAGTTTCTTTAAATTAAAAAAAAAACAAAACAAAAACAAATGGGAAAACAGCAAAACAAACAAGGTTGGGGGTGCAGTCTGTGTTCTCTTAGAAAAGCATCAGTCAACATGAAGCAAAGGCTACAAGAGTGCAGATTGCTACCAGTTTGCTTCTCAGCCACAGGGGTGGCTCTGGCCATTTGGCATCTGCGTCAGAGTTCAGTTACCATCTTTTTCCTTTTTCCTCTACATTCTCTCTCCTGCCAGTTTGCTTATTGGTCACCAGCAGTGGCAGTGGCATATGGGGCAATATCTCCCTTTCACATCTCTCATTCTCCTTCACTTTGTGAAGTCTTCCATCTTCTCTTCTTTCACCTCCTTTGAAAATTGGAAAGGGACCAAGTCCTGCTGGGGCTCAGAAGGTGAACATTGGACACTGGTCATATCCCACCGAAGTAACATAGAGTGGGAAGTTCAAGGAGCAAAGGAGAGACCCAGGCATTGTTCTCTTGGAGTATTTAAGGAGGGAAAGAACATGGATAGCTGGGGTAGGGGAGATCGAGGCTTTCCTGGGAAGTAACACCTAAGCAGAGCCTTGAAGGAAGATAAGAATTCTAAAAGGCAGAGATGAGGACGAAAGGAATTTCGGGGGCGGGGACAGCCTTGAGAATGTGTGGAGGTGGGAAATGATAGGTATAGTTCCAAGAAGAGTCTAATTCAGTTGGAATTTTGAGGACATGAAGGGGATTAATGTGAAATAAGGTTGGAGAGGTAGGTTAGAGCCAGACTATGGAAGGACTCAAATGCCAGGCTTACAAGCTTTTATTTTATCTTAGAGGCAAGTGGGAATAACTGAAAGTTTGTGAGCAGAATAGTGATTTGATCAGACCTGGGACTTTGGAAGATGATTTTGACACCTCTGGTGTGGAGGACAGAGGGGAGAGGCTGAGGCAAAGGCTTTCCTATCAGAAAGTGGTACTTGAGTTGAGTATTGAAACAAAATAGGACAGAGGTGTGGAAGGAGCGCTTTCCAGGTATGGAGGACCAAGTGTGGAGGCAGGAGATGTCATGTCTCGTGGGAGATAGAGCAGGAAGGCCATAGACTGAAGGGAAATAAGGTGAGTAATCCCTTACAGATGAGGAAACTGAGGCAGACAGAGGTTAAGTGGCTTGCCCAGGGTCACACAGCTAGTAATGGTCTAGACAAGAAGTGATGGTGCCTCAATTCCTGTGGTGGTTGTGGGAGTAGAAAGAAAGGAGACATAGAAGAAATACTGTGAATCTCTGCGTAAGGCCCCTGTCTTCTACCTGAGACCTTTTCTGATTCCCCCAGCTACTAGTGCCCTCCCCATCATTCTCATAATCATCATCATCAACATCACCATCATCATCATCATCATCATCATCATCACCACCATCACCACCATAGTCATCATCATCATCACCATCATCACCATCATCATAATCATCATCATCAACATCACCATCATCATCATCATCATCATCACCACCATCACCACCATCACCACCATAGTCATCATCAATCATGAGTTAACGTGTATAGCACCTACTATGTGTGAGTCACCACGTTAAGCACTTTACAATTGTTACTTCATTTGATCCTCACAACAATCCTAGTAGGGAGGTGCTATTGTTATTCCCATTTTACAGATGAGGAAACTGAGGCAGGCAGAGGTTAAGTGACTTGCCCAGGGTCTCACAGTTAGTAAGTATGTGAGGTAGAATTTGAACTCAGGTCTTCCTGACTCTAGGCCCAGTGCCCTATCCATTGCTCCACCTAGCTGCCTGAAAAAACAATTAACTTGCATTGATTCTGTATATACTTATCTGTGTACATGTGGCACATGTTGATTTCCACAATAGAATGCTCCTTGAGGACAGGTACTGTTCCACTTTTTTAAAATCTTTGTATCCTCATCTCCCTGAAGCAGCCAGGTGGTGCAGTGGATAGAGCACTGGGCTTGGAATCAGGAAGACTCATCTTCCTGAGCTCAAATCCAGTCTCAGACACTTACTAGCTGTGTGACCCTGGGCAAGTCACTTCACCCTGTTGGCCTCAGTTTCCTCATCTGGGGAAGAAAATGGCAAACCACTCCAGCATCTTTGCCAAGAAAACCCCAAATGGGGTCATGAGGAGTGGGAGAGAACTGAAAAAATGGCTAAACAACAACAAAAACCCCCATCTCCTAGGACAAAGCTTACCACCTAATAGATGCATGATGATTGCATGATTAACTTATGCTAAGATCATAGCATTAGAACTGAAGGGGATCTTAAAGGCCAACTAGTCCAACTCACTTTACAAATGAGGAAACTGAGGCCCAAGAAGTGAAATGATATGGCCAAGATCCCACAAGTAGCAAACAGCAGAGCCTGGAATCATATGCCAATCCTCCTATTCCAACTATAGCACTCACACTGGCTTGTTTCTTTTTCAGGGATTAAAACCGATGGACTCCAATGGCTTGGCTGATCCCTATGTCAAGCTGCACCTTCTGCCTGGTGCCAGCAAGGTAACATATTGCCGGGGGCCTCTTTACATCTCCCCAGCAGATGGGCCCTGGAAGCAACCCAAGGCTACACTACTAGAAAGTCTGAAAATAGCTCCCTTGTTCACAGAAATAATTCGATAGGGCGAGGCGGTGAAGCCCCCTTGAGGGAGAGAGAGTGAACCAAGCTTCACCCTTTCCAAAAACAGAGACTAGGCCACCTGGCCTGGCTCTCCATCTAGAAACATGACCCTATTGGAGAAACTGGGAGAAATGGGGAAGAAAGGAGGAAGGTTGGGTCAAGGGTGGGTCCTTGTTTCCTATACATATGATTTGACTGGGAAAATCGAGCTGTATTAAGCTAGTTATCTCTCTAGCAAACACCGACCTAACAACCTTGCAAAGAGTCTTCTAAAAGCTGCCAGCTGCCTATGGTGCCCTTAGTGAGACAGCCCTCATATTGTGACTAGGAGACTTAGGTTTGAATCCCACCTTTGACTCTTCATAGAATCATAGAAACACAAAACCTCAGAGTCAGAAGGGATCTAGTCCCCAAGCCAGAGAAGTGCAATGAAAAAAAAAAAAAGCAAAGCAATGGTTCTCAAGTCTGAGGCTCTGGATTTGAATATCTCCCCTGTGTGGCCATAGGCTAGTTTCTTCACTTCCCTGGGCCTCAGTTTCCTCATTTGTAAAATAAAGGAGTTGGACTAGATGGTTTCTCAGGTCCCTTCCAGTCCTCGATAGAAGCTCCTATGAATTTCTTTGCTTGAAGACCTCCACTGAGGAGGAACCCATTCTCTCCTAAGGCAGCCTAGCTGCTAAGAAGTGGCTCTTTGCACATCCCACCCACCGCTGCTAGCACTGGGGCCAGGAGGAACTAAGCTAAGAGCTCTCATATGGGACAATCCTTCAAATATTTGAAGATAATTATCATGTAGGGGAGGCATCATGATTCAGCAGAAAGATATCTGCTTCTGTATGCATAGAGCCTGGGTTCAAATCCCACCTCTGATGCCCATGACTCATGTGACCTTGGGTGAGTCACTTAATTCTATCAGCCTCAATTTCTTCATCTGCAAAGTGAGGAGGTTGGACTATATGACCAGGTCCTTTTCAGCTCTACCTCCATGACCTCTTCTAAGTCCTGCCTTCTACAGACTAAACATCCCTAGATCTTTCAACCCACTCCACATACAATAACTTACAGGCCTTCACTATCTCCTCTGGATGCCCTCCAGAACGTCAATGTCCTCTCAAAAGGATGACACACCAAACTGAACTCTCCGTATGACCATCGTCAAATTGTTTCACTTCCCTGAGCCTCAGTTTCCTCATCTGTAAAATAGGGATGTCAACCTTTGCACTACCTACCTCCTTGGAGAGGTGTAAATTTAGAGCCATCTCCACTGCAAACGTTCATATGGACTATTTGTGCCTGACCTGTGGTAGAGTATTCCGAGCTCACATTGGCCTGATCAATCAGTCGGACACATTGTACCTCAACCCCAACATAGTGATGTCATTTTGGTCCTCTTCAAGAACCAACCATCCAACCAAACAATCTGCCTCCCAGGGCTCTTGAAGTGGAACTGCCTTCTATACTTTAAAGTGCTCTAAAAAAGACTGAGTTGTTATTGTTGGAAGATATTAGATTAATTTCTTAAGGTCCCCTTGAACTCCAACCCTCCTTTTTCAGAGGAGAAAACTGAGGCTTATGGTTGTAAAAATCATTTGCCTGTGATCATAGGAAAAGGTGTAGACAAAATTAGTGCCAGTACCCAGCATTGCAGACATCCTATCCAGGGTTCTATCCTTGGGAGGATGGGTTGGGTGAGTGGGGAACAGAATTTGAGAAGATATTGGGAGCATCCTGGAGCCTCATCCGGAGAACTGCCAGAAGGGGTAGGTTCCATGGTCTGACTCCACACTGAGTTGAATGCCCACATTTCCCTCTTTGATCATAGTCCAATAAGTTACGGACAAAAACTCTGAGGAATACACGAAATCCCATCTGGAATGAAACCCTTGTCTATCATGGCATCACTGATGAGGACATGCAAAGAAAGACCCTGAGGTAGGTGGGGAAAGAAGAGGAAGATGCGGGGGAGGAGAGGACGACTTGAATTGGGATCATTTGGGATCAGGGGCAGGGCTGGGCTGAGGTCTTCTTAGGCCAGATGGAGTCCGTCACCCAAGTCTGAAATGTGAGTGCATTCCAGATTCTTCCCTCCCCCTCACTCCCCATATCCAATCAGTTGCTGAGTCTTGTTGATTCTACCTGCCCCCCAACCACATCTCTTGCATCTCTTCCCCTTCCCCCTCCACACATAGCTATCACCCTATCACGTCTTGTCTGGACTATTGCAATAACCTGGTCTCCCTGCTTCCATTCTCTCCCTCACCCTCCAGTCCATCTTCCACAGAACTGCCAAAATCATCTTTTTAATGCATATCACTCTCTCTTGCTCAAGACTCTTCTATGGCTCCCTATTCCCCCTGAATAAAATACAGCCTGGCATTGGAAGCCCTCCAATGTCTGAATCAAGTCTATATTCCTAAATTTATTTCATACTCCTCTTTATGTATTATGCGAAATGAATAGAGAGCTGGTTTCAGGGTGAAGAAGACCTGGATTCAGGTCTGGTACATACTGTCTGTTATGACTCTTATGACATATAAAAAAGTTTGAGAGATGTAATTTCTGGGTAATTAATCATTTTATTAATTATAATGAATAATTCATAAAAAAGATGGTATATGGCCATCTTTCATAAACCAAAGATAGGACATAATAGGCCTCTCAATGCATATATACCCTTGGAAGAGTGTTCCTGATAGGCAGCAAAAAACTCTGATTAGTTGACAATTAATAAGAGAATGAATATTATAATGAGAGGTGGGCTTATTCTAATGAGGGGCATGACTCTGATCATTCAGTCTCAGACAAAGAGACTTATCTCTGCCCAGACTACCCCTTTTAGGACAATCTAGGCAAAAGGGGTAGTCCACTTCCACTCAGACCTGTATGACTAAAACATAATGGGTTGGAATTCACCTGGATCAAAATCTATTTACCTCTTGAACAGATCTCAACTTTCCCAGTTGAGATTTCATCTTATTATTAGCCCTGAGCTTCAGAGGCTGGCTGAATGACCTACGGGGGCTAATTTCTTAATGAGGAAGTAGAAAAAAAAAAAAAGCTTAGTCCTAATTCAGGTGCTCCTGACTCCAGGGCCAGTGTTCTATCCATTGCACCACCTTAATACAGTTTTAAAAATTGAATTATTGAGCTGGGCATGGTGGCACACGCCTATCGTCCCTGCTACTGGGGAGAATGAGGCCGGTGGATCACTTGAGCTCAGGAGTTCTGAGCTGCAGTGAGGCTGTGGCCAATTAGATGTTCTCATTCAATCTGGCACCAATGTGGCAAGCCTCCTGGAGCAGGGGGCCACAAGGCTACATAAGGAGGAGCAAACCGGTCTAACTTAAAAAAAGAGCAGCTCAAAGCTTGTGTGCGAAGTGAGGACGATCCCATGTGTGGCTGCTGCCCTTCCAGCCTGGGCAGAATATAGAAACCCAGCCTCAACTTTTACAAAATTAATTATTAATTAAATTGAATTATTGAATTGCCCACAGTCACATAGAGAGTGACTAACTAGTTTAGGATTTTAACCACCCTTTATTGTCTCTGTCCAATCTAGCCAGTGCCAGGGGAAGTGGAGAGCATTGTAGAAAGTGTGACGGATTTGGAATCAGAACACTCTGGTTCAAATCTTGGCACTGCTACCTACTAGTGATAGGATTTGAAGCAAGTCTCTTCAACTTTCCAGGCCTCAGTTTTCTCTTCTACAAAATGAAAGGAGTTGGACTAGTTCAGTGATGTCAACCCCAAATAAAAACAGGAGCCGCTAAACTATACATAAGGTTCCCTGCTAGAGACATATTGACTCAGAAAGCCACATATTAACATTATCTATATTCTATTATATTTTATATATTGTTTATTTGTTTTGTTATTATTGTTTACTTTTATTTATTTTAGTTTCATTACTTTATTGGTAGTTTTGTTTATTTTGTTGTTTTATTTATCTGTTTGTTTGTTTATACTTTAATCTTGTTCTGCCACAGTTGGGCCAGCTTCCTCTTTGACACCTTTGGACTAAATGACTTTAACCATCTCCTCCAACTCTATGTCTATAACCCCATGATATTTTTCTACCTATCAAGGAAGAACTGAGTTCAAATTCCACCTCTGACACATACTCCCAGTATGATCTGGGGCAAGTCACTTGACCTCTTAATTGTGTAGGCACCTTCAGGCAGAGAAGGTGCCCATCTGCATTTTGTGGAGGGAGTTTCCTCACAAGAGAGTTCCCTGTAATAATGAAATCAAAAGTCCAGTCCCAATTCCTATCCTTATCTTTTTTCAAGTGAATACCAAGTAGAATGGTGGAAAGAGTATCGACTGGGAATCTGGAGACCGTTCACTAGCTGTGTGATTTTGAGCTAATCACTTCCCCTCTGGGGGCCTCAGTTTCCTCATCTGTAAAATGAGGACAATAATGCCTGTCCTTTCACCTCATAGGGTGGTTGTGAGCATTAAATGCTATGATTTATGTAAAGTGCTTTGTGACAAGAAAGCTTTATGTAAATGTCAGCTGTTATTATTTACTAGACTGTCAGCACCTTGAGGGCAGGCATTGTACCTTATTTCATGTTTCTTTCTTGAGCTCGCAGCACAGAGCACTGAACAGAACATGCTTAATTAATTTCTGTGCAATAGAATCTATTAGATGATCTCTATTGTTATCTTTTACAATTGTCATTATCATTCTTTTCTCAGGATTTCTGTCTGTGATGAAGACAAGTTTGGCCATAATGAGTTCATTGGGGAAACTCGATTTTCTCTGAAGAAACTGAAGCCTAATCAGAAGAAGAATTTCAACATCTGCCTGGAGCGGGTCATCCCTGTGAGCTAATTAGTTCAGTTCAATTCAACAAACGTTGATTGCATGCTTACCATTTCTCTTCTCCCTCCTACATTGTGCTGGGCCCTGGGGATAGAGTCAAAAAGGAAACAGTCTCTGCCTTCAAGGAGCTTATATTCTATAAAAGGAAGCAGTGTGTTTGCAGATAAGTAAAAATGAAGTAATTTCAGGAAGGGGAGTACTAACCATATGAAGGAGGAATTGAAATTGAGCCTTGAAAGGAACTTGAAGGTGCTGACAGGTGGTGATGCGTATAAGCATAGGAAACAGCCTATGCAAAGGTGTCGAGGTGGAAGATAGAGGACTATACACACACACACATATACATACATATGTATACACACACATATATGTACATACACACTCATATATATACCCCTTATATATGTTATATCGAAACATACACACATATGTGTATATATATATATATATATACACATATGTATGTGTGTAAAATAACAGAAGGTACAAAAGGCTGCAATTTGGGAGGGGCAGAGTGAAGACATGGTCATCCATCAAACACAACCCTAGTAGGAGGTTTAAGGAATTGTTATAATAACAATGGCAGTTGGGTAGCCTAGTGGATAGAACGCTGGACTTGGAGTCACAACGACCTGAGTTCAAATCCTGCCTCAGACACTTATTAGCTGTGTGACTCTGGGTAAGTCACAACCTCTGCCTGCCTCAGTTTCTTCATCTGTAAAATGGGGATAATAATAGCACTGCCTTCCCAGGGTTGTTGTGAGGATCAAATGAGGTAATATTCGTAAGCACTTTGCAAAATTGAAAATGCTATGTAAATGCTAGCTGTTATTATTATTATTATTGCTAATAATAGTAACAGTAATTTTGGACTAGACTTGTAATTTCATTGGGAGGTCCCAGATGAGGAAAGCCCTGCCCCTACTCCAATGCAGGTGGACTCTTTCTGCGCAACTTATAGTCTTAATAACCTAGAACTGAGCACTGAGAAGTGAACTGCCTATGATGTACTGGGCATTGGGTTGAGCATTTCAAAGACATAAATGTAACAGTCAGTCCTTAAGGAGATTACAGTCTATTTCATACACCTTTACTTCAAAAGATCTTGACAGTTTACCAAGCACTTTGTTGACCATGATCATTATATATGATGCCTTCAAGAAAAGTGTGGGTGACCATTGGTTGAAGCTGTTGATGGTGGGAGTTTTGGTCATGTAGAGACTAAGGTCCCTTTCAATTCTGTCTGACATTTCATGATTCTAGTGGGAATTATAGCTAGCATTTATATAACACTTTAAGGTTTTCAAAGAGTTCACAAATATTATTTCATTTGATCATCATAGCAAACCTGGGTATTGCTATTATTATCATACTCATTTTATAAATGAAGATACTGGGGATTCTCAGCTTAAGTGTCTTGGCCAGGGTCACATACTAGCAAGTGTTTGAGATAGGATTCAAACTCAGGTCTTTTCAATTCCAAATCCAGTGGTTTATCTACCACCTAGATGCCTGATTATGTTATGCTGTGATTTCATTTGGTCCTCACAATAGCCCTCAGGAAATAGGCAAGACAAGGGTTTGTTTCCCCCATTTTACAGATTAAAAAAGCTTGAGAGTTCAAGTGGTAAAATGTCCTTCCCTAAGTCACACACCTAGCAAGAGGCAGAGGCAGGATTTGAACCCAGTTCTCTTGTGACTTGAGATCCTGCTTTCTTGAATTAGAATTCTTTTAATTCTTCTTGCAGAATTCTCAACAGTGGACCAGGGAGAATTTGCATAGTAAAATGAGATTGTGCTAAGGGTCAAATGAGCAAATGAGGATCAGAAAAGCTCAGAAGAAATCTGGGAAGATTTCATTCAGTCAGTCAGTTGGTCAATCAACAAGTGTTTATTAAATACTTTCACTAAATATTTTCTGAGCACTTACAATGTTCAGGGCTCTGCTGCAGGAGACACAAAGATATGCCAAACGTGGTCCCTTCCCTCAAGGTGCCTACAGCTCACAGGAGCATTAGTCAACTAACAAACATTTACTAAGTACCTACTATGTGCAGAGAATTGTGCTCAGAGGTAGGGGAGCTACAAAGCTTAGCTAAGACACAGTCCCTGGTACCTTACTGTTTAATAATTAATACTAACTAAATCTATTATATATCATACATATTAATTAAAATTAATAATTTAATAATTAAAACTTACTGTTTAATGGAAGGGTAAGAAACCAACCCAAATAATAAAGATGATGATTGATGATAATAATATCATAGGTTTAGAGCTGGAAGGGACCTCAGAGACCATCGAATTCAACTCCCTTATTTTACAACTTAGGAAACTGAGGCCCAGACAGGCAAAGGGACATGCCCAAGGTCAAACAGGAAGTGACCACAGCAGATTTCCAATTCCAACCTGAGAGTGTAAAGCCAGTAGTCTTTCCACTATAGCACAAGCATATGGTGATTTCAGATTTGCAAAGCATTTTATGCAAGTATTTCATTTGATACTCACCTTAGTTCTTTGAGCTGGTGGAGGCATTGTTATTCCCCATTTTCAAGGTGAGGAAACTGAGGCATAGAGCTAGGCTGAGGGACTGGCCCAGAGTCACACAGTTGGCAAATATCAGAGGCAGGATTTCATCCCACCTCTCTCTGGACTCCAAGTCTATCTCTCTTTCTACCATGTCATAGGGACGTAGACCATGAGACAGGTACCAGCAAAATGCTCTCTAGTCTCTATTGAACAAGGCAGGCCTTGAAGGAAAGGTAGGATCTAGGAGGGGACAAAAGAGAGATGATAGGGAGTTTCCAGGAGGGAGTGAATGGTGGTCGAAAAGGCATGAAGGTGGGGAAGAATAAACAAAGCACTGGGGACAGATGTAAGAGGGCAATGACAAATTTCTGGTGGTGCCTCCTTAATCCCAGCCTCTTTCTCCTCTTGGGAGAATTGTGGAATGCCAAGAGGAACTTTAGAGAACATTCAGAGTTGTGAAGAGCCTTAGACCGTGGAGTGTCAGAGCTGGGGGGCGGGTGGGCTTTAGAACAGGAAATGTCAGTGCTGGAAGGACCTTAGAACAGGGAATGTCAGGGGCCTTAGAACAAGGAATGTCAGGGCTGGAAGGACCTTAGAACAGACAGTGTCAAAGCTGGGAGGGGCCTTAGAACAGGGGGTGTCAGAGCTGGGAAGGGCCCTAGAACAGGGAATGTCAGGGCTGGGAGGGGTCTTAGAACAGGGAATGTTTGAGCTCAACATAGAATGTAAGATCCTTGAGGGTAAGGACTAATTTGCTTTTGTCTTTGTATCCCTAGTGCCTAGCACACAGTAAATATTTAATGAAAGTTAGCTGAATTCTTGAGTTGGATAGGAGACCATATCTTCCAAATTCATCATTTGACAGATGAGGAAACCGAGGCCCAGAGAGAGGAAATAGCCTGTCCAAAGCCACCTAGTATGAGTGGCTGCATGTAGGCTGGAACCCCTCCCCCTCCTAGGGTGATGCTGTTTCTTCCCCACCTCCCCCCTCCACTTTACAGCTGGCAGCGTATCCCTTTTCAGGAAGCAGGTATTGGGGGCGGGGTGTCTCTGGAGCAGCAGCATCCCACCATATGGTCCACCAGAGGAAGATTATCTTCATGCTCCACAATGTTTTTAAAATACAGGTGAACAGAATGAGACACAACCAGGACCATCACAGCAGGCAATAACATTAAATACCAGAGTCCTCAAAGCTGTCTTCTCCACAAGCCCTGGGGAATTACATGTTCCCATGTGGGTCTTCACAGGATAATTAGCAGTTTGCTGTTTCTTCCCAGCCTAATTATATTCTCTTAATCAGAGGAATCACTGTGATAGGAGCCCCACTCTGACCAGTTCTTCCTGCTTTAGAAAGAAAGCAAGGGCAGGGGGCAGGGGTGAGGTTGTCCCATTCTTCAGGAAGCCCCAGTAGCTGGAGCAATTGCTCCCCCAGATTCCCGTTGAATCTTATCTGTACTGAGGAATACTTGCTTCGCTTAGCAAACTCCCAACTGTCTTGATCACCTACTAAAAGACGACCATTGGTCAGGTCAGGTCAGTCCCAAATGGACTTCTCTTCCATAGAGGCTAGAGGCAGCATGGTGCAGTGGCTAGCACCCTGGACTTGACATCAGGAAGTCTAGGATTCAGATCCCTGGCTCTGGGTAAATCATTTCACCTCTATGACACTCAGTTAAATGGTCCATCAGTAAAATGGAAATGATAATACCTACAGTCCCTACCTCACAGGATTGATCAGAGATCTAGGGCTGGGAGGGATATTAGGGGCCATCTAATACAACCTCCTTATTTGACAGATGAGGAAACTGAGGGAGGAAGTGACTTGTCATACAGAGAGAAAATGGCAGAATCAGGATTTGAACTCAGGTTCCTCTGACTCCAAATCCAGTTCTTTTTTCACCATACAACATTGTTGTGACAATCATATCAGAAAATACATACGTGAAGGGCTTGATAAATCTTAAAGAACTATATAAATGTTATTTTTTACTATTGTTGTTATAATAGAAGTTCCATGTTCTTGGAGGGGGAAGGTTGGAACCCACAAAAATACCTTGGAATTTACCATGAGAGGAACTGATCTCTCAGAATTGACCCAAACTGAAACATTGACCTCACAGTGAGACCCCTCACCTTACTCTCAGATGTCCCACCCCACCCTGGGGCCTTGGATGCTTACAGAGGATCTGTCTGATAATCAAACAATCCAATCCAAGAAACATATATTAAGTGCCTACCATATGCCAGGCACTGTGCTTAGTGTTAGGGATACCATGAATTTTTTTTTAAAAGACAGTCCCTGCCCTCAAGGAGTTTGCAGTCTAATGGGGGGAAACAACATACAAAAGGGTTGTGTTGAGGGATGGAGAGGAGAACAAGGAGTACTTGGCCCAGGGGCATCTTGTTCCAAGGAGTTAAAACCAGGCAAAGCAATAGATGCAGGGTGGAATGAACCAAAAGGTCCAGCCCCCTATAAAGGAAGGCATTGGGAGGAGTTTGGGTCAGAGAAAGCTGGGGTTTTATTAGACCATGTAAAGGGAGCCAAGACTCACATTTATACTTAGGTAAAGGAGTTGGTCTTATCAATCCCAGAAAAGGGTTCACATTCCTCCTCCACAGCTGACTAGAATGGACTTTCCAGCTGCTGAATGGGGTAGCTCTGCTGGTAAATGCCATGACTGATGGGGAGGGAGAGGAGGGAGAGAAATTATTCTTAGTCCATGAGTCTCCTCCACAGGCAAAGAAATGCCTTGTCCTAAACAGCTGCTCAATGACTTTTTATTTAAGCCCAAGGGGCGTAATTAAATCTCTCAGGCAGTGACTAGTTGTGTCCTATATGGTGGCGATTACCTTCATCCAATGGCCAGGGCCAAAAAGTTTCTCAGAGTGATGAAGGAATTTCTTTCTACCTTGTTATAAGGTTGTAGGAAAACTCCTTAAGAGAGATAGGATCACTATCATTAAAAAAAATGCATTGGAAGTACGATTGGCTAAAGTTATACATTCAGCCAGAGGCAAAGCCCTGGCTTTATCCAACCTCACAGTCCACCATTAAAGTCAATCAATATCACTCAACAAGCATTTACTAAGTATATATTATGTGCTCAGTGCCGGAGATACAGAAAAAAAGGCAAAGACAATGTCCCTATCCTCAGTGAGCTCACATTTTAATGAGAGAGATACGTGCAAACAACCAGATTACCAGAGTTGTTGTTCAGTTATTTCAGTCATGTCTGATTCTTTGTGACCCCATTTGGCATTTTCTTGGCAAAGATACAAGAGTGGTTTGCCATTTCCTTCTCCATCTCATTTTATAGATGAGGAAACTGAGGCAAACAGGGTGAAGTGACTTGCCCAAGGTCACACAGCTGGTAAATGTCTGAGGACAGATTTGAACTCGGGTCTTCCTGACTCTAGGCCTGGTGCTCTATCCTCCTTACCACCTAGCTGCCTAGAGATTACCAGAGTAGATGAGAGTTAATCTCAGAGGGAAGGCACTAGCATTTACGGGTCCAGGCAAAGAGATGAGAGTGGAGACCAGGAAAGACCTCTTACAGAAGGTAGAATTTGAGCTGAGTCTTAAAGTAAGTCAGTGAAGCTAGGAGGCAAAGGTGAGGAGAGCATTCTAGGCATGGGGGACATCCCATAAGAGAGAAGGCAACAAAGCTGGGAGATGGCGGATCATGTGAGAGATTAACAAGAAATCACCAGTGAGCTCTTCATTGCCAAATCGAAGGGCCCTTTTTCAAACCTCATTCTTCTTGGTTCCTCTGAGGCATTTGACATTGCCCTGATTTCCAGAGTTTGACATTGCCCTGATTTCCAGGGTTTGACATTGCCCTGATATCCAGGGTTTGACATTGCCCTGATTTCCAGAGTTTGACATTGCCCTGATTTCCAGGGTTTGACACTGCCCCTGATTTCCAGGGTTTGACACTGCCCTGATTTCCAGGGTTTGACACTGCCCCTGATATCCAGGGTTTGACATTGCCCTGATATCCAGGGTTTGACATTGCCCTGATTTCCAGAGTTTGACATTGCCCTGATCTCCAGGGTTTGACACTGCCCCTGATTTCCAGGGTTTGACACTGCCCTGATCTCCGGGGTTTGACACTGCCCCTGATCTCCAGGGTTTGACATTGCCCTGATCTCCAGGGTTTGACACTGCCCCTGATCTCCAGGGTTTGACATTGCCCTGATCTCCAGGGTTTGACATTGCCCTGATTTCCAGGGTTTGACATTGCCCTGATTTCCAAGGTTTGACATGGCCCCGATTTTCCCAGGGTGGGGACTGGGGAGGAGGGATGGGAGCAGGGCTGCTTAAGAAAGACCCAATGCATTTTCTTCAGCTGTACCTTTCCTTGCCTGCCCTCTGCTGGAGCTGCTAGTGAACAGGAAAGTGAACCAAGAGAAAGACGAAGGGAAGAATCAGAATCCCAGAATGTCAGAGCCAGGAGGGACCTCAGGGGCCATGAAGTCCAGCTGCCCTCATTTTTCAGAGAAGGAAACTGAGGCCTGGAGAGGCAGAGAGACTTCCTCATAGGGTCACGGAGCTGGAAGGGATTTCAGATGCCTCATTTTACAAAGGAGGAAGCTGAGGCCCTGAGAAGGGGAGTGTGACTCACATAACTCTGGATCTTGAATTCCAGCTCATTCGTGTAAATAGGCGTTGTTTCCTTCTTTGTCCTCCTATCCCCAGTGCCTAGCGCGGTGCCTGGCATGTGTGGTTGCTGTTTAGTCATGTCCAACTCTGTGTGACCGCATTTGGGGTTTTCCTGGCAAAGATACTGGAGGGGTTTGCCATTTCCTTCTCCAGCTCATTTTACAAATGGGGAAACTGAGGCAAACAGGGTGAAGTGACTTGCCCAGGGTCAAACAGGTAGGAGGTATATGAGTCCAGACTTGAATTCACGTCTCCCAGACTCCAGGCCTGGGTCTCTATCCACTGTGCCACCGTAAGTGCTTGTTCATTGATTGTTTTTATATGGCCCAGCACCTAGCATAGTGCCTGGCACATAGCAAGGGCTTAGTAAATGTTTGTTGATTGATTGAACCTAGGTCTTCTGACTCCAATTTTAGGGCTCTTTCACTACCCAGAGTTTGGGCTCATGAGCAGTGTTAACAGAATTTTAAATTCTCTAACCTGTGAATACCCAGAACCTCCCAAAGCAGACCAGAGTCAGGAGTTCGAGGAAACAAGTAGTGGTTTAATTAATTTTGGAGTGAGGAATGCTCCCCATGCTGGAGTAAAAGCATAGCTTGTATACATGAATCACAAGTGGGGAAGGGGTAGGGGTAGAGAAGGTAGATTACAAAACAGTCATTTCTAAGGCCTGAGTAGTTTCCCATGACAAGCCCATAGTGCGGGATGATAGAGGTGTCCTGGAGCTCTATGGGAACAGTACTGTTTCATGTCTTTGGGGGTTGTTACTTGGCAAGGTGCAGGATCAGAGTTCTGTGGTGGCATGGGTTCTACAATCTTTAAGTTGCTTCACTTAACATACACAGGCACAAGAAAGCAGTGATTGTGAGAGCATTGTAAAGGATTTGATTGATCATTTCAAGCTGCATTCTAAGCTTCTGACTACCAAGCCAGGAGAGGTAGCTCTGAGAAATCTAAATTATTATTATATTCATTACACATATAATATCGATTAATATGAAAGTCATAACTCCCTTCACAGTAGTAACAGGCTTTGCTATCACACTTCAAGGTTTGCAAAGTGATTTATACACACTATCTCATTTGAGACTCACAGCAACCCTGGGAGGTAGTTAGGTACTAGAAAGGTCATTATCCCCATTTTACAGATGGAGGAAACTGAGGCTCTAAGATGTGAAGCAGTTTGCCTTTGGTTACATGGCTAAGGCTTTATCTTTGCCTCAAGGAATCTCAAGATGCTTCTAAGGCCTTCCTTTGCTGATTTCCCTCCCACTCAAAATGTATTTTGTCTAGGTTTTGAATTTATCTATTTGTGTACATGTTGTGTTCTCCCCCTCCACCCCAGGAGAAGGCAAGCTTGCTGAGGGCAGGAACTGGTTTGTCTTTGTATCTCCAGCACCTAGCTTTGGCTTGATACGCAGTATATTCTTAAAAATGCCTGACAATGCCCTAAATGCCTTGAATTAAAACATCAGAAGTGAGATTTGAATTCAGGTTATCCTGAGTCCCATCCAGTCCTCTGTGTGCTAGAGCTCATGTAGTTTCTGTTAGTCTTTATCTGTCAGAATGACCCTCATGCACTAAGTTGTCTCTTTCCTTTCTTCCTCCCTCCCTCCCTCCCTTCCTTCCTTCCTTCCTTCCTTCCTTCCTTCCTTCCTTCCTTCCTTCTTTCCTTCCTTCTTGTCTTCCTTCTTTCTTTCCTTCCTTATTTCTTTCCTTCACCCTTTTTCTCTCCTAAGATGAAGCGGGCTGGGACCACAGGATCAGCAAGAGGCATGGCACTCTATGAAGAGGAGGTGAGTTGACACCATGGGGCTACTGATACCAGGCAGCCCCATCACAATCTGTCTGTCCACCCTTCACTCCCACTCCTCATGCACACAAGGGCATGGCCCTAACCCATTGCTCTTCCCTCCCCCCCAACTTCTCTCTCTCTCTCTCTCTCTCTCTCTCTCTCTCTCTGTCTTATACACACGCGCGCGCGCACACACACACACACACACACACATTACCAGTCTGATTCCCACAACAGCTTCCTGGTCTTGGGATCTATGGCCTAGGATGGGGCAGTATGGGATAGTTCACCCACTGAACTAATCTGCCCCTTGATCTCTCTCCTTAACAAACATTTTACCTTGGGCTTAGTGGGCCAATTCATTATAATCAGTCAACAAACACTGATGAAGTTCTTTCCATGTGGCATTACCATTGGAGATAAAAAAAAAAAAAACAAGATCAAAAGCTCCTTAAGGAGCTCACAATTGAATGGGATAAGCCAGTGGTTCTCATAGCAGGCCCCCTTCTCCTTGAGATGATGCCTATTCAGGCTGTCTCCCCATTCTATGATTCCACAGCCCTTCACCTAAGCTTGTCTGCCTCTTTTTTAGCAGGTGGAACGTGTGGGCGATATTGAGGAACGTGGCAAGATCCTGGTGTCACTCATGTATAGCACGCAGCAAGGAGGCCTCATTGTGGGTATCGTGCGCTGTGTCCACCTGGCCGCAATGGATGCTAATGGCTACTCTGACCCCTTTGTCAAACTGTGAGTCCCTGACCTGGGGTTGGGAAGAGAGAACAGAAGGGGAGACATCCCATGAGAGACGGACAGTGGTCAGAGGTTCAGCAGAGAGATAGGGAGCAAGATAAGAGATCAGATAGACTGGGCTGCCAGGTGCCCACCATTTCCAAGACATACCAGATTCTACTCTCTTAATTTGAGATGAAGGGTCAGGGCAAGGCTGATGTTGCTGTTTCCGAATCATAGAATCTGAGAGTAGGAAAGGAACTCATTGGCCACTTGTTCCAACCAATGTATCATGAGAATCCTCACTACAACCCACCCAACAGATGGCTAGCCAGGTTTGACTAACAGCTGTCCAAAGAGGGGGTCCCCACCATCACTCAGATCAGCCTGTTTCTCTTTTGGACAACTCTCATTGTTAGGAACTTTTTTCCGACACAAAGCCCAGATTGGCCTCTTCTTAAATTCCACCCATTGCTCCTGGCTCTGCCCTTTGGGGCCAAGTTTTTTTTCAACTATGTCATGAACTCAAGGCCCTTCAACATCCTGGTTCCACCTATTGAAGGACGAAATTATTATTAAGAGCACAGCTTTTGACAAAGTATTCTAGAAGACAGATGATAATAGATATCTCCCATCACTACTAAATCCTGCTTTTGTGCCAGGCTTGTGATCTGTTTCTTGAACTTTTCATCTATTTCCTCATTCTGTCCTACTGGTCTGTAGAACATGCTGATGAAGTCATCAGTTTTGTTTCTTCCTCCACTGATCTTTACCAATTGACGCCCCCGCCATACATCTCCCTTCTGGTTCCTGGATTTCCTCACGTGATTACACCTTCTTTAAAAGAAAAATTCTTGCTGTCTTTGTCTTTTTCTTTTTTATATCACTCTTATTTCCCAATGTCTCCTCACCCCCTGCAACCAGAGATCCTTCCCCATAACAAAGAAAAAAAGAAAAAGAGAAAAAGATGGGTTAGCGAAATTAATGAAACACAGCAACCAGGTCTGACAATACATGCAATGTTGCCCACACATATTCCCTCATCTTTGCAAAGAAGGAAGAGTGGCACAGCGTTATATCTCTTCTTTGGGGTATAACTTGGTAATAGCTAAACATTATAAAATACCGACTATGTGCCTGGCACTGTGCTGAGCACTTTACAATTATTATCTCATTCGAGCCTCACAAAAACCCTGCAAAATAGGTCTAATTATTATTACCATTTTACAGCTGAAGAAACTGAGGCAGACAGAGGTTAAACAACTGCCCCAGAGTTACATAGCTAGCAGGTGTCAGATTGAAGGATGAACATTCCTTCTCAATATAAAATGCTATCCTGTTTCTCTTGAGTAAGGTATACCTATTCAGAACCATATTCCAGATATGGGCTTCATTTTACCATAGCTTAGTAATACCTATGGGGCTAACTTTGCCGCCTTACACAAAATTTGGACATGTCTTTATAAACTTTTGAAGCTATGGATTTTTACCCCTGCCTTCCTTCTTGGATTTTGTTTCCTGTGAACTTCTGACTGTCTCTACCACCATTCTTTCCAATTATAGCTGTCTTTTATGTTATCTGCCTTGGTGGATATACATGAGCAGTTTGTACCCTCTGGGCTGCCCCTCCTTGTACACACAGATTGTAGTTTGGGTCCTTAGGGGTTTAGGTACTCTTGTGGGTCCAAACTCCTCCATCTTTAGCTCATGAGCCCCCACAGGTAGGAAGTAGCTCAAAGCAACAGCATTTCCTGAGATGACACTGTGATAACAGTAGATCCAAAATAGTCTCCCCAGAAACCCAACGCATATTCTTTCACAGTCACACAGTATCAGTTGACAAACACCTAGAGATCACTGGTAGAGAAGCACACATGCTATTAGGTAAATACAGAGTAATTGACCAGGAGTCAGAAAGACCCGAGTTCAAATGCAGCTTCAGATACTCATTAGCTGTTTGACACTGGGCAAATTAGTAGTGACTTAGTAGGGAGCATTTCTGTGGCATTTTAAGGTTTACAGAGTCTTTTAGAATACCTCATCTGATCCTTTTAACAACTCTGGGAGATAAATGCTATTTTTATCCCCCCTCCTTTTCTTTTGGAGGAAACTGAGATTAAATGACTTGCCCAGGTTCACATAGTTAGTATCTGATGCTGGATTTGAACTCAGAACTTCCTGACTTCAGGTCTAGTGCTCTACCCACTGACCATCCCTCTCAGTTTCTCTCTTCAGTTTCATCTATAAATTGAAAGCCACGGACTCGATAACCTTTGAGGTCCCTTCCATCTCTAAACCACATGTGGTGGCAGTTACTCACACCTCCGGGAATGGAGATCCCCACTGTCCCTTCCTTTCTCTCAGGGGTCTTCATGCTGTCACCCCCTGGAAAGGAGAAAGAAATTTCTTCTCCTCCAACTTCTTTCCCGGAGTTGAGAAATGATTGCCCCTCAAGAGCTTCCATAAATGACTGTCCTCTTGATTCCTCAGAGTTGTTTTCCATTTCATCTGACTCCTAAGAGAATGTGTCTCGTTCCTGAAAGAGCTGTCAGTGGCGTGGCTGATCCTTGGTTATCTACCCTCTAGTTCTATCCATTCTGATGGATAGAGAATTCTCTTACCTTGTCAAGAAATAACAAAGTATTGGCATATCTTTGCATTTTAACACCTTGATACTTCATCGTCTGTTACCTGTTCCTTACCTTTGAGATTTCATCAACTGAGCTGGGGGGAAGAATCAATGGAGAGGGGAGACAGATGGAATCACTTCAGTACATGTTGCTGCAAAATTCCTCAGTGCTCTCTGCACTAATTCAAATGCTCTGACTTTAAATCAAAGCTTTCCACCGAAAGAGGAAATCTGCCCCTGCCATCCATTATGCTTTATAAATCTTACAATGACATATAAGTGGGAGTTAGCATCACACCCAGGCTTCCTCTCTGAAAAATAGACTGTTGTTTGTGGTTTTTCTCAGAGATTAGCCCTTAATGAGAATTAATTAATACAGCATCTCCAGTTCAGTGATGAGCTAGATACTGGAGATTAAAGTGACTGTGTTTTCCATTGGCCATGAAAGAAATGAGCTTATTGGGGTGTTGAATTGTGTTTTGTTAAATGCCAGCTATGGGAAAATTGATTTTAATAATCTTTATCTCCCTCAATGGCTCTGGAAAGGTTTGTGTTTACATGACCACATTTGAAATGAAAACCATGGCTACAATATTATTCAGCTTCCAGGAATATGTAAGATGTGATTAAGGAAAGAGAGGGCACTCTGTGGTTTGGCAGAAGGGAAAGAGATTTTGTATATAGTTGGTTCTAATCATTTGGAGAGCACTTCATATTTATATCAGTCGTTTCTAGACACAACTCATCCCCAACACCAAACCCTCCCTTTTATCAAAGAAAAACAGCTAGGTAAAAGCAATTGATCAAAGTTACCACATCTGACAGTGTATGCAATACACTGGCCCAGTGTTCCCCCACCTTTCTGTCTATATGAGGGAGTCATATCATATTGACTCTGCAATCAGAAGGCCTGGGTTCAGTCAGTCAGTCAACAAGTAATTTATTAAGAGCCTTCTATGTGCCAGGAACTGTGCTAAGTGCTGAGGATACCAAAAAAATGGTCCCTGTTCTCAAGGAGCTCACATGATAATGGGGAAGACAGCATGCAAACATATATGTGTATATAAGATATTTGTAGCATAATTGGGAGGTAATCTCAGAGGGAAGGCACTAGCAGGTGGGAGATCAGGGAAGGTTTCCTGCAGAAGGTAAAAGTTTAGCTGAGACTTGAAGGAAGCCAGGAAAACCAGGAAATAGAGGCAAGGAAGGAACTATCTCTCAGATGGGGCTTTTGAGTTTGAAAAAACTATCTTTTTTGAGATATAGTAACCCTGGGAGGGGGAGGTGCTATAAGCATAAATACCTCCATTTTACAGATGAGGAAACTAAGGATCTGAGGGTTTAAAGACTTGCTCACAGTTGCACAGGCAGTAATTAGTCAGTCATTGGACAGGCTTTTTGGACAGACACAATCAATCAATCAATCATTCAATGATTCTTTTGGTTGGGCACTGCATGCTAAGCCCCAGGAGTACAAACACAACAGAGAAACAGTTCCTGATGTCAATGAGCTATATTCTACTGAAGAAACAGCCATTTAAGTACATAGGGGAAATATGCTAAATATGCTAAATCAATGTCCAGTTATTGGGGGGTGGAAGTGACAGTGCTCAGAACTGGGGGGAATAAGAAGAGATACCTTGAAGAAGCAATACCCAAGCTGAGGAGCTGGGACTCTGAAAGCCAGTGTTCTAATCCAAAAGGGCAGCCTATGATTAGAACAGGAGATGGGACAGAGCAGAGGTGCTAGGGGCCCCTGAATAGATTTCAGTGGGTAGGTGAACTTGAATGAGAGGGGAAAAATCACATCCTCATTTTCACTAACCCGGATTCCCATTGTAATTCTATGTACCTTATTTCATGTATTTAAAAACACTCTTCCAAGGGATCCCCCAGGCTTAACAAGATTTCTGAAGGGGTCCATGACCAAAAAAAAAAAAGCCTGGGAGTCCCTGGAATATAGAGAAAAACAAGTAGTCCAATTTATCTATAGAGTGTGTGAAGAGAAGAATGTGTGATTACACTGGAAAAATAGACCACAGCCAGACTCTGAAGGGCTTTGAAGGCCAAACTGGAGAGGTCACATTTTATCCAAAAGACAATAGGGGACCCATAATGCTTACTGAGTAGAGAAGTGACGTGTCAGATCTGCACTGTAAGAATATCCCTTGGGCAGCCACATGGAAGACAGAACGGGCCCAGATGCAGGTGGATGAAATAAGTTATAGCAATGGTCCAGGTGATTGATTTTCTAAGTCAATATGCTTCCTGCAGGGATCCTTATGAATGGTTTCTATTTGAATTTGACACCATTGGATGAAGGCAATGATCATCTCTTGGGGGCTATGTTCAGTTCTGGAAGCCACATTTTAGGAAAGATTTTGATATACTGGAGAGTTGCCAAGCAGTGCAGTCAATGACCTCAAGATGTTGCCATATAATGACTGCTTGGAGGAACTCGGGATGGTTAAGCCCAGGGAAGAAAAGACTCGGGGGCCATAGTAGCCATCTTCAAGTACTTGGAAGGCTGTTGTGTGAAAGAGAGCTTTCATCCTGCTTGGCCCCAGAGGACCTTTTGTTAAGGGGATTTGTTCTGTGAAGTTTGGATTCAGTCAAAGGGCTGAACTTGGGGACCCAGAGGGCCACATGTGGCCTTGAGGCCGAAGGTTCCCCACCCCTGGCCTAGGAAGACAAACTTGCCGATGATTAGAGCTTTCCCAAAGATGAATGAACTGCTTTGGGTAGTAATAGGTTCCATGTAGGTCCCCAAGCCGAGGCTGGTGGACCACTTGTTGAGGACGCTGTGAAGGCGATTCCTTTTTCAGCTATGGATTAGATTGGCTTCACTCGCTTCCTTTATGTGCCAGCTAAAGTCCACCTTCTGCAAAAAACAAACAAAACAAAAACAAAAAACATACCTCTCTCAGACCCCCAAAATGCTAGTGCCTTCTCTTTGATTATCTCCCATTTGTCCTGTATGTCTCTTCTTTCTTTGTATATCATTGTTTGTATTTTATCTCCACCATTAGACTATCAATTCCTTAAAAGCAAGGATTATCTTTTGCCTTTTTTTATTATCTCCAGTGCTTAGCACAGTGCCTGGCACATAGTAGGTGTTTAATAAGTGCTAGTTGACTGACTGACAGATGGCCTCTGAAGTCCTTTCCAACTGTGATATTCTATGATTTTGAAATTCAACCTCCATTGCCATCTCCCTACTCCTATCCTCCAGAAGCAGCCAGACAAGAAATCAGCTTTTTATCCAAGTAGATCTGTGTTCAAATGTCACCTCTAGTACATATTGGCTGTAAGAGCTTGGGCAAGTCACTTAACCTCCTAGTGTCCCAGATGACCCCCGACAATTGGCACCTTTACTTATTTCTTGCCAGAGGCCTACTGTCATTTTTCTATGTTTGTATGGGTCAGGTTGCCATTCAGTGAACTGGCTGGTAGATTCCTGCCCCTACTGTCTTTCTTCTTGGCACACTTTCCTCACCCCTGTATAACTCCCATATTCTATGCTCCTACCACCCGGTTCTTCTCTAGAAGAAATCATGCATTAGGGTGGCAGTGGCACACACAGCTGCCATCCATTCTGGCATTAACATTATGCTTAGCATTTGGTAGTGTCCCAGTAAGGGAGGTGATAACCTGCCCTGATGAAGGAAGTGTCTCACTGACAATTTCCTCCACTGATAAAACCACAGAGCCAGCCCCAAACCCCAAATAACAACAGTCCTGATGGTACTTACTGTTGCCCCACAGCTGGCTGAAACCAGACATGGGAAAGAAAGCCAAGCACAAGACACAGATCAAAAAGAAGACTTTGAATCCTGAGTTTAATGAGGTAAGTGCCCTCCAAAGGTGTTGTGGGTTTCAGATGGGAGAAAGCATGGAAATAAGGTTAAACAAAGTGGATTTAGTGAGGCAGCGATATGGGCCAGCTCAGAGCTTGTAGACTCATTGGCTGTCAGAGCTGGAAGAAAATCTGTCTTCTGGCACAGATGGGGAATGTGGCCCACAGTGGTGAAGGGAGTTGGCCGCCATCATACGGCACGAGTCAAGATCTTCTGGCTAACTCCCAATTCTGTTCACTTTCAATGGAAGCAACCACAAAGTGCACAGCACATTTCATTAATGTGTGTGCCCAGGAAATGAGAGACAGACAGAGAGAGATGGAGACAGAGAGACAGAGACACACAAAGAGACAGAGAGGGATGAATGGAGAGCTAGAGATGATAAAGATAGAGAGACAGATAAGGATAGAGAGCTAGCAATAATAGTCTTAGATAAAAATTATATAGACAGAGAGATAGACGTGATAAGTTAGAAATAGACATCGAGAGATAAAAATGATAAAGAGCTATAGATGATAGAAATAGATGTGTATGTACAAATACACATACAGATTATGTATATATGCACACAATAGATATGTATATATGCATGTAGAGCATATATACATATATATGAACATAGATAGATCTATGTATATATAACACATATACATGTGTTAAGGCAAAGATATTGAATACTTAGTCATAAAAGACATTATTTTTATTGATTAAAGAAACTAAATAATAACTAAGCTTAATTAAAAAAAACAAACTTCTGTTTAAAATATCAGCTTTAAAAATGAGGAACAAAATAGTAACTTTGGGGGAGACCCTATACACATACCTATGGCAGCAACCCCTTGGCATCTGAGGTGATAATAAAATATACTACATATGGAGTCAGGGGACCTGAATTCAAATCTCAGTTTTGCTCTGGACTAGCTCTGTGGTCTTGGGCATGGCACTTCTCTTGATGTCAGTTTCCTTCTCTGTGAAATGAGGGTGTTGGACTTGTGGCCCCTGAGGGGCTTTCCTTCAGCTCTAGGATCCTATGACCAGGTCGTCCCCAAACCATTGTGGGAAATCTGTTGGGTTGTACTGTATGCTGCACATACCGTTCTCATCTTAGAGCTTACACAGAGGGCAATCAGTAGGCAAGGGAGAAGGTCTGAACTCTAACCAGATTATTTCTTCTCACTGTTAGTGTAGTTAGAAAAATAGGACATTTAATGTGAGCAGGAAGGCAGTAACTGCTGTGAGAAAATCCAGAAAGGACAATAGGTTCTCTCCACCTCTCTTAACAAATTCAACGATAAACATTCACTAATACACATTCACCTTGACTCTGTGCAAGGCACTGTGCTAGGTGGGGGTTAGGGGATAAAAGCACAACAGTTTTGGACCTTGTAGAGCTTACATGTATACTGAGTGAGGAAATGGGAGGACCGGTATAGACTCTAATAAGTAAATGTAATTCACAGCCTAGAGCAAGGGGTCAGTAAACTACTACCAGAAATACCAGCCAAATCTGGCCCATCTCCTCTTTTTGGATGGCCTGTGAGTTAGAACCCAAAACTCTGGGCTTATGGGGACCAGGTTCCATCTTGGGTGATTCTCTAAAATCACAGCTCTTTGGCTCCTTCTTCTATTATCCAGAATTTCTTCATGGAACTTCCAAATAGAGTTTCTGTTTAGGTCTCCACAAATGTGGGTGAAAAGGTCTTAGCTCTTATGCAAGTTCTCAGAGTAACAGTGTATATTAGGAATGGGACCTTGGGGATGATTTCAAAGGGCCCTTCCAGTTCCATAACCTGGGATCTAATTATTCTAAGTCACAGGAAAACAATTGATTCCCTTTCACCACTAATTCATTCCTTTTCCCACACTCACTATACCCTAAGCAGATGTCAAAGGGGAGGAGATCACTAGAAGCATTTGGCACTGTTACCTAGAGAAAGGACTAAACTCATTTCCACCAAGCTCTTTGAGGATAGGTGCCCAGGTCCAAACACAGACAGTCACATCTGAAAGGGTTCATAGAACAGATTGTCACAAATAAGAAATGTCTTTACCTTCTTTTTTTTTTTCTTTTTGCCTTTTTTTTTTGATGAGGCAATTGGGGTTAAGTGACTTGCCCAGTGTCACACAGCTAGTAAGTGTCATGTGTCTGAGGCCAGATTTGAACTCAGGTCCTCCTGACTCCAAGGCTGGAGCTCTATCCACTGAGCCACCTAGCTGCCCCAGAAATGTCTTTAGAGCATAGGATTCTCAGCTGGCAGGGACCCTAGAACACAGACTGTCAGATCTGAGAAAGGTCTTACAACTAAAGATGTCAGAACTAGGAGGGACATAAGAATAGAGAATGTTAGAACTTGGGAGGAAGCTTAGAACATAGAATGTCAGAGCTAAGAGAGATCTTAGAACACAAACTGTCAGAGTTGGAAGGGACCTTAGAACAAAAAATATCAGAACTAGGAGTGACATAAGAACAGAGAATGTCAGAGCTAGAGGTAACTTAAGAGATTATCTAGTTCAACCTCTGGTGACACAGGAGGAAACTGAGGACCAGAATAGGGCCATGTATTGAGAGCTTAGTGGTCATAGCATCATAGATTTTGATATGAGACCATCTAGTCCACCCTACCCCTTCCTTTTCTTAAATGAGGAAACGTTATTGTTGCTGTTGTTGAATCATTTCAATTATGTCCATCTCTTTGTGAGCCCATTTGAGATTTTCTTGGCAAAGATACTGGAGCAATTTGCCATTTCTGTCTCCAGCTCATTTTACAGATGAGGAAATTGAGGCAAACAGGGTGAAATGACTTGCCCAGGGTCACACAGCTAGTCTGAGATCTGATTTGAACTCACATCTTACTGAGTGCAGGCCCAGTGCTCTATCTACTGCAGTACCTAGCTGCCCCAACAAAATTAAAAAAAAACTGAGGCAAACAGGGTTAAGTGACTTGCCCAGGGTCACACGGCTGGGAAATGTGTGAGGCCAGGAGATTTGAACTCAGGAGGAGGAGTCTTCCTGACTCCAGGTCTGGCACCTCTATCCATTGCACTACCTAGCGGCCAGGAAATATGAACAGCCCAAGTGACATGCTCAAAGACATGCAGGTAATAAGTGGCAAAGCTGAGATCTAAACCCTGTCCCACGCTGCCTACAAATCCAGTGTTCTTTCCACAGCACAGCTGGAGAAGTGACTTGGCTAATGTTACACAGAAAGTTAATGGGTGAGCTTGGGCTGGAAGCCAGGTCTGTGCCTCTGGTCCCCTAGTTTCTAGGGCCTTTCTATGCTACTTCTATTCCTGTTTGAGCAAATTCAAGGAAATTGTCTCTTCTTTGATCGGATTCTAACCAAGAACACTCGATATTTCCAACAGTGCTTAAAGACCTTTGTAAATCGATGTATTTGTCAAAAGGGGATTCAGATTGGGACAGGAAGTATGAGGTGAGAAGCTCCTCTCAGTTTCCTGTTTCTGATGACCTAGGCTCATAGACACCTCTATCTTGGTTCTTTTTTTTTTTTCTTGAGGATAGGGGGGATGTGCCTCCAGTTTGAATAATATTGTTGTTTTCTCTCATTTCCCTTTCAGGAGTTTTTCTATGATATAAAACACAGTGATCTGGCCAAGAAGTCACTGGACATCTCTGTCTGGGATTATGACATTGGCAAATCCAATGATTATATTGGTGAGTATAGGCATTGCCACCTGAACTGAGTGGGGGAGACCTGGGGATTTTGTGGGCAACTTTATTTTTTCTTATCCAGCTGAGAAAAGGGGCAAGGGGGAGGAACTAGGTACAAGGGCTCCTCATTCTGGGGGACCTGACTCACAGTGCTTAAAAGGAACCTAGCCGCTAGTTGTAGTGGGCTAAGTGAGTTTGTACTCATGCATTCACTTAGTCACTGATCAAGACAACTCAGCTGCAGGCCAGGAGTTCTAAAACTGAGTAGATTAACTCCACCAAAGGACTTAGATTGGCAAGAAGATGCAGATTGGTTCTCCTGGACCCTGGAGCCCCTTCCCACCATGGCCGCTGGTCTCCCCAACAGCCTAGCTCATGGTGACTGGGTTTGTTCCAAGGCGGACTTTAGCAAGAATGATGAAATGTCCTATCCCACCTTCACTAGTCTCTGCTTCCCTTCCTCATCAGCTCCTTAGCATCAAACCACATCATCTCTCCTTGGTGACCTGGTTTTCCCTTCTCCTTTACTCTCTGAAGGAGAATGAGGAGAGGTTCTGCTGGACGTGTGGAAAGAAAAACTTCTCAATCCAGTAAGACTTTAGAAGGTCGAACCTGGAGTCAGGTAGAGCTGAATTTAAATCCTGACTCTGACATGCACTAGCTATATGATTATGGGTTGGGCATTTGCCCTTTCTGAGACTCAGTTGCCTCATTTGTAAAATAGTGACAGCAGTGCCTATCACATTGGTTTGTAGCAAGGATTATGTGTGACAAAGACTCCAAGATCATAGGAGCATTTTTACATATATATGTATATATACATACATGTGTATACATGTATACACATACACACACATATATGTATATTTAGCATGTGTGTATATACATACATGAGTATATATGTACGTACGTATACATATGTATGTATATATTTGCAAGCTTCAAATATGTCTGCTGTTACTGATAGCATTTATATAACTTTAAGGTTTGCAAAGCATTTTACAAATATTTCATTTGACTTTTATAACAATGCTAGGAAGAAGGTGCTATTATGGTCCCTGTTTTATAGATGAGGAAACTGAGGCAGACACAGGTTATACAACTTGCTTAGGGTCGCACAGTTAGCAAGCATCTGAGGCAGGATTTGAACTTGGGTCTGCCTGACTTCATGGCCAGTGCTCTAACCACTGAGATTACCACCACTACTACCCTGGAATCATAGATTTAGAGTTTGAAGGGCCCTGAGAGGTCACCTAGTCCCACTTCTTCATTTTACAGAAGCAGAAACTGAGGCAGACAGAGGTTCAAGTGCCTTACCCGAGGTGCCACTGAGCACTTTGATATGCCTAGCTTTATTCAGGGATAAAATCCATGAAATTCTTTGCAAACACATATTTTTAACCAGATCTTGTAATTCATTGATTCAGAGAACTATTGGTGAGCAAACACTCTTTAGCCAATGCAGATAAACACTTGCCCTGCCACATATAATCTCTGGGAGCTGCCTGGGGCCTCTAGGAGGGTAAGTGACTTACCCAAGGTGGGGCAGCCAGTTTGTATTAGAGCACCTTGAACCCAGGTCCTCTGGACCTGGAGGCCAGCTCTCTCTACCCCACAATACCATGCTGCCTCAAATGGCATAAGGTGAAATAACTCTAATGCCCAACTGGGTGGCGTAAAGCACAAGTACCATGATAGTTCAATATGGTGAGAGACCAGTGAGGATGGGAGTATTTAGTCAAGGCTTCAGAAAGCAAATGTTAGGGGCAGCTAGGTGGCACAGTGGATAGAGCACCGGCCCTGGGGTCAGGAGGACCTGAGTTCAAATCCAGTCTCAGACAAGACACTTGACACTTACTAGCTATGTGACCCTGGGCAAGTCACTTAACCCCGATTGCCTCACAACAGCAACAACAAAAAAGGGAAAAAAAAAACAATAAAAATTTGAGGAAAAAAAAAGAGAAAGCAAATGTTAGTCTTTGAAGAGATAGCTAGGTGGTGTATGGATAAAGAGAACACTGGGCCTATAGTGAGGAAAACCTGAATTCAAATCTAGTCTCAAACACTTCCTAGCTGTGTGACCCTGGGCAAATCAATTCATCTTTGTCAGCCTCATTTTCCTCATCTGTAAAATAGGGATAATAATAGCAACCCAAGGTTGTTATGAGGTTCAAAAGAGATAATAATTCTAAAGCACTTAGCACAGTGCCTGGCACATAGTAAGCGCTATGTAAATGTCATTTACTTATTGTTTATTTCTGATTAAAACATATTTAGAAACTGGCTGTGTGACCTTAGGCAAGCCACTTACCCTATGTCTGCCTCAGTTTCCTAATCTGTAAAATGTAATAGCACCAAGCTCCCAGGATTGTTGTGAAGATCAAATAAAATAACACTTACAAAGTGCTTTGCAAACCTTAAAGATACGTAGGCTCAAAAGAGATAATAATTGGAAAGCACTTAGCACAGTAGCTGGCACATAGTAAGAGCTATGTAAATGCCATTTATTTATGTACTTATTTATTTCTTATTAAAACACAGACACTAGCTGTGTGACTTTATGCAAGTCACTTAATCTGTGTGTGCCTCAGTTTCCTAATCTGTAAAATGAGAATAATAATAGCACCTATCTCCCAAGGTTGTTGTGAGGATCAAATGAAATAATATGTGCTGCCTCAATTGTAGAGCTCTCTGGAGACACCTAGGAGAGGGCATGGGGTACAATGAAAAGATCAATGGATTTGGGAGTCCGGGGAGTGGAGTTCAAATCTCAGTTCTGTCATTTGCTGGGTAACCACTTCTGCCCCTTAGGTTCCTCGGCTTCCTTCAAGATTCAGCTCAGGGGCAGCTAGGTAGTGCAGTGGATAGAGCACTTGGTCCTGGAGTCAGGAGGACCTGAGTTCAAATCCGGCTTCAGACACATAACACTTACTAGTTGTGTGACCTTGGGCAAGTCACTTAACCCCATTGCCTAGCCCACCCAAAAAAATTTTTAAAAAAGGTTCAGCTCAAATCTCACGTTCTCACCGCCCCCCGCTCCTAGTGTATTCTTTCTGAGATTGCCTTTCATTTACCCTGTGTCTCATATACATGTAGCTGTTTGCTTGAGATCTCTCCCATAGAATGTGATCTCTTCGATGTCAACGACCATGTTTTAGACTTTCTCTGAATCCCCAGTGCTTCTGTAAGCTGAGATGTTCGAAGAGATGGCTTCCAAGGTTGCTGCTAGTTCCAAATCAGTGATCTAATATTCTATAGTTCTTATTCTGCACACAGTAGGCATATAATAAATAATATAATGGGAAAAATCTTTGAGTATTGCGGAGTCTGGAGTCTAATTTGAGATGACAGGATCAGAGATTTAGAGCTGGAAGGCACGCCAAAAGCCATCTAATCCAACCACCTCATTTTACAGATAAGGAAACTGAGGCCTATTGAAGCTATATGACTTGCCCAAGTTCAAACAAGTAGAAAGAATAAGATGCCAGCTTTAAACCCAAGCCTTCTGGCTCTAGCGCTCTCTAAATCTTGAAAGCAGATGTCTGCCTCCTCCAAAGGGGAAAAACAGGACTCTTAGTGTGTGTGCGAGTTTAAATGAGATCAAGGCAATTAACATCTAAAGTTTTTGAACACCTAAGTCTGCTAGACTCTGTGTGTGTGTGTGTGTGTGTGTGTGTGTGTGTGTGTGATGTTTTTCTGCTCAAACCCTCACCTTTAGAGGCCTGGGTTCAAACCCCAACGCTAACACTTAGTAGATGATTAACCATGGGCAAATCATTTGACCTCTCTGAGCCTCAGTCTCCTCATCTGTAAAATGGGGAGACATACACTCTCTTTCTCACCGTGTTGGAGACATGGAAAGTACTTAAAAGACTTTAAAGCCTTAATGTGCTTTGGAAATATGAATTACTATTCATTGTCACTGGTGTTATAAGGTTCGATCGTTAGTATGAGATGTTTATAAAAGGTCTTGAATACCAGGGATAGGAATTTGGAACTAGTGAAATAGGGAAATAGGGAGCAAATGTAGGTTCTTGAGCCAGAAAGCTCTGAGCTGAGAAAGTAAGATTCTTAGAAAGTAGGCTGTGTGACTTCCTGGGATGGGGATACCATCAACTAGCCAGAATCTTTCCTCTCTTTTCCAAGGAAAAAAGAAATCCTTGGTTCTGAATGAGAGGAGTTCTCTCCATGTGGCTAAGTGATTCCTCTCTCCTTGACCATTCCTGTGTTTCCCTGCTCCAGGTGGCTGCCAGCTGGGTATCACCGCCAAAGGAGAGCGCTTGAAACACTGGTACGAGTGTTTAAAAAACAAGGACAAGAAGATTGAACGTTGGCATAACCTACAGAATGAGAATCACGTCTCGAGCGATTAAAGCAGGGACCACAAGCCCCGCCCCGACCCCCTGTCCATTCCTCCTCTTTGCCCTCTGTCCCCCAGCTCCCCCCAGGCCTCCTGTCCATTCCTCCACTTTGCCCTCTGTCCCCCAGCTCCCCCCAGGCCTCCTGCCCATTCCTCCACTTTGCCCTCTGTCCCCCAGCTCCCCCCAGGCCTCCTGCCCATTCCTCCTCTTTGCCCTCTGTCCCCCAGCACCCTCCCCCCGCTGGCCCCCAGAACTCTCCACCCCAGACCTGCGATCAGCTGCGCTGGGTCCATGCGCCTGTCTGAGCCAGTCTCTCTGGGCTCCCTCTGCTGTGGGCGCTGACTCCAGATTGGAGTCTGGCCTTCTTTTTCTTTACCTGTACCTACCTTTGAGGTCTCTTTCTCCCCTCTTAAATATGAGGGGACACTTACCCCCCCTTTCACTCTCTCTTTCTTCCCCGTCTCTTTCTCTCACTCCTCCATTTTCTTTCTTCCCCTCTTTCTGTATTATTGTTCCTCTTTCAATCTATCTCCATGTTTCTTCTTTTGTCTTTTTCCATCCCTTCTCCTCTTTTCTTCCCTTGTTTTTTCTTCTCCCTTCTCTCTCTCCATATCTTTTTCTCTATCTTCTCTCTCCCACCTTCCCTCTTTACCTCTCTTCCCCCTCTTTCTCTCCCTTTATCTCTTTCTCCCTCCTTCCTTCTTGCTCTTGTTCTGTCTCTCTCTCTCCATATCTTTCCCTATCTTTTCCTGTTTTTTCTTTTCACTTTTCCTCCTTCACTCTCTCCCCTTCTCTCTTCTCTTCTTTATCATTCTCTCTCTGTTGCTGTCTCTCTGTCTCTTTCTTTCTGCCTCTGTCTCTTCATCTTTCTCTTTCTCTCTCTCTCTCCCTCTCTTTTTCTCTCCCTCTTGTCCCTGCTTCACAAAATTTCCTCTTGCCTGCCCCCCTGTAATCTCAAAGCTAACAACTTGGGCTAGTATCCCCTCCATGGGCTCCACACCTACTGACTATGAATCAGTGCTCCCTAAACTTCTGGCCTCTCTGGGTCAGAAATTAGGAACTTAACTTGGCTGCTAGAACAGGGGAGAGTTCTGGGAGGGGGAGGGATGCTGAAGGGGTTAATGAGGGTTATATCAGTTCCAGTAGTATAAATTTATCTACAAATCGTATTGGATAAATAGGGGGAAAAGGTTCTCCATTGTAGAGGACTATACCCATATGATATCTTCTTGTGGTATACACAGTCACACACCTAACTTTATGTTATAGTTTTAGAATATGATAAATCTTGGTGTGTGTCCAGTCAATAAACAACATGCAAAATAAATTAGGTGAAGGTGAGGGTTTGGGCAGAAGAAGAACAATCTCTCACACACACACACACACACACACACACACACACACACACACGAGTCTAGCTGACTTAGGTGTTCAAAATCTTTAGATGTGAATTACCTTGATCTCATTGAAACTCACATACGCACTAAGAGTCCTGTTTACCCCTTGTAAGAGGCAGGGGAGGCAGAAATCTTCATTCAAGAGAGGAGAGGCCAGACCTTAGTAACTTTCCTCAATAAGCCTCCTCTGTCTGCCTCTCTCTCTGTCTCCTCCCCACCCCACCTCTTCCCTTCTCCTTCTCCAAGGGGGATACAGTCAGAGATGCTCTCCTTAAAAGGTATTCAGCGTGGGTCTCACCTCACCCCATATCTCTGTCTCTGCCAAATCAACACGAGCAAAACCAATGAATTCACTCTAAGAAAAGCTGGAGATTCTATAGTTTGGAGTCCTGTTGCACATGCCAAGCAAACATTTTCTTCCTAGCTTCAGGGAAGGGCCTGGTGGGTCTCTTCTGGGTCCTCAAATCTCTCCATCTCTCTACTAAGTCTGGAGGAGCAGTTGAAGTTTGAGAGAAGCCAGCTTTCTCTGACTGTGTGCCCGCTGCTGAGGGGTGGGATGACAGGACCTAGGGTATGGAGGTCTTTAGGGTTGCTAGTCCATTGGGCATGCTCCCCACTGTCCCTTCCTCCAGATAGCCAATGAGTGAGTGACCTCCCCTTCCCCTCTCCATGTCTCTAACCCTGAGACTAATGAAAGATCCTGCTTATTTCCTCTTGTCTTGTTTACAAGGGCTGCTGGGAGGAACACACAGAGCTCTCAATGTGGGAGTGTTTTGGTGTCGTAGGATGTACCAATGCCTTCTTCTCGTGTTATTACCAGGATTGCAATGAATGAACCTTTCTGCATCTCCTTCTCTTTAGAGTAGTGACAGCAGAAATACAGCTTTGGGGTTTGGGAGAGGACAAGATTGAATGCTTGACTTCAGAGAAGGGGAGATAGGAGGGTAGTTTCTCCCAATTTGGGGCATGTCTTCCAATCCTATGGTCATCCCATTATATTCCTCCCACCTAGAGACCCTTTCTAAAAAGACTAACCTAGCTCATCACCTTCAGTCCTGTAAGGAAAACTCATTTCTTGCCAGAGACCCACTGCCATACATCGCCATTTTTCTGTGAATGTATGGGACAGGCCACAATTCAGCAAGCTGGCTGGTAGATTCCTGTCACTGTTGTTTTTCTTCTGGGCACTTTCCTCCTATACAACACCATGACCTGTGGTTACTACTCCCTGGTTCTCCTCTAGAAGAAAGCATGCCTTACCTAGGGGTGGCAGCAGCACATACACTCTCATCTGAGCTGGCATTGGCCTTCTAGTTAGCATGTGGTGATCTCCCAGCACACCAGCTGGGTGATAAGCTCTTTCCAGCAGATGTAATCCCCTGGCATAGAATCCTAGCGTCTTCCATTGCATGCACACTGGGCCATATCATCTATTTGTGATAACGTATCTAAATAAAGTAGAATTCTCCAGGAAACAGTGATTTGGTTTTTTGTCTGTTACTTGAGTAATGTGGGAGTTGGTTTAAATGGTCTCTAAGGCTCCCCCAGCTCTGACATTCCCTGTTCTGAAACCACCCCCCCAGCCCTGACAGTCCCTGTTCTAAGGCTCCTCCCAGCTCTGACATTCCCTGTTCTAAGGTTCTCCCAAGTCAGACATTTTAATAATCTCTGATTCCATGAGGTAGTATGATATAGTGGAAAGTGCACTGGATGGCCCATCAGGAAGTCCCAGTCCTAGCTTACCCTGGACAAGTTACTTCTCCTTTCTAGAACTTGGCTCTTTCCTCTGTAAACGAATCAGTTTGGACATGACAAGCCCTAAATCCCTCCTAGTGTAACCTTGGGATCCTACAGGTACTGCCTCTCATATATGAGAATGACACTCCTTATCTGCCATTATTATAAAGTACACTGGGAGGTTCATCTCCAAAAGCCTTCCTCCACCTCTGCATGTGACCAATGGTGTACATTTCTGAGGCTCCTAGTTGGGTGAGGGTCTCACTATGTGACTGTGGACCCAAGGAAAAAGTTTAGCCGGCATGGGCATGGCACCAAAAATTGCAACTTCATCAACCTTTCCTTTACATCAATCAGTTAGCTGCATTTCCTGATCACGTACCATATAGAGGATCTGCTAATCAAGGTTGTTAGGGCCAATGAGATAAAAACAGCACAAAAGTGAACTAAAATACTGTATGCTTGAATAAGCCAAGGAAGATATAAACTAGGTACCCTTGAAGGCCCTTTTCAAGTCTAAGAATCCATGTAGAATGAGGTTTAGGAAGATTTTTACATTATTTCTCAAGGCATCTCTGAAGAACTTTGGAAATGGATTGTGAGATATGGGAGACGCTGGCAAAAGATTGCCCAGCATGGCATGCCTGCATTAAAGAAGGTGTTGTGCTCTATGAGAGAAACAGAATTGTGGTCGCTCAAAGGAAACATGAGATGCACAAATTCAGAGACATCACCACTCCAAATGTTCATATGGACTATTTGAGCTTGCTACCTGTGGTAGAGCATTCCAAGCTTGTGTTGTTCAGATCAGCCACAGCTGGACACACTGTACTTTGACCTTAATTGTAATGATGTCATTTTGGTCCTCGTCAAGAATGAAAGACAACAACTAACCAGCCACCATTATTTCTAAGCTCTATTTGTTAACAATCACAACTTAACTTTGTCTTAGTTTCCACACTTCTAGTCAGTCCCGAACAACTCCTTGATGTTTGGGACAGTTTTTCTTTTCTATTTTTGTATCCTTAGCACCTACATATCAGGGTTTATGTACCCTTCTTCCTAGATTCCAGACAATGAAAAATGACCTCCCTCACCCCCACCTCAGGACAAGATTTCATAGAGAGGTATGCAGAGTTTGACCCTACCCCTGTCTTCTCACAGGGTAAAAAATGTACGCTGGAGAGCCATTCCATTTAGGGATTCCTTACGGACCAATGCTAGACCACAGGCAGGTGGGAGAGGGGTGCTGGGCCACTGTGCCCTCTCCCTTCTGTTCCACTGAAGAGTTCCTCTCAGCTCTGGACACATGCACATAGACTGCAGTTAAGTTCTGGGGAAGCCTGATCACCTCAAAGAAAGGTTGGGATCTTTTCCTCAGACTCCTTGGCTTTCAGGCAGTCATTTCTTAGGTAAGTCTGGGCCATTGCCAGTCATCCTGACTTATGTCTTGCCACTGGACTCCAATGATGGGAGGAGATAGTGCTGATGACTTTGCACAGCTCTGCCTCATTAAAATCCAATTCACTTGCAAGTCAAGACATCACCTTCCTGATGTCATTGGACCTCTTTGAGAACAAAGAATGAACAACAGCAGCAATCTTCAAGTGCTAATTGATTGGTTGATTGATTGATTTACTCTCCCTGCCCTTGGATTTTTGTGGAAAATTCCATAAAGTTTAGGTCTTGGTTCATGTCTATGGTCTCCCCAAATGGTGAAGTAGAAGGGCACTCATATACAATGCAGATCAGGTATAGGACAGCTATTTATCTCCTTCATAAAAAGGAAATATGGAACACACATGACCCACAAGAACACATTGGCAGAAAAATGTAAACCAAATCAGTCACAAAACTCCTGTAACCTTGGCCTTCAGCTCAGTCTGCATAGGACAAAAGAAGCTCTAGAATCATCCTGCAAACTCTTATTTGTAGCAGGGAAGCTGAGAGCAGATGGGACCAAACACAGTGGTATGGAGCAACTCAGGCAATAACTGGATGGTTCTGAGAACCCTAGCCACACTGAGACCAATGTAAGGTTTTCCAAGGTTGTGCCCCTCACTCCTACTTGGTCTTCTCAGAGTGCTTAGTGAGGCAAACCTCAGGAAGTTCCTCAAACCTACAAAGCCCTTTCCTTCTTTTTCATTCTCCATCTACCAAATGGGAAAAGCTGTGGGGAATGAAGAGTCTATACTACTTCAACAAACTCAGAAGCTTACTGCTCAAAAGCTTTCCACAGTCTGTCTACTATATGTTTTGTGTCAAGGGGAGGCCAAGAAGGAGGATTTTACTTTGCTTATGGGACAGAAAAAAGAGGAGAATAATTAAATAACTAGATAGAGGGAAGAAAAAACTTAAATAAAACTCTAAAAGAAAAGAGTGACAAATGGGATGGGTGTCTTAAGGGTGGGGGGAATAGAGATTTGAGGAATATGGTTAACAAAGTAGATTATGCAAAAATAACCAAAGAGACAAAATATTATCTTTATAGAGGAAGACACATTCATTCCAATAGATGCAGAAAAGGCTTTTGCAAAGTACAATACTAATTTATGCAAAAACAAAAATCTGTAAAGTATAGATGTAGAGGTACCTTTTTAATATCATAAAAAATATCTGTCTAAAATCAAAAGCAAGAATCATATGCAATGAGGACACACTAGAAGTTTCCTGATAAATAGGAGAGTAAAGCAAGAATGCTCATTATCCCTACTATTATGTAGTTCTGAAAATGTCAGTGAAAACAATAAAGAAGAGAAGGAAGTTAAATATGTGAAGATAGAAAAAGAGGAGATAAAATTATCTCTATTTGAGGATGACATGGTAGTTTACTTTTTAAAAAAATCCTATAATACATATATATTATATGTAATCATATATAATAAAATTATATATAAATACTATAATGTATACTATATATAAAAATAAAGAGAGAGAACTAAATCAAATTTGTAAGAGTACAAATCATTCCCCAATTGATAGTCAAAGGATATGAACAGGCAGTTCTCAGATGAAGAAATTAAAGCCACCTATAATCATATGAAAAAATGCTCTAAATCATTATTGATTAGAGAAATGCAAATCAAAACAACTCTGAGGTACCACATCACACCGATCAGATTGGCTAACATGACAAAACAGGAAAATGATAAATGTTGGAGAAGATGTTGGAAAACTGGAACACTAATGCATTGTTGGTGGAGTTGTGAAATGATCCAACCATTCTGGAGAGTAATTTGGAACTACACCCAAAGGGCTATAAAAATGTGCATACCCTTTAATCCAGCAATAGCACTTCTAGGGCTGTATCCCAAAGAGATCATTCAAATGGGAAAAGGACTCACGTGTACAAAAATATTTATGGCAGCTCTTTTTGTGGTGGCAAAGAATTAGAAATTGAGAGGATGCCCATCAATTGGGGAATGGCTGAACAAGTTGTGGTATACGAATGTAAAGGAATACTATTGTGCTATAAGAAATGATGAGCAAGAGGACTTCAGAAAAACCTGGAAAGACTTGTATGGAATGAGGCTGAGTGAAGTGAGCAGAACCAGGAGAACGTTGCACACAGTAACAGCAACACTCTGCAATGACTAACATTGATAGACTTAGCCCTAGTCAGCAATGCAAGAATCTAAGACATCTCCAAAGGTCTCATGATGGAAAATGCTATCTACATCCAGAGAAAGAACTATGGAGTTTGAATGCAGATCAAAGCATATTTGCTTTTTTTTCTTCTGTTTGTTTTGTTTCCTCTTTCTGCTGGTTCCTCCTATTGGTTCTAATTCTTCCTTACAACATTACTAATGTAAAAATATGTTTAATAGGAATGTATATGTATAGCCTATATCAGATTATGTGCTGTCTTGGGGAGGGAAGGGGAGAAAAATTTTAAAACTCAAAAGCTTATGGATGTTGATAAATCAAAACAAATTAATAAAAAAAAAAGAAACAAAAAAAATTCCTAGAGAATTAGCAAAGGTACTTGAGACAATTAAAAGCTTCAGCAAGGTTGCAGTCTACAAAATAAACTCTCAAAAATCCATAGTATTTCTATACAATAATAACAAAATTTTAAGCAGCAATAATGGAAAGGGAAATCTCATTCAAAATAATTACAAAATGCATTAAATATTAGGGAATTAATCTGCTAGAGCACACAAAAGACTTGTATAGAATTAAATGCCCTTAAAGAAATAAAGAGCAACTTTATTTTGCCTTTTTTTGTAAATAGTATTTTATTTTTTCCAATTACATATAAAGATAGTTTTCAACATTCATTTTTTATGAGATTTAGAGTTTCAAATTTTTTTCTCCCTCTCTCTCCCCCCCCCCCCCCGGATGGCTAGAATCTGATATAGGTTATACATGTACAATCATGTAAACATACTTTCACATTAGTTGTATTGTGAAAGAAGAAACAGAACAAAAGAGCAAAGCCACAAAAAAAAATGAAAATAGTATGTTTCAATGTGCATAAAGACTCCACAGTTCCTTCTGTGGATATGGATAGCATTTTCCATCATGAGTCTTTTGGAATTGTCTTGGCTCATTGTATAACTGAGAAAAGCTAGGTCAATCGTAGTTGGTCATCGCATCATGTTGCTGTTACTATGTACAATGTTTTCCTGGTTCTGCTCACTTCACTCAGCATCAGTTCATGTAAGTCTTTCCAGGTTTTTCTGAAATTCACCTGCTCATCATTTCTTATAGCACAGTAGTATTCCATTACATTCATATACCACAGCTAGTTCAGCCAATTCCCAATTGATGGGTATTCCCTCAATTTCCAATTCTTTGCCACCACAAAAAGAGCTATTATAGATAATTTTTTGTAAATGTAGATCCTTTTCCCTTTTTATGGTCTTGTTGGGATACAGATCTAGTAGTGGTATTGATGGATCAAAGTGTATGCACAATTTGATTGCCCTTTGGGCGTAGTTCCAAATTGCTCCCCAGAATGGTTGGATCAGTTCACAACTCTACCAACAATGCATTAGTGTCACAATTTTCCCACATCTTCTTCAACATTTGTTATTTTTTTCTGTCATATTAGCCATTCTCATAGGTGTAAGGTGGTACCTCAGAGTTGTTTTAATTTGCATTTCTCTAATCAATAGTGATTTAGAGCATTTTTTCACATGACTATAGATAGCTTAAAGAACAACTTTAAAAGTTATAGGACTATTACCTGCTCATGGCTGGGTCATAACAAAAAAAATGGTAATACTACCAAAGTTAATTTACATTTTTAATTCTATACCAATTGAACTATCAAAGGGATAATTCATAGAATTTGATGAAATAATAAGCAAATTCATTGGGAAAAACAAAAGATTTAGAATATCAAGAGAAATGATGAAATAGAGATGAAAGGTTGTAGGACTTACAGACCTCATTATGAAGAAGTAGTCATCAAAACAATATGGTATTGGTTAAAAAACAGAGAAGTAGAGCAATGAAAAATATTAGACAAGGATGAATCAAAAACAGTGGAACTCAATAGTACTCTATAAAGCAGAAAATACATTATCTGTGAAAGAATTCCTTGTTTGACAAAGACCGCTGGAGTGCCTGGATAGTAGTCTGCCAAAAATTAGGCTTAGAGCAACACCTCATGCCATATTTCATAATAAATCCAAAATACATACCTGACTTTAAAATTAAAAATCATGCCATTAAAAAAAAACCTAGCAGTAGCTAGGTAATGCAGTGGATAGAGCTCTGGCCTTGGAGTCAGGAGGAACTGAGTTCAAATCCAGCCTCAGACACTTGAAATTTACTAGCTGTGTGACCCTGGGCAAGTCACTTAACCCCAATTGCCTCACCAAAAAAAGAAAAAAAAACAAACAAAAAACCTAGAAAAGAAATAGATCATATACCTTTCACAGATATAGGTAGAAAATGAAGTTTTTATTTCTTTGTGGTAACATTTTAAGTTCTGAGCTATCTCCCTCACTCCTTCCCAACCCCACACTAGAGAAGACCAACATTTGTCACAGATATATAGATATAAATATAGATGTGGAACCACACAATAGATACTTCCGCATGTAAATTATATTCTTTCTCTGGAGGTGGATGTCATCTTCTTTCATAGGTGTTTTGCAGTTTATTTGAATATTCATATTATTCAGAATAACTTAATTACTCTTCATTTCACTCTTCATTATCTCATGCAAGTCTTTCCATGTTAATCTAAAATCAATCTGCTCATCATTTCTTATAGCACAGTAGTATTGCATCATAATCATATACCACAACTCATTCAGCTATTCCCCAATTGGTGGGCATCCCCTCAATTTCTAGTTCTTTGCCACCACAAAGAGAGCTGCTATAAGTATTTTAGAACATATAGATTCTTTTCCTTTTTCCCTGATCACCTTGGGAAACAGAGCTGATAGTGTTATTGCTGGATCAAAGGGTATACACAGTTTTATAACTCTTTGGGCATGATTTTAGATTGTTCTCTAAAATGGCTAGATCAGTTCTCAGTTCTACCAATCATGTATAAGTGTCCCAATTTTTCCACATCTTTTCCAGATGGGAAAATGAGGGCTTAGAGAGATTAAGTAATTTACCTAGGGGCATACAGCTAGTGTCTGAGACAGGATCTGAAATCAGGTTTTGTTGATTCCAAGTCCAGCACCTAACCATTATGCCATCTAGCTACCTCCTAACACACCATAGTCACTGCTAGTTGAAGTCAGGAATGAAAGAAGCCTGGAGCAGAATTTACTCTGTTGTGGGTCTAAGGAGAAGGATGGATAATGGTATCTACATACACAAAGAGATGTGAAGAGCAAACTGTCATTGGCCTAAAACAAGACTGGCAATTTGTCAGAGTCGGTGCTGTTTTCCTCCTGGTATCCACTCCTGGGAGGCTGGGGCATGTGCATGGGTGTATGCACGCACCATTGGACTCCTGCCTTTGCACAATCTGTGGGTGCACACATCAAAGGTTATCAGTCTCTGAGAGGGAGTCTACTGGGTAGGGGGAGACTGGGGAGTAAGCCTTTGCCATCTAGGTTTGTGACCAATCTGATTTAATAAATCAAATCTGCATCTTACTGGAAGAGCAGAGCTAACATGCCTTTTATTTTTCTCCGTGCTCTCCTCCAAGGGGTAAATGGGGATACCAATAGGGTGTACCTGACAGAATTGTAAGACTCAAAAGAGATAATAGAAAGTACTTTGCAAACCTGAAAGTGCTAGTTAAATGTTAGTAGCTGGATCCTAGCCAGATCTCTTTCTCAAAGACTAAACCTTAAACCCAATTCACTCTGGAGCTCATAGATTGGACAACAATAGGTCCCTACCCAAGCACCACTTAATGGCTATTTTTTGGGCCCTCCTGACTCAGAGTGAATGTAAATAGTAACTGTTTCTCTTTTGGCCAGCAAACCTGAGGGTCTTCCCCTCCGAGTTTGATTTTTTTTTATTGAAGGGTCCATCCCTTGACTCTTCTTAAAGAGGCCTATTCACTGAATGGGCATTACCTCATTCAAAGTGAAAACCTGAAAAGACCTTAGCTCAAAAGGGCCAGGGTCTCCCATTGCATCCTAAGTCATCTGGAGTCATCCTGACAACTATCTGGCCACTGGAGCCAGATGGCTCTGGAGGAGAAAGTGAGGCTGGTGACCTTGCACAGCCCTCCCTCACTCAAATAAAAGTCAACAGCAAGTCATGTCATCATCTCCCTGATGTCATGGTCCCCTTCGAGAACAAAGGACAAACACAACATCTCTTTCAACTTTTGTCATTTTCCCCTTCTATCATTTTAGCCAATCTGATCAGTGTGAGATGGTATCTCAAAGTTGCTTTAATTTGCATTTTTCTAATCAATAATAATTTTGAGCATTTTTTCATTAGACTATATGGAGCTTTGATTTCTTCTTCCAAAAACTGCTTCTTCATATCCTTGTACCATATATCAAAATTGGGTAATGACTCATATTATAAATTTGACAAAGTTCTCTATATATTTGAGATATGAGACCTTTATGCAAGAAACTGTCTATAAAAGTTTCCCTCCTCATTTTCTGCTTTCCTTCTAATCTTGGCTACATTGGTTTTATTTGTACAAAATCTTTTAAAATCTAATGTAGTCAAAATTTTCCATTTTACATCTCACAACATTCTCTATCTCTTGTTTCTTCATAAGTTCTCCTACCCACAAATCTGATAGGTGATATAGTCTATGTTCTTCTCCTTTTTGTATGATATCTCCCTATATGTCTAAGTCATGTATCCATTTTGACCTTACTTTGGTAAATGGTATGAGATATTGGTCTAGTTTCTGTCAGACTGCTTTCCAACTTTCCCAACAATTTTTTTTTTACCAAATAGGGAATTCTTATCCCAAAAGCTTAAATCTTTATATTTATCAAACACAAGATTACTATAATAATTTACTAATATGTATTGTATATCTGCTCCATTCCACTGATCCACCTTTCTATTTTTTAGCCAGTACCAAATAGTTTTGTTAATTACCAACTTAAAATGTAGTTTAAGATCTGGTACTGATAGACCTCCTTCCTTTACATTTTTTTTTCACTAATTCCTTTGATATTCTTGACCTTTTGTCCTTCCAAATGAATTTTGTTATTTTTTCTAGCCCAATAAAATAATTTGTTTTAATTGAGATGACACTGATTTAGGTAGAATTATCACGTGTGTTATTAGCTCAGCCCACCCACGAACAATTAATATTTCTCCAATTATTTAAATATGACTTTATTTGTATAAAAATAGGAATGAGTGTTGTATATTGTCAAAATATTTTTCTGCATCTACTGAGATAATTATATAATTGTTGTTGGTTTTGTTATTGATGTGGTCAATTACGCTTATAGTTTTCCTACTATAAATCCCACCTGGTGGTAGTGATATCTTTGTGATATAATGTTGTAATCTCCTTGCTAGGATTTTATTTAAAATTTTTTGCATCAATAGTCATTAGGGAAATTGGTCTATAGTTTTATTTTTCTGCTTTCACTCTTCTTGGTTTAGGTATCAGCACCACATTTGTGTCATAAAAGGAATTTGGTAGGACTCCTTCTTTACCTATTTTCCCAAATAGGTCATACAGTATTGAAATTAATTGTTCTTTAAATGTTTGGTAGAATTCACTTGTGAAATCATTTGGTCCTGGGGTTTTTTTCTTTGGGAACTCATTGATGGCTTGTTTAATTTCTTTTACTAAGATAGGGTTATTGATGTGTTCTATTTTCTCTTCTGTTAATCTGGGTAATTTATATTTTTTGTAAATATTCATCCATTTCACTTAGATTCCCAGATTTATTGGAATATAATTGGGCAAAATAGCTCCTAACAATTGCTTTAATTTCCTCTTCATTGGTGGTGAATTTACCCTTTTCATTTTTGATACCAGTACTTCGATCTTCTTTTTAATCAAATTAATCAGTAGGTTATCTAGTTTATTGTTGTGGTTTTTTCCCCATAAAGTCAGCTCCTAGTGTTATGTATTAGTTCAGTGGTTTTCTTACTTTCAATTTTATTAATCTCTCCTTTGATTTTTAGTATTTCCAATGTGGCATTTAATAGAGGGTTTTTAATGTGTTCTTTTTCTAGTTTTTTTTTTAGTTGCTTGCCCAGGAGGTGAATTCTTAACCAAACAAGGGATAGAGGCAGTTATAAAAGATAAAGGGGTAACTTTGGTTACATGAAACTGAAAAACATCTGCAAAAATAAAATTAATGCATCTAGGATAAGAATAAAGGCAGTTGAGTGGGGAAAATATTTGTATCAAATTTCTCAGTTAAGGGTTAGACAATTAATGTATGTGCATATATGTATATATATATATATAAATCATATATGAGGCAAGGTTCTCAGCTGAGAAAGTAGGAAGAGGGGGAGCCATGGGAGGCTTGAGGAGGGGTGAAAAGGATTGGATAGTGGGCTAGTGAATCACACAGCTAATAAATGCCAGAGTCAGAATTTGGACTCAAGTCTTCCTAACTCCAAGACCAGAATGCCACTCACTGTGTCATGCTGTCTCCATCAGCTCTATAGATGTAAGATATAAATTCTGGCTCAGGATCAATCAGAGGCTAATATCCCTGACAAGAATAACAATTTGCACCTTTGACCCAGCAATAGCACTTCTAGGGTTATACCCCAGAAAGATCATACAAATGGGAAAAGGATCCACACGTACAAAAATATTTATAGCAGCCCTTTTTGTGGTGGCAAAGAACTGGAAATTGAGAGGACACCCATCAATTGGGGAATGGCTGAACAAGTTGTGGTATATGAATGTAATGGAATACTATTGTGCTATAAGAAATGATGAGCAAGCAGACTTCAGAAAAACCTGGAAAGACTTGTATGAACTGATGCTGAGTGAAGTAAGCAGAACCACGAGAATGTTGTACACAGTAACAGCCATGTTGTGTGATGACTAACTTTGATAGACTTAGATTTTCTCATCAATGCAAGGATCTAAGACACCTCCAAAAGTCTTACGATGGAAAATGCTATCCACAAAGAAGAAAGAACTATGGAGTTTGAATGCAGATCGAAGCCTACTATTTGCTATTTTTTTCTTCTGTTGTGTTTTATTTCTTCTTTCTGGTGGTTCTTCCTATTGGTTCTAATTCTTCCTTACAATATCACTCATGTGAAAATATGTTTAATAGGAATGTATATATATAGCCTACATCAGATTGGGCGCCATCTTGGGGAGGGAGGGGAGGGAGGGGGAAAAATTTAAAACTCAAAAGCTTATGGAAGTGATTGTTGATAATTCAAAATAAATTAATTAAACAACAAAACAAACCAAAAGAATAACAATTTGCATGTTTGCTAATTTTACAGCTCTCATTAACCAAAGACTTTCTCCTCTATCTTCTTGCTCCTGGCCTTTCAGTCACTGACCATTTCCATTGTCCCTCTTCCAGGTGGAAGACCAGGAAAATAAAAGATATTGACTCTGTACCCATTTTTGCACCCTGAGAGAAGGTGGTTCCCAACTCACCAGTGTAAAGTGATCTCAAAGGTTCTAACTTGGGAGTCTGAGATCTGAGGAGGTTGTGGATAAGCAAAGACTCAGAATGAGTGCTTGAGGACTCTCCTGGTTTTTTAGGGTCTAGAATAGAACTAGGGTGTGGGCCACAATGTAGCATAGAGATGTTGCCTTAAGTTCAGAAAACCTAGACTCAGGTACCACCTCCTAGGTATGTGTGACCCTGGGTGAGAGACTGAACCTCTGAATGCTCCCAGACAACTTTAAAGCCCCAAGCTGGAGAGCAGACACCAAACCAATCCTCACTGGAATTTCCCTATACTAGTGAAAACACAGGTTCAGCCTCAAAGGAGAAACAAATCAAACCAAACTAAATCTGGAAGTTAAATATGGGCCAGTCTGATAATTCAGGTTTGAGATGGGGAGAGGAGAAAACTGACTTAGGAAAGGTAAGGATGACGGTGGAACTCATACTTGTTCAGCTATTTTTCAGTCATTTCCAACTCTTCATGACTCCATTTGGAATCTTCTTGGTAAAGATACTGGAGTGGTTTGCCATTTCCTGCTCCAGCTCATTTTACAGATGAGGAAACTGAGGCAAACAGGGTTATGTGACTTGCCCAGAGTCACACAGCTAGGAAGTGCCTGAGACCAGATTAGAACTCAGGTAGATGAGTCTTTCTGACTTCAGGCTCAGCTCTATCTATTGTACTACCTAGGTGCTACGGAACTCATACATTGCCTAACAAACCTAAACTTCCTCCTCTGTCCCCTTCCTCACTAATCAAAGTAAGTTCCTGCTCACTCCTTTGTCCCTGAGGAAGTTGCTTCACATTTCTGTTTCAAGCCTAGAAGGGTTCAGGAGAAGGGCCATGAGGCTGGCCACTCCATTCTCCTCTGAGAGAAAGAATACTGGACTAGAATTATCTGAAACTGCTCCTCTTTAAATACTACTAAATAATTAGTAAATTAATTACTAAATTATTAAAATTACTAAATTAGTAAAATAATTACTAAATTAAAAAATACTAAATAAATCTAGGGGCAAGATTTTTAGATTTAAAATGCTACTAACTTCCCTGGTTCCTATCCATTAAAAGGTACCCCAACTTTATATCTACTGGCTTGGCACCCTTCCATCAAATGTTAGTTACACAAAAGATGGTCACAATTATGGAATAGCTAATAAATCTGTTTATGGTAAACAGAAAACAGAAATCAGGAAAGAAATACAGATTTAAATGTGCCAGAAAATATATACAATGAATAAGCTCTTACACTAGGAACAAGATCATTAAGATCTTTAAGAAAGCACCCAACCTCAAATAAAGGGAAATTTCCAAAAGCATAGGGAGGCAAGTTCAAAATCAGGGACACATGGAGGAGCTAGTTTCCTTTACACACCTGTCACTTGCAAAATCTTTTCACTTTCTCAATGGGTCTCTACTCTAAGAGAGTCTGGAACTCCATGTGTCTCTCTTGAAGAAAGAAGGAAGAATGTGTACTTTCTCATGTCAACACTATCCCTCCATAGTCATACAGGGTCACATTGGCATTTTCTTGACCAATCCAAAAATATGTTCCAGAGGCAACAAACATCACTAAACCCATGATGGTGGTGATTGTAGGGTACTAAGCATTGCACATAAAATAGGATGCATTCTGCCTATAGCTATGGCTCATTCATGAGGTTCAAGACCTTGCTGGCTTCCAGGGCCTGCTCCACCTGAAACCAGAAGATAAGCACATTTGCATTAGAAAGACTGCCTGCTCTTGATGTGGAAGCACCTGGAGGGTGAAAGGGACTTCCTGGGTACTTGTCCCTCTGGGTTCTGGCAATGAGATGGGGAAGTCAAGTGGAGAGATGCCCAGGTCGGAAGTATAGAGACCTGAATTCTAGTCCCACTTCTCCCACTGACTTACTCAAGACATTGACCTTCCCTGGGCTTCAGTTGCCATATCTATCAAATGGGGATAGTAAAAGCTCAACAGGGCCCATCACACATTGTGTGATGACTAATATTGATAAACTTAACCCTTCCTGTCAATACAAGGATCTAAGATATCTCTAGAGGCCTTGTGATGGAAAATGCTATCCACACCCAAAGAAAGAACTATGGAAGCCCAATTGCTATTTTTTTTCTCTTCTGTTGAGTTTTGTTTCCTCTTTCTGATGGTTACTCCTATTGGTTTTAATTTCTACTTACAACATCACTAATGTGAAAATATGTTTAATATGAATGTAAATGTATAGCCTATATCAGATTATGCGCCATCTTAGGAAGGGTGGTGGGGAGGAATGGGGAGAAAGATTTTAAACTCAAAAGCATATGGAAGTGATTATTGATAAATCAAAATAAATAAATAAAAAAGAGAAAAGAAAAGGCTGTAGGATTTTCTAATGAAGCCAAGGTCACTAACAGGTCCTGGGAAGTCACTACCCCAGGGCCCACTGTGGGAGTTGTACCCAGTGGGAGTACACTGTTCAGCTCTGGGGGACAAAACACTCCGTGTGTGTGTGTGTGTGTGTGTGTGTGTGTGTGTGTGTCTTGGTTCTGCACATATCTCAGGACTCCACTGCTTAATTAAAAGGTTCTGTGGAAAGTGGTCTTCCTGGAGATGGACCAAAAAGGGGTAAGGGAAGGGATGAAACCATGCTGGGGTCCAGTTTAGGGTAACAGATGTGGAATCGAGAAGGACACCTTAGAACTCTTCCAAATCCCAAAGATCATGGGAAGTGCCAGTCTCATGGGAGCCTGTGATGGTCAGGGCACAGCTGGAATCAGGTCAGATCAGGAGTAGACCTCCAGATTCCAACTTCAGATGACCATGAGTCTGGGGGTGGAGGAGCAGGAGGCATGCTGTGCAGAAGCAAAGTCTGCCTGAGTGCATGGGGCCCCTTCCTGGGGGTATGTCTTTCTCTCTCTCTCTCTCTCTCTCTCTCTCTCTCTCTCTCTCTCTCTCTCTCTCTCTCTCCCTCCCTTTCTCTCACATTCACACATGTGCACGCACACACACACACACACACACACACACACACACACACACACCAGAAAAGACTCTCACTCACCAGCATGTTCCATGGCTACACCAGCTCCCATCTCAGTTTTGAAAACATGGGGTAGATGACCATAGGTGAGCTTCTTGTGCCAGTCTGTCCCAATGCCATCGACTTCCACCTCCTATGTCACCAGTTGGGTCAGTTGGGTCCAGGATCACTGGCCTAAAAGGGAGGGCAGAGAGTTGAGGCTAAGGAAGAGATTCCTCCCAGATCACCAAGCCAAGAAGATATTTGCTCTAGACCTTTCCCTCTCTAGATGTGCCTGGCACATAGTAGGAGCTTCATTAATGTTTAGTGACTGACTGATGTGCATAAAGGTGAGCTGGGCTCCTATCATGATGAATCAAGCACTTAGGGCAGAAGAATAACTAATGGGAATGTTTCCCTGGTTTTTCTAGCACAGTTGTCCCCTCTACCCTCCTCCCCCTATGCACATTTATATTCAAAAGCTGAAACTATTACAGGGATAAGGACTGAACCTGTGATTTCAATGGAATAGGGAACTCCCAGGTGAGGAAATTCCCTCTACCAATGTAGGTCAGCACCACCTCTGAGACTTAAGAGTCTTAAGACAAGAGTTCTTAACATTCTCTGGGTCCTGGACTCCTCTGGGAGCCTGGTGAAGAATTATAGACCCCTTCTCAGAAGAATGTTTTTAAATGTGTAAAATAATCTATTGAATTACAGTTATCAAAACTACAGGGTGTCCCAAAAACTTTAGTACAGTTTTAAGAATAGCTGGAAACTGATTCAAAACTTGTGTTAAAACACACACACACACACACACACATACACAAGTGCCTGGGCCCCAGCTTAAGAACCCTCGTCTTAGAGCTGCCTACAGCACTGACCTGCTCAGCAGCCCACAGCCAGAATGTGTGAAAGGCAGGACTGGGGTGGCAGGGGGTTTGGAGGGAAAGGTCTGGTTCTCTATCCACTAAGTCACACTGCCTCTCTTAGACTATTATAATCATATTAATAGCTGACTGCACCATAGCTCACTATAGTTGCAGAGCCACAGCATATAGCATCACATCTAATCTTAATAACAAGCCCTCTGATGCAGGTAAAGCACGTGGTAATCCCATCTTACAGAGAAAGAAGCCAAGGCCCAGGAAGGGAGGGAATGGTGGAGCTGGAACTAAATCCCAGGTCCCTACAACTAAAACAGGGAGACAGGTTTTTGTCACCAATGAGTAGAAAACTGGACGACAGCGTGGTCAGTCCTTCAGCAATGATAGAAACAGCTGAATTAACACCGAATTAAGATGAGAGAAGGAATTTGGGTCTCAGAAAAGCCTGGGTTTGAGTTGTGCTTCAGATCCAGAGTGTGAGCAAATCTTTTTAGGTCTCCGAGTCTCAGTTTCCTTATGTGTAAAATGAAGTGGTTGGACTGGATAGCATGTAAAATGCCTTCTTCAGCCCTGCAACTGAACCCCAACCCTATCCCTGCAATGGTGCCTTGCTGAAACATACCACACACCTTACTAGGGTCTCCCCTCCCCTGCCTGTTTCATGTCGCTTGTCCTAGACACAAACATGCCAAGTTACATCCCTCAATCCTGGTCTCCTGACTGAGCCTGGCACTTTCTTCACTACAGCACAGTCTCTGAGGTACAATCTAAATTGGAAGACAAGAGTTCCAGGAAAAAAAAGCAAACAGCCCTGGGTATGCTAGAGACCATTCCAATGGGCTCCTTGAAGTTAAATTGCCTGTGTGGGCATTTACGCCTCAGAAATTGGCAAGAGCTACAAACCAGGTCTTGATTTATAGTTTTTTTGATGGAAATTCAGGAGCCTGGAGCCATCAGCTTGGAAGCTTTGCTGACCCTTAGGGGGAGGGGCACCCTGCCTCTCGTACCTGTGTTTACACAGATCCAGCTTTCTTCTGTTTGAAGAGAAACCTAACTGGAAATTTGCCCTAGCCAAGGTATTAGAGACAGTCCAGCCCAACCTAGCTCATTTATGAGGGATCAGGGAAGGCTTCCTGTAGAAGGTGGGATTTTGGCTAGAACTCAAAAGAGAGCAAAACGTAAGAAGTCAGGAAAGGTAGGAAGGGTCCCAATGGCAAAGGACCAAAGAAAAGATTTTATATTTGCTCCTAGAAGTAATGGGAAATTGCTGAAGTTTATTGAATGGGCAGCAGGAGGGATGATAACTGGGTCAGAGGTGTACTTTAAGAACCCTTTGGGCTCTGATTCTTAGAATCTAGCCACTGGGCAGATTTTCACAATTTAGCCAATAGTTCACAGATGCTCAGATTCCTTAAGAGTCTAGCTAATATGGTGAATTTTCAATGGGGCAGCTAGGTGGCGCAGTGGATAGAGCACCAGCCCTGAAGTCAGGAATACCTGAGTTCAAATCCGGCCTCAGACCAAACACCTGACACTTACTAGCTGTGTGACCCTGGGCAAGTCACTTAACCCCAATTGCCTAAAAAAAAAAAAGAAAAAAAAAAAGAACCCTTTGGCAGCTGAGACAAGGATGAACTAGAGGCAAGGAGGCCAATGAGGAAACCATTGGAACTGCCCAGATGGTGGACATGCTGGGCAATCACCACAGGAGAAAGGCAGTAGTGAGGCCATGGGGGCCCACAGATCCCACCTTGGGTAACCAAGAAAATTCCTACCATTTTGTACCAATGTTTCACCAATTGGATCAGATTTTTGAGCTTGGTGCAACAATGGCTGAGGAAGCGCTTCTGTAATTCTGTGAAGCAGGTGGAAAATTCTCCTGCTTTCTGGGATTTGCTTATGAGATCAATATAGACTTGTGGGTCAGGTTTTCTTAAGTCTCTGGTCAGTTGGCCCGTTAGGGAAAACCAACTCAATTCAGTCAGTGTTTTTTCAACATCTGCTCTGTGTTGGGCTCATGTGAGAAAAGGAGCAGAAGTCAGGCCCCGTCCTAGAAATGTTCCATCTCTTGAAAAGCATTTTTTTTTAACCTTAGACCTAAGAAGTAGGTAGTACAATGATAAATGAACCCATGTTACAGATCTGGAAATTGAGTGTATGAGAGGTGGGTTGATTTGCCCAGGGGTCATGCAGTATCTAAGGCGAGATTTGAACCTTAGACCCCAGATGCTTGGTCCTGTTCTGTTTCTACTATACTGCCTCTCATACATGGTAATGACTAGGTGAGGCATCTGTGATGAGGGCAGGGGAGGGAGAGATGAGTTGGTCTGGGGCAAGAAGAGTAGTTGGTAGGGTAGACTTCACAAAAGAGGGAGGGCTCAAACTGGGTTGGGTTTAGAAAGGAGGACAGCATTTTAGACAGAGGGGAGAGCATGAATGAGGGCATGTAAGTGGAGATGAGTGAGGCATGGCAATGAGATACTGAGAAAACCAGCCTAGCCAGAGCAAAGAGGACAGCTTGTAGGCCTTAGTGACAGGAAAAACTGGGCTCCAACCCCTCTATTGCTTCTTGGGTTGACCTTAGGCAAGTGATGACCTCTCTGAACCTCAGATCCCTCTTCCAAGAAAAAGGGATTCATAATGCTCCTAGTAGCCACCTCACAGCTTGTGAGACACCAATGAGACAGAGTCTGTAAAACACTTTGGAAACATTTATGTCTGATATAAAGTATTCATTACGAGTCAGTTGGTCAAGAAGCACGTGCTTAAGTTCTTGTTCTGGGCCAGGAACTGGGCTATGTGCTAGGGGCATAAAGAAAGGCAAAAACACTATCCTTGCCCTCAGGGAGCTTATATTCCAAAGGAAGAGACAACAAGCAAACAACTAGGTGCATACATGATATATATAATATTAATGTATAATATGTAAATAAAATATATAATATAAAATAAATAAAGGGAAGAGGCTTCAGAAATGCCATCTCAAATACTCTAACCACCCCACTTCCTTGATCTACTCATTTTCCATGACCTACTGTATTTCACCACATAATTGTTGCAGATTTTGTACCAAATTTTTTTGCAAAAAAGTGGGGTGTGACCATTATGTGAAGCTTAAAAAAAACTGTGCCAGTATTACTTAAAATTATTTATTACTAAACTGTCTTTGGTGCAAGATTAGGATGCACAGAATACTCTTGAATGTATGCTAAAATTGGGAAGATGCAAGTCTTACCACATCACATGACTTACTCATGGCAGCTTGACCTCCCCACCTGCTCGCCTTGCACACCTATGGCTCTTCATTGGGTTGAGTGACAATACCATTAATACTGCATTGCTGTAAACAAACCTCGCAAGTCATTTTTAGGAAATATACTGAAAATGTGTGTGCGCTGAGAATTCTAGGCTCCTGGCTGGCAGTGAGTGAGAGATAAATGCATATCCATATGCCCATGGTGAATATATTGCTACTGTTTACCTTTCAAGCAGCACGACAAACAGAATTATACCATGTGATGATTATGCAATGAAATATTATAAACCAATTTTTGGACTGAAAAACCAAAAACAAAAACCAGGGTGCAGCAGTTATGTGATGAAATGCTGCAGTCTTTCTTTCTCTAGCAGCTAGGTGGTGCAGTGGATGGAGCGCCACACCTGGAGTCAGGAAGACCTGAGTTCAAATCAGTAATTGCAGACTCATCCTGAGTTGACTTTCTCCCTGACCAGGGCTGACCTCCTCCAGTTGCCAACTATCCTCAGATATATATTCCTGGGACATCCTTTCTCTTCCCAATGACTACAACCTTGGTCTCAGTCCCCATTTCCCCCCAAACCCTTAAATGTCACAGGGTTCTGGGATGTGCTTCCACCTCTTTCAACCCCACTGTGTTGTACCTGCACCCTAGCTGAGCCACCCTCCCCTCCACATTACTTGGCTAGACCCCAAAATTGCTAATTGCCTCTGCGTCTTCATTGTTAGATTCTGATCATTCTTGTTATCTTCAAGGAAGCATAGAAACTCAGAAGAAACTGAGACTCCCTCTAGCCCAATCTATTTCTGTCAAAGAATTCCTTCCTCAACACCTCAGCATTTCCACACCATCCCAAAGGAGTTCTGTCCATCTTCCTCATCTTCTTTATCTTCCTCCTAAGGGAACCTTGAATTCTGCCTCTGGGTGTGGATAGGAGCTTTTGCCTTATCTTGGTCAGAAATAGGCCTCAGCACCTTTGCCCAAACATCTCCATACCCATGTTACCAAGGCCAGCCCCACTTTCTAGCCCACCCTCTTAAGTGTTATCTTCCTCCATTAGAATGTAAGTGACTTGAGGGCAGGAGCTATCTCTCTTACTTGTCTTTGTACCCCTAGTGCTTAGCATAGTGTTTGGCACACTTAAGAAATTCTTTATTTAACCATCTACTTATCATCTAGCTAGGTACCATCAATCTATCCAGTAACCACTTAACCTTTGCTTAAAGACTTCTAATGAGGCAACCCATTCAACATTTAAATTGCTGTAATTATTAGGAAATTCTTCCTGACATACTACTTCTTCCCTCTAGGGCCAAGCTCTTCCAGTTCAATCACTTTTCCCCCTTGAATTCCATTAAATACTTGAAGCTTCTTATCATATCCCCTGATTCTTCTCACCACAAAGTTCCAGTTCCATCAGGTGACCTACATGTACTGTGTCCTTGTCTTCTCACTATCCTGGTCACCCACAGCTTCAGGTGTCTTCTGTCTTTCTCCTACAATGCACTGGCCCCAGTCTGAAAAAGAAACAGAAACTCCAGTATGAAAAAAATTCCAGAAAACGGAAACTCCACAGCTCTTGGGTGTGGGGTCCAACAGGAGAAGCTCTGATTTGATCAGCTCCCATGGATTTAGTTTTCATCTCTATGCTGATTCTCAAACCTACTAATTCATCCCTAACCTCTCTGCTGACCTACAGTCTGCCATTCAGCTATATCAAACTGGATGGCCTATAGTCATCTTAAACTCAACATTTCCAAAAGTGAACTCATCTTTCCTTCCAAATCTTCTCTCTTCCCAATCTCCCTATTACTATCAAGGGTCACACCATCATCCCAGTCATGCAGGCTCGAAACCTAAGGGTCATTTCCCACTCCTAACTCTTCCCCCTCCATTTCAACATGTCATAAAAGACTTCTGATGTTCCCTTCACAGCATGTCTCCTGGATTCTCCCTTCTCTTCTCTGACAGACACTTCCATCACCCTAATGAAGCCCCTCATGACCTGGACTATTGCAATAGTCTGCTGGTTGGATTCCCTTCTGCAGGTCTCTCTCCAATCCAGTCCATCCTCCTAAATTCAATCTACTGAAGAGACTCCAGTGGCAGCCTATCTCCTCCAGGATCAAGTATAAAGTCTTCGGCTTGGCATTCAAATCCCTTCATAACTCTTCCCCCCCACACACAGTGTTCTTACACTCCCCTGCCATGTGCTCTATGACTCGGTATGACCCAGTCCTTGCTGTTTCTCAAATGAGATAGTTCATCTCCCAACTCCAAGCATTTTCTCTGGCTGTCCCCCACGCCTACAATGTTTTCCTTCCTCATTTCTGCCTCCAGGCTTGCCTGGCTTCCTTCAAGTACCAGCTAAAATCTCACCTTCTACAGGAAGCCTTTCCCAATCTTTTTTAATTCGAGTGCCTTCCCTCTACTGATTATCTCTAATTTATCCTGTATGTGTGTGTGTATCCTGTCTGTACATACGGACTTATTTGTTTATAGGTTGTCTCCCCCATTAGGCTGTAAGCTCCTTGGGATGGACTAGTTTTTTAACCTTTCTTTGGATTGCCAGAGTTTGGCACAGTGCCTGGTACCTAGTAAGTACTTAATAAATGTTTGTTAACAGACTTGGTAGAAATCAGCTGAGGTTGGGGCTCAGAGAAGGGGGCTTGGGCAGAGTTTGTTCTTCTGAAAGCAGGGTCTCCTCTTTCTGGACTGAGGTGACCCAGAAGCCAGGTGGGGGGCTTCTCACCTAGAACATCTAAGGCTGGAAGCACATTGAAGTCCACCCACTGACTGATCTTTTTCGACGTCATCCTGAAGCTGAGCACTTGAGGGTTAGTCCCTTTGTTAACCTCAAATTTTACTTGAAACATTCCACCTTGGTCATGCTCACATTGTTCCAACTGTTTTTTGATTTCCTCAATGAACTCTCCTCGTCGGTCTATCTGTTCCTGATAGCTTTTGAGATCACTGAGAAATACTGCCAGGTCTGCATCAGAGCGGCCTCTCAGGGCTGTGCCTTTACCAGATGAACCTCCCTGAATGGAGCAGAAACTGAGCAGTGAAATTATCCCTGAAGGAAGAATTCCTTGGCCATAAAAAAAGTAGGAAAGGACATGGAAAGCCAACTGCCCCTTCCCTGGATGTCCCTCTGCTCTGCTCATCCCTGTGTTCCAAACCTGGCTTTTAAGGATCCCCTCCCCCACCCAGGATCCTCTTCCTGCCTTCCTGCCTCTTTCCTGAGCCTTTTCCCCATCCCAATTCTCAGCTCAGCAGGTAAAGAAATCAGCCCTATGCTCGCCTTCACAGCCTTAGTCAACCAAACTGGCCTCCCTGTATCTCAGAAATACCTGTTCTTTAGGACGGAAGAGATGGTGTTGACTGCACTTTGTACCTCTGTCTGGAAAGTAGTATCAGGCAAGAGATACACCTCAAGGTACCTGTCCAGGTCCTTGGCCTGAGTATCCCAGAGTCTCATGATATCCCCAGCCTGCATTGAGGGAGTAAGGGAAATGAAAGCTCAACATCCAGCTGGCTGAGAGCCTCACTGTTCTGTCCCTGTCTTTCCCTTTGCTCTGCCCCAGGACATTCCCCCCTAAGAAAGCTCTGCCTCTTGGATCAGTTTCATTTTCCTGAGCAGGGCTGGACCCTGGGCTGGATTCTAGTATTTTTGGAAATAATAACCCCACAGCTCTTAAAAAGTTATTAAAAGAGGGTTCAGATAGAACCCTCTTTTGTAACAAAGAAAAACAATCAAGCAAAAACAACTCTTAAAAAAATTTTCTGAGGATGTGGAGAAATTCTACCCTATTCCTCCTCTCTGCCAGAAGAGGGTAGAGATGTCTCATAAGCAGTTCTTGAGAACCATCATTGGTTTTTCTGTCATCTGCATCTCACTGAAAATGCTCTGTTTTCCTGGTTTCCCCTAAAACCACAGCAGCTCTACCTGGTGCTGGACAGCGCCTGCCCTCTTGGGTATCAGTTCCTAGAGTCTATACTTGGGGGGTGTGTGTGTGTGTGTGTGTGTGTGTGTGTGTGTGTGTGTGTGTTTTAAGGCAATTGGGGTTAAGTAACTTGTCCAGGGTCACAGAGCTAGTAAGTGTCAAGTGTTTAGTCTGAAGCCGAATTTGAACTCAGGTCCTCCTGACTTCAGGGCCGGTGCTCTATCCACTGCGCCACCTAGCTGCCCCTGTACCACTGTCTTTTAAAGATCACCAAGAGGCATAGGCACTTCCTTTTTTCCTTGTTACAAGAGAGTCCCATATGGAGGTGGGGGTGGGTATTATTTCTTAAAAAAAAAAAAAAACAGCTAGCATGCAAACACAAAAAGTATCAACTAAACTATTTAACAATAAATGCAGTCTAGAGTGTAGCAGCTGAAACCAGGGCTCAGCCTTCGAAGGGTCCAGCCCTGCTCAGGAAAATGAAACTGATCAAGAGGCGGAGCTCTCTTAGGGAGGAGTGTCCTGGGGCAGAGCAAACGAAGAGACAGAGGGACAGCGCAGCTCTCCCCCAGCTGGGCATTCAGCTCTCTCTTCCCTCACTCTCTCAGTGCAGGCTGTGGACACCATGAGTCTCTGGGACACTCGGTCCAGGGACCTGGACAGGTACATTGAGGAGTATCTCTTGCCTGATACCACTTTTCGGACAGAGGTCCGAAGGGCAGTCGACACCATCTCCTCCTTCCTAAAGAACAGATGTTTCCGAGATACATGGAAGTCAGTTCGGGTGACCAAGGCTGTGAAGGTGAGCTTGGGCTGGTTTCTTTACCTGCTGATCTGAGACTCTGGGCAGGGGGAGAAGGCTCAGGAAAAAGAGAAGCCCCAGGCAGGGGGAGGGTCCTGTCGGTGGTGTGGGGGGCGGGGCGGGAGAGATGGTCCTTAAAAGCCAGGTTTGGAACATGGGGATGAGCAGAGCAGAGCAGAGGGATGTCCAGGGAGGGGGCACTTGGTTTTGCACGCCCCCTCCTGCCTTCTTCTGGCCAAGGGATTCTTCCTTCAGGGATAATCTCACTGCTCGGTTTCTGCTCCATTCAGGGAGGTTCATCTGGCAAAGGCACAGCCCTGAGAGGCCGCTCCGATGCAGACCTGGTAGTATTTCTCAGCGATTTCAAAAGCTATCGGGACCAGATAGAGCGACGAGGAGAGTTCATTGAGGAAATCAAAAAACGATTGGAAGAATTTGAGCGTGACCAAGGTGGAATGTTTCAAGTAAAATTTGAGGTTAACAGATGGACTAACCCTCGAGTGCTCAGCTTCAGGATGACGTCGAAAAAGATCAGTCAGTGGGTGGACTTCGATGTGCTTCCAGCCTTCGATGTTTTAGGTAAGAAGCCCCCCACCTGGCTTCTGGGTCACCCCAGTCCAGGATGAGGAGACGCTGCTTCCAGAAGAACAGACCCTGCCCAGGCCCCCTTCTCTCAGCCCCCAGCCTCATCTGATTTCCAACAGTGAAGCTTCCCACCTTGGCCCACACACAAAGGGACTGTAGAGTCTCTGTTCCTGCCTCCTGGGGCGTGGGGTGGGCAGGGGGAGTGTAGCATTGGGAAAAGATCCCTGGATTCAGCATCAGAAAAGAGGTCTTCAAAGCCCATCTCTGCTATGTACTGTGACCTCAGGCAAGTCACTGCCTTTCTCAGGCTCTGGGGAACTGGCCTAAATGAAGGGTTCTTGAGTAGCCACTAGGTGGTCCAGTGGATAGAACACTAAGTCTGTAGTCAGGAAGAGTTGAGTTCAAATCTAGCTTCAGACACTTGCTGGGTGTGTGATCCTGGGAAAGTCACTTAACTTCTATTTATTTCAGTTTTACTCATCTGCAAAATGAGGATCATCATAGCATCTACACCATAGGGTTACTATGAGACTTAGAAGAGATTAACATTTCTAAAGTGCTTAGCACAGAAATGTTTGTTTTGTGTGTCCTGGATCTCATTATCAGTCTAGTCAGTCAGTCAACCAATATACATTTATTAAGCACCTACTATGAACCAGGCACTGTACTAATCACTGGGGATACAAAGAAAGGTAAAAAAGCAGCTCCAGCTGTAAAGAAGCTCATAGTCTAATGGGGAAGACAACATTAGAACAACTATGTGCAAATAAGCTGTAGACAGGATAAATTGGAAATAATTAACAGAGGGAGAATAAGTCTAGTGAAGCTTATGGACCCCTTTTCAGAATAACGTTTTTATATCTGTAAAATAAAATTAGAAAACCAGTTAGATTGAAATAGTTCTTTTAAAAAAATTTTTAACCTTTACAGACCCCAGCTTAAGAACCCCCAAACTAGATGATCTCTCTCTTTTTTCACTTTTTCTTTTTCTCTTAATTTATTTTAAACATAAATACTAAAACTTAAATACACAATGAGAAAAGAAACAGAAACATTATAAACTTAAATAATAAAACTTTAATAAAAAATAAGAAAATAGCAAAAAGCATTGCCATGTACATAGCAAAATGTGAGAGAAGATTCAAAACATATAGCAATAAATTTCCATTTCAAGAAAGCCTACAAAATAAATACCACCATTGTGTTCCAAGCTGGACGTCTTTTCTTTGCTTCCTTGTAAGTTTTCTTTTGTTCTCCACTGATCACTTTTTACTTTGTTCTTTTCCCCCCCTTGCTCCCCTCCCTTACCCAAGAAGGCTAAAATTAAGTCTGCATAGACACATGCGCACACACACACACATACATTTATGCACATATATACATAAAAAGATATACATATATACATACATGTGTACACATATATATGTACACTTACATACATATACATATATTTATATATCTATAATCATACTCATACTTAGGCATATAGATTCATATGCATCTATGTAAGACTGTACTATACTTGTTTGTCCTCTGTTCATGGTTACTACCTGACCTTTTCTTTTCCCTAATAAATTCCACTCTTCACCTTTATTTTACATTTGTGTGTATCTTTTCTTTCTTTTTTTTTGTAAAAAGAAGTTTTATATTTCTTTTCATTTTATCCTGTTCATCCATTTCATATTTTTATACAGACAGTTGAAAAAATAGTCATAAAAATGTATTGAAAAAATACAGTCATACAAATGTATAACGTGCTTGACACATTATATATGCTTTTTGTTTGAGACAGTATGGTATAGTAGGTGGAGAGTTGACCATAAATCCAGGAGCTGAATTCAGTTTCTTTGTCTGACACATACTGGCTGTGTGATTCTGGATAAGTCACATAACATTTCAGTTCTCTAGATAATTCTCTCAGTTGAAGAGAACATGCCAGTCAACTTTGACAGAATTTTCCCATCCAGAAGTTTTTTATGCTGTGAAATCACAGGCCCCATCTCCATCTTCTACTTGTATGTTTTTTCACTTGAAGGCCAGGACTCTTCTATGCTAATGCAAATTCCAATGTCTCCTTTCTATGCCTCTTTGGAGTCTTGCATTTGAAGATCAAATTTCCTGTTGAGCTCTGGGCTTTTCATCAGAGAAAATCTGGAAGTCCCCTATTTCATTGAATGTCCATCTCCTTTTCTGAAAGATTATGCTCAATTTTGCTGGGTAGTTGATCCTTGGTTGTAATCCAAGCTCCATTGCCTTATGGAATATCATATTCCAAGCCTTCTGATCTTTTAATGTAGAAGCTTCAATGTCCCGCATAATCCTGACTGTGGTTCCACAATATTTGAATTGATTTTTTCTGACTGTTTGCAGTATTTTATCCTTGACCTGATAATTCTGGAATTTGACTACAATATTCCTTGGTGTTTTCAATTTGGGATCTCTTTCAGGAGGTGATTGGTGGATTCTTTCTGTGACTATTTTACCCTATGGTTCTAGGACCTCCGGGCAGTTTTCCTTGAGGCAGTTTTTCCAATGAGATATTTTGTGTTTTCTTCAATTTTTTAATTCTTTTGATTTTATTTGACTGATTCTTGTTGTCTCATAGAGTCATTAGCTTCTGCTTCCCAATTCTAATTTTTAATGAATTGTTTTCTTCAGTGAGCTTTTCTACCTCCTTTTCCATTTGGCCAATTCTACTTTTTAAGGAGTTGTTTTCTTTATCCATTCTGTCAATTGTATTTTTAAAGGAACTGTTCAATTTTTCTTCTACCTCTCTAAATTGACTTTTAAAATCTTTCTTGAGCACTTCCAAGAAGGGTTTTTGGGCTTGAGACCAGTTCATATTCCCCTCTGATGTTTCAGATGTGGGTATATTGACAACGTTGTCCTCTCCTGAATTTGTGTTTTGATCTTCCCTGTCACCAAGATACTTCTCTGTGGTCATAGTTTTTCTTTGTTGCTTCTTGCTCATATTGTTTGCCTTTTTTTTCTGGCTTTTAAAGTTGGTCTCTGCTTCTGGAGCACAGGGGGCCTGACCCAGGCTTCTTGTGCTGGGGGCTAGGGGTCTGGTTACTGGTTTTGTGTGCTGGGGCTTCAGATGTTGGCAGCTGGAGGCTGGAGGCATCTGGTAGCTTACCTGCTGCTGAGTTGGAGCTGGTGGTAGTGGCTGGTGTGTGCTTGCCTTGCTCCACCACTTCAGGATCTCCTGCTGTTTGCTGAAGCGGGGCTTGCTGGGAGCCTCCCATCCTGTACTGGTCCTCATCAGCCATAGCAAGAGGGACCTTTCCCATTTATCCCCCTAGCCTCCTGAACTAAAAGACTGCTGTATCTCTTCTTTCTGCTGGCTCCACTATTCCAGGATTTTTCCTGGGGCAATATTTTCTGTGTTTTTTAAGGTCAATAAAGGAGAGTGAGAGCTACTTACTACTTACTCTGACATCTTGGCTCCTGGAAGTCCAAATAGGTTACTTTCAAATACTGAGTCTGTGGGCTGATAGCTCCAAGAGCTACTGCTGCTGATTCAGTCACTCCCACAGCCTGCTCCTGATTTGCTGGGGCCAAGTATGGAGTGTGCTCCTCTCACACCCAGGTCTTTCCTACTGACCTTGTAAGTTGCCTTTGGCTTTTGTGGGTTGAGAAGTCTGGAAACCACCACTTAGTAATTCTATCTGCATAATAGGCAATTCCTTTCTTTGGTTTAACCTATAGGATGCCTTCTGGGTATCAGAAGAGAACAGCCAACTTCAATCATTTGAACATGGGGCAACTAATACCTTGTCAAATATTTCAAGTTGAGTATCTCCTATCTCTCTGCCATCCAATTCAGATATTTTTATTATATTTGTCATGGGTCATGGGATAAAGGATTCTAGTGTCTGCTTCAACCACCTTGATGGCAGGCTATCATACTCATTACAGTGAAAATAATCTGGATAGGCACACTGTAGAAGAGCTGTTGATTTGCTCCCAGGAATAGCACACATATCCAAAATTCTTTCCCCATTTTGTAATTCCAGAGCTAACGCTGGGAGAAGGGGGGCAGCATTTAGAAGGTAATATCCTTTAAGTTTACCAAATTGATGTCTCTCTGAAGGTATTCCTCCAGGAATTCTACTAATGTAGCATATCAGTGATTTAGGACAGTAGGGAAAATATCCTTGAAGAAGGGTGTGATATCTCTTCAGATGTAAATCCTTCTCCAGTATGAAAGGATAGTTGAATCTATTAAAAAGGACTGCATGTTGCCAGCATGCTGGAGATGTTAAGATATCTCTGTATATGTTAAATGTTCATCCTCATTCTCTTCTGTTTTTTAAAATGTTTTGAAGTTATCTTTTCCTTATTGTAATCCATGAATCTCCAAGCCCCTTTCAGTTCTAAAATCTTATGACCTATGGCCATAACTGAGTATAATCCAGAATAAACCCTAGTGTTCTCACATACATAAGGTTATAAGTAGACACCCAGGAGTTTGGCAGACAGCAAAGAGAAAACTTGCCCAGGCCTGCAGCTAGAGCCCCCAAAACAATAGCCAGGGTCCAGTTTCTCTTACTTTCCCTCTGACTCTTTTCCAGTGTTCCTTTTCTGCTCCCACTGGGTTGGCCTCCTCACTGCTCCATGAACAAACCATAACCACTCCCACCTAGAAGCCCATGCTCGGGTTATACTCTCCTTTGGAAATGTCTTCTTTCTACTTCATTTTTCCAAATTCTACTCCTCCTTCAAGGCCCAGGTCAGATCCTACTCCTCTAGGAAACCTTTACTGATACTACTATGATCTTTCTCCCCTGAGGTCCTGCAGGACTTACTCTCTGTGCCCTGTATTGTCAGCCTTTTCATGTGTATGGTTCTTTTTTTCTACATACAAACTCCTGGTGGGCAGAGCCTGCCTTTTGTCTCTGTCTCTACCCCTAGCACCTTATCCTCACTTCCCTGCTCATTTGATCAGAGCAGAACTGGTGCTAATCCAACACTGGCTGAATTGAGTTGGTTTTCCCCCCACAGGCCAGGTGACCAACGGCTTCAGACCTAACCCCCAAGTCTACATCAAACTTATAAATGAATACTGGAATGAGGGAGAATTCTCCACTTGCTTCACAGAGCTCCAGACACGCTTCCTCAAACAGCGCTGCACCAAGCTCAAAAGTCTGATCAGATTGGTGAAACACTGGTATAAAATGGTAGGAATCTTTGGTTACCCAGGAGGTGAACACCTGAGGGCAATGACAGGAGAATGGGTACTCCATTGGCCATGCCACTCACTAGCTGTGTGACCTCCAGCAAGGCACCTGGCCTTTTCCTCAGCTCTAAAATGAAGGAGCTGAATGAGATGGCTTCTGACCTTCCCTGTGACTCAGGAGAGGATGCAACATGAGGCATGTGGATTGTGTTTCATTGCATTAATCACATGAATTTAGAAAGTATCTACTATATGCCTCTGGGAATACAAATACAAGAAATGAGAACAATTCCTAGTCTCAGAGAGCTTACATTCTATTGGGGGAGATGAGTGGGCATATATGACTGTGACAGACATGCCCAGGGAGAGGGGTTGGTGGTCGGGAGAGATAGAAAGGAAGGAGGAATGCCAGAGTTATTGGTCAAGGGAGTGATCATTCTCAATTATTTCTTCTTCCTTCTCAGTGCAAGGACAAAATGGACAATCTCCCCCCTCAATATGCCCTAGAGCTCCTGACTGTCTATGCCTGGGAGCATGGGAGCAAGGTAACTGATTTCAACACAGCTCAGGGCTTCCGGACAGTCCTGTATTTGATAGCGCACTACCCACAGCTCAGGATCTACTGGACCATTAACTATGACTTTCAGAATGTGATCATTGGAGAGTACCTGCAATCACAGCTGAAAAAACCCAGGTACCAGAAATAAGATCCATGCCCCCCTTGAAATCGGCAAATATTTCAAGCTGCTGTCTCTGGTCCCCTGAACCTTTCTGCCCTGACTCAGGCCACCCTCTTGGACTAAGTTTACTGCTGAGCTTCTGACTTACAACTTGCCCATAAAACGGTCCTTTGTGTAAGTGGAATGTCAGATTGACTTCATGACTTGGTATCAGAGATTCTAGGAAGGCTCACTTGCCACCCAAAATGTCTTCTCTATGCTGCTCTCTGAAATTCTACCATTCAAGCTTTATTCCTTTGGATTAATTTTCTCCCATGTCCTTCAAGACCCCTCTTGGTTCAATCCAATCCAACCTAATTATATGCATATTCACTGAATCCCTATAGGAACTTGAGAGATCAGGATTCAGAGCATACACATCTATAAGATACTATACAATGATTAGTGTGTGATCCTTCTCTCCCCAGCCCTTACTGTGTCACAAGATCATGTTCTTAACCACTTCCTACATGGAAATTTAGTCTTCCAGTGAAATTGGTAGCCAGTGGCCTGTGTCCTGGTCTCTGATCCCTCCCTACTCGTTACCTGTATGACTATGGGCAAGATTCTTCTAGTAGCCTTGGTCCTCCTCTGTGCTCCACCACACAGGGCCTGCTAGAAGAATAATTGTGATCCTGAAAGCAAAGGCTTTGGCACTAGAAAGCACTATGGAAATGTCAACTATTAATATTACTGTAGTCTATGTTACTTGAAGGATTTGGAGAGGGGCATTCCTGGAGCAAACGTATTCTTGGCTTTGGTGACCTGGGAGGAATCTCTTCATTAGCCTTAACTCTGCTTTCCCCTTTAGGCCAGTGATCCTGGACCCAGCTGATCCAACTGGTGATGTAGGGGGTGGAATTCGATGGCGCTGGGACAAGCTGGCACAAGAAGCCCAACTATGGTCATCTGCCCCATGCTTTCAAAATTGGTCTGGGACCTGCGTGCAGCCATGGCATGTGCCGGTGAGTGACAGGCTTCTCTGGCATGTGTGTATGTGTGACACCCCCAGGAAGGGCCCCCATGCCCTCAGGCAGCCTTTGCCTCTGCACAGCACCCATCCTCCTACTGTAGAGTACTCATACTCATGGTAATCTGAAGTTGGAATCTGGAGGTCTACTCCTGATCTGACCTGAATATTCCAGCTGTGCCCTGACCATCACAGGCTCCCATGAGACTGGCACTTTCCATGATCTTTGGGATTTGGAAGAGTTCTAAGGTGTCCTTCTCGATTCCACATCTGTTACCCTAAACTGGACCCCAGCATGGTTACATCCCTTCCCTTACCCCTTTTTGGTCCATCTCCAGGAAGACCACTTTCCACAGAACCTTTTAATTAAGCAGTGGAGTCCTGAGATATGCGCAGAACCAAGACACACACACACACACACACACACACACACACACACACACAGGGAGAGAGAGACAGAGAGAGAGAGAGAGAGAAAGTGGTTTGTCCCCTGGAACTGAACAGTGTACTCCCACTGGGTACACCTCCCACAGTGGGCCCTGGGGTGGTCACTTCCCAAGACCTGTTAGTGACCTCGACTTCATTAGAAGATCCCATAGCCTTTTATTTTCAGTCACACTGCTGGCCACCTTGAGCTTCTACCATCATCATTTGATAGACATGGCAACTGAGGCTCAGGGTGGAAAAATGTCTTGAGTAAGGTCACTAAGCCACTTAGTGACAGAACCAGGACTAGAATGGAGCTCTCTAGACTAGTATAAAGTTCTTTCTTTGTTGTTGCTACTGTTGAGTCATTTTCAGGCATATCTGACTCTTTGTGGCCCCATTTGGGATTTTCTTGGCAAAGATTCTAGAGTGGTTTTCCTTTTCCTTCTTCAGCTCATTTTAGAGATGAAGAAACTGAGGCAAACAGGGTGAACAGAGTTGTCCTGGGTCACCCAGCTAGCAAGTGTCTGAGGTCAGATTTGAACTCAGGAAGATGTGTCTTCCTGACTCCAGGCCGGACACTCTATGCACTATGGCACCACCTAGCTGCCCAAGGTTCTTCCTCTATGACCTTAGTGACTCCCATTCCCAAATCATGGGTAGGCAGATTCCCCAAGGTAAATGTGTTTTCTTTTCAGGTGGAGCAGACCCAGGAAGGAAGCAAGGGCTTTCCCCCAACCAGTTTCTCAGAAGAGGACTTCCACATTTGCGATCCAGTGCCATTGGAAGTGAGCGATTGTTACCTCCAAGGAGACCCTCCTGCCCAACAGGAGTCTAACTGCACAATTCTCTGAGTCTGTTCTCCCCAACCTCTGGGTCTCAGTGACCTCAGAGGGAGAATAGCACGTATTGGATAAGAGGGCTACTAAAATCCTTCCCAACTCTCAAATTCTTTAATTCCAAGAAAATTAGTGGCAGAAACATGTAGTGAAATCTTTATAGGGATAATATCTATAAATGAACAAGGTTGGCTTGAGCCAAACAGAACAGAAGATCTTCTAACTCTGGATATGGGATGCTATAATCCTGTAACCCCTAGATTGTGATCCAGGTAGAAATTCAAGCCACCCTTGATTTCTCCTATCTATATCTCATTTGTATGTAGTTACTAGTATGATGTCTCCCCTTGAGAGAAATGATCATTTCTCTCTTGTATGAATAATTAATTATTGAATCAGGACCAAGGTTTTTCTCCTTTTTGACTTCCTCATCCAGAAATCAACCAGTATGGGAAATCTTAGACAAAGACTTATCCAGGAAAAGAAATTCCAGGTTTAGGCTAATGGATGGATTCCTGCTCATTGTGTTTACTCAGACAGGTCTGGGAAGATGTGGATTCTTCTTTTTGTCAAACAGGTGATATGGAAATTGATGAGTACAAGTCCTCCAAGCCCCTCATTGTAATATAGTCACCTTCCATGCTAAAATTCATTCTCTCATTAATTGTTAACCAATCAGAGTTGATTGCCACCCTTAAGAACACTTGCTCTTCTAAGAACATATAAATTGTGAGCCCAGTGTCATGAGGGGTCTTTGGCATTGGAGAGTACCACTGACCTCTTTTATTAATAACATGCTAGCCTTATTAATAAAATAATTAATTACTCAGAAATTATGTTCTTGAACTTTTTAAAGATCACAGTTTAATAGACTTGAGTTCCTTAAGATGAGAAACTGTTTTTGTCTTTGTCTTTCCAGGATTTAGCACAATGCCTGGCGTATACTAAGGGCTTAGTAATGTGGGACCTAGGGAATACTACTAGATAGTGGGCAGGTAGAACACAGTGGTGTTTCTGTTTCAAGTATCATGTTAAATCTTTGTACTGGTGACATAGCACCTGGAGGCCAAATAGCATGAAAAGAGATGCCCAATGAAGGTTCCTCACCCTTTGGGCACTAGCCCAGCAGTCTCATTTAGATGGCATCTCTGTGCCGGCCACGCTGTGCACTCTCCTCCTATAAGGAGCAGGCTGCCGGGGTCATACTACTTACCAGTCTTCGGAGCCTATCCGGATAAACACACAGAGACGAGCCCGACCAGGAGGTGCCAACACTGGAACTTTATTCAGAGGCCATCACAGCAAGGCCAAGCAGGAAGGCCAGAGCAAGAGAGCAGGAGCAAAGAGAGAGAGCGAGCTCGACCACTACCTTTCCTTAAGTACCTACTTAGCCCCTCCTCCTCAGCCCGCCTACTAGTCATTGATTGTAGGATCAGATACCGGAAGGGGATGTCTGGGTTTAGCGCACCAAGGGAGAGGAAGTGGCGCAGGAGGCTAGGACCGGATACAGGAAGGAGGCATCTGGGATTAGTGCATAGACAAAAGGGAGAGTACTTGACCTAGGAAGTCAGGCCCAGATACCGGGAGGAGGCGTCTGGGGTTGGTGCTACACAAAGGGAAAGTACGTGACCCAGGAAGTCAGGAAGGACACAGGAAGGAGGTGTCTGGGGTTGATGTTGCACTTAGGGAGGGGACTAAGCAAAGGGAACTCGTCCTCTGCCGTCCCACTCCCACGTGGCACAGCCCCCTGCCTCAGGAACACGTGCTCCGGCTACTTCCTTGTATTCTGTTCCTTCCCCAGCTATCACAGCTCCACATAGCATTGCCCACTGCCTCAGGAGCTTGAGCTCCGGATACTTCTCCGTATCCAGCCCATCCCAGTTCACCACAACTCCACCTAGCACAGCCACTGCCTCGGGAGTGTGAGCTCCGGTTATTTCCTAATATCTTGTTCCTACCCCATCTTGCCACAACTTTCACTTGGCAGTAGTCAACATCAGACAGTCCCTCACACATCTCCATGAGGAGTAGAGAGTCAAGGGGAAGTTAAGCACTTCCTGGGGCAGTCGACATGTAGCCTTGATCTTTATGTGCCAACTCTATGCTTACTAGGTAAATAAAGTTGACTTTTTTTCTCCATAGCTAGTGTCTACTTAGTCATTGATGCCATCTTGAGAACTAGGTTTGGAACAGCTGCAGGCAGCCTCTCACAACAATAATAAATGCTTAGTACTCCTCCCTGGATCTCAGTTTCCCTACTGGGAGTACTTATGTCCATAAGTACTGCAAGGACCTGTAAAGCTTGCCCATTCATGGGTTCCCATGGCAACCCCTCCAGAGCTGTCATCATGATTTAAAGACTCCATCATTTAGTGGCCAACCTTGCAGCAATGTGCCTTCCCAAACTCAGGTAGACTGGTCCTTGGCCAACCGATAGCCATACTCCATACTTGGAGTCTTTCCAGGTGAAAGGGAATCATGAGGTCTGGGGTTCCACTGGGATGACCTTTAAGAGCCCAAGGTCACCTCCCCACAGCAATGGGGCACCAGAAGAAGACTATAATAGAAGAAAATGGGTCAGGTAAGTATGACAAAGGAAAAACATGGCTGACATATGCTCCCTTCTCCCTTCTCCCTCTGAGAATCCCTGGGTTCCTCCAAAGCTGAGTTTACCTGCCTCTTCCTAGAGGCAACTGTTCCTGACCTTGCTAGCTGTTCATGCCCTACTGAACCCCCCACCTGAAATGATCATAGTTTATGTCCAAGATTTTTAATCTTTTTTGAGTCCTGGACTCTTTTGGCAGTTTGATGAAGCCTGTGGACCCCCTTCTCAGAATTATGTTTTTAAATCCACAAAATAAAATTTAAAGGATTTCAAAGGAAACCAAAGGAAATGGGAAACTGATTCAGTATCTTCGCCACAAAAACTCCAAATGGGGTCATGGAGAGTCAGACAGGACTGACCAACAACAAAAATCTAAAATGAGGTGGTTAGACTGGATAGCCCCAAAGGTCCGTTTCAGCCCTAAATCTGTGATCCTACAAATCCCAAGTAGAGAATATGGGAGCTTGTTTTCTCATAGCCAGCAAAGATCTTTAAAATATGGATATGGATATAGATATAGATACAGATATTTCCCCAATTACACATCAAAACAATTTTTAACATTTGTTTTCTTTTAATTAAGTTTTGAGTTCTAAGTTCTATCCCTCCTTCCGTCCCTTTCCTCCTTCCTCCCTGGGGCAGGAAGCAATCAGGTATATACATGTGCAATCCGTACTATTAAGAGAAATGAGTTCAGCTTTGACCCAGAGAAAAACGGAAAAAAATGAACTTATTCTCCTTTCATGGGGATGGGGGTGTTGGTTGTTTTGACTGCTTTTTTCTTCTTTCTTTCTTTTTTATCTTTTGTTTTTAGAAGGGATGGCTCACTAAGGAGGTCAGAAAGGGAGAGGAATTTGATATAAAAACAAAGCATATAAAGAAACAAATTTACCAAGAGAAGATGGTACAGTGGTTAGAATGATGGACCTTAAGTAAAGAAGACACAAGTTCAAATATTGATTTAGACAGTTACTTGCTGTGTGACCTTTGACAAGTCACTTAATTGCTGCCTGCCTTAGTTTCTTCATCTGTAAAATAGGGATAATAATAGCCCCTACCTCCCAGGATGGTTTTGAGAATCAAATGAAACAATATTCTTAAAATGCTTTGCCAGTCTTAAAGCACTATATAAATACTGGCTATCAGCATTATTATTAATAAGTATTAATAATTTCATAATAATAATGACTGAGAAAGAGAAGACCAGTGGGGTGTCATAGAGACATAACAGTCAAGAATTGGAGGAGCTGCATTTCTAAAATATATAGAGAATTATGTCAAATTTACAAGAATGCAAGTCATTCCCCAATTGATAAACGGTCAAAGGATATGAACAGGCAGTTCTCAGATGAAGAAATTAAAGCCAGCTATAGTCATATGAAAAAATGCTCTAAATCGTTATTGATTAGAGAAATGCAAATCAAAACAACTCTGAGGTACCACATCACACTTATCAGATTGTCCGACATGACAAAACAGGAAAATTATGAATGTTGGAGAAGATGTGGGAAAATTGGAACACTAATGCCTTGTTGATGGAGTTGTGAAATGATCCAACCATTTTGAAGGGCAATTTGGAACTATGCTCAAAGGGCTATAAAAATGTGCATACCCTTTGACGCAGCAAGAGCACTTCTAGAGCTATATCCCAAAGAGATCATACAAATGGGAAAAAGACCCTCATGTACAAAAATATGCATAGCAACTCTTTTTGTGGTGGCAAAGAATTGGAAATTGAGAGAATGCCCATCAATTGGGGAATGGCTGAACAAGTTGTGGTATATGAATGTAATGGGATACTACTGTGCTATAAGAAATGATGAGCAGGCTGACTTCAGAAAAACCTGGAAAGACTTGTATGATCTGATGCTGAGTGAAGTGAGCAGAACCAAGAGAACATTGTACACAATAACAGCCACATTGTGTGATGATTAATATTGATAAACTTAACCCTTCCCAGCAATACAAAGATCTAAGACACCTCCAAAGGCCTCGTGATGGAAAATGCTATCCACATCCAAAGAAAGAACTATGGAATTTGAATGCAGATCGAAGCATACTATTTGCTATTCTTTTTTCTCTTCTGTTGAGTTTTGTTTCCTCTTTCTGGTAGCCTCCTATTGGTTTTAATTTTTACTTACAACATCACTAATCTGAAAATATGGCTAATAATTGGAAGAGCTGGGGGCAGCTAGGTGGTGCAGTGGATAAAGCACCAGCCCTGGATTCAGGAGGACCTGAATTCAAATCCGGCCTCAGACATATAACACTTACTAGCTGTGTGATCCTGGGCAAGTTACTTAACCCCATTGCCTAGCCAAAAAAAAAAAAGAATTGGAAGAGCCAACCCTGATCCTGCTGTTGTAACCTCCTGCCAATCTCTCCTCAACCTCTTTGGTTTCCTCAACTACAAAGTGAAGACATTAATTAATTAATATTAATGATAATCATTCAGTTGTTTTTCAGTCATGTCCAACTCTTGGTTGACCCCTTGTGGGATTTCCTTGACAAGGGATACTGGAGTGGTTTGCCATTTCCTTCTCCAACTCATTTTACATATAAGGAAACTGAGGAAAATAGGGGTGAAGTGACTTGCCCAGGGTCACACAGCTAGGAAGTGTCTGAGGCCAGATTTGAACTCAGGAAGATGAGTGATCCTGACTGCAGGCCCAGCACTCTATCTACTGCATACTTAGCTGCTTAATAATAATAATAATAATTAATAATATAATGCTTTAAGGTTTGCAAAGCACTCTGCATATGTTCTCATTTGGTGCTCCTAACAACTCTGCAAGGCAGGTGCTATTATTATCCCTGTTTTACAGATGTGGAAACTGAGGCAGATAGAGATTAAGTGACTTACCCAGGGACACACAGCTAATAAGGATCTGAGGCAAGATTTGTACCTCCAGTCTACCTTGACTTCAAGCACTGTACCAAATTTGTCAGAGTGAAAAATGCAGAAACAAGATAATAATGTACCTGGTAACACCAATAACATAAATGAAAACAGCCCTAATAGGCAACTAGTTTCTGATTGATTACAATGATCAGTCCTGGTTCCAAAGAACAGGGGATCAAGTCCGCTCTCCTCCCCAGCTGTGAGAGGAGGATCATGGGTGTTTTGCCATGGTTCAGTCCCTTTGTCCTCTGATTTGGCTTCAGTTTTTTCTGAGGACTCAGCGGCAGGGTGGGCTACGTGGAGCTCTGACATCTCTAGGTTTGGGGGCAGGGGTGGGCAAGCGGTGGGACAGAGCTTGAGGGTGAGGAGGGTTAGGGTTTTGCCCAGAGGGAAAGAAGAGCCAGGCAGTGGGGAGCTGGGGAAGGATCCAGGTAGAAAGGGAAATCGAAAGTAAAAGAAATGAGAGAAAGAAAAGAGGAAGAAACCACAATTTCCTGCAGGTAGCAGATTTGGAGCTGCCTCTGAAGGGGAAGAGCCGCTGCAATAGCAGTGAGGTTGGTTTCAATTCTCTAGTAGGAGAGACAGTACCCTCCTCTCCTTTGCCTTCTCTTCCTTCCCTCCATCCCCGCCTCTCCCTCTGGGCTTCAACCTCTCAGTTCTTTCCGCTAGCAGGACCAGCCCTTTAGAAGAAACGAAACCAGCCCACGGGGCTGGGATGTTTTTCTCCCCAGTGAGCCAATGGGATTCGAGACTGCCTCTGGCACTCACCCACCCATGAGGAACAGAGCTGAAATGGCTTGGCTGTGAGCCAGGTAAGGGACAACTTCCTCTTGAAGCCAGCTCAGAACCCTACCTGCTGAAACGGGAGCCATGGGTCTGTACCAGACGCCGGGCAGGGCCCTGGACAAGTTTGTGCAGGATAATCTCATGCCACAGAAAGGCTTTCTGGATCAGGTGAGGCAAGCAGTGAACACCATTTGCACGGTGCTGCGGGAGAAGTGTTTTCAGAACTCCACCTCCAGGGTCCGGGTGATAAAAGTCATTAAGGTGAGTGAGTGAGGCGCGGAACTCCTCCCGCCTGGAAGATGAAGACAGGTGGGGGACCCGGGACAAGAGGGCAGGATCTGAAAGACCTTTGGAGACTGGGAACCTCAGGTCCATAGGCACAATTCACCAATAGACGAGCGCTTCTTAAGTGCCTACTGTGTGCCAGGTACTGTGGTAGGCACTGAGGATATCTATTGAAGGAAACATCAAAATACAAAAATATTTCAAAAGTAAACACATAGTGATTTGAGGGTGTAGAGAGGTGGGGCAGCACTGCCCCTGGAGAGAGCTCAGGAGGAGGTGGTGGGGATATGAGCACAGTGCCTGGCACATAGTAGGGGTTTAATAAATGTTTATTGAATTGAATTGAAAAAAAGAAATTGAAGTGTTCTAAGAGACAGCTTTCCAGGAATGTGGGACAGGCAGTGTGAAATCAAGAAAGAACAAATAATCCAGTGTGGACACAGAAAGGACTCATTTACCTTAAATCTGGAAAGGCAGTGAGGAGCCAGGTTGGAAAGGGCTTTAAATGCCAAAGAGAAGAATTTATCATAGACCTAGAGGCACTAGGGACTCACTGAATGTTCTGGAGCAGGGGAATGGCAGGGTCAGACCTGTACACTTTGGCAGCTGTGTGGAGAATGGATTGGAGAAGGGAGAGTCTTGGGGCAGAGAGAGAGAGAGAGAGAGAGAGCAGTTCAAAGGCTATTGCAATAGTTCAGGCAAGAGACAGGGGTCTGAACTAAGGTGGTAACACCATAAGTGAAGGGAGGGATGCAGGTAGGGAAAATGTCACCGAAATAGAGTTGGTAAGTTTTGGCAACTGATTCAGTATGGTGGAGGAAGGGAATGAGAGACACAGTCCTTTCCATGGGATGGCAGAAGGAGCTCTGAGCCTGGGAGCCAGGAACCCTGGATTCTGGACAGAGATCTGATGCACAGAATGTTTGTGCTAGAAGAGTGCTTAGAGATCATTTAGGCCAACCCTTCATTTAATTAATTGGGAAACTGATATGCAAGGTTGCTGATCCAAGGCCCTATCAGTGCATTAATGGCAAAGCAAGGGATTGGAACCAAGGGCCTCTGAGCAAATCACTTCTCCAATCTGGGTCTCAGTTTCCCCATCTGTAAAATAGGGATAATGATGCCTCTCTACCTCAAAAGGGCTGAAGCTAGAACAATTTTGAAAACAACCTGTTACTATACAGATGTAAGAGCTAGGCAGTATGGCACCCAGGGTACCAAAGCAATATGGCATCAAGTTCTGAAACTTACTACTTGTGTAAGGAATAGAAGTCACTGCTCTTCTCTGACCTTCAGTTTCTTCATCTTTATGATAAGAGGGGTTGGACCAGATCATAAGATTTAGAAAAGAAAGGGACCTGACAGGTCATCTAGGTCAACTCCCTCACTTTAAAGAAAGGGAAACTGAGGCCAGAGCAGGGAAGCAGATTGCTCAAAGTCACACAGATAGCAGAGCCAAAGGAGGTTTGAACCCAGGTCCAATATCTCCAAATCCAGGACTTTGCCTACTGTACCACACTGCCTCTCAAAAATCCTTTCCAAGTCTTCATACATCCAAGTTCCCATCACACCAGGGCTGCTCTTGTCTCCTCCTCAGGGTGGCTCCTATGGCCGGGGCACGCCCCTGAGAGGTGGCTCCGACGCTGACCTCGTCGTCTTCCTCAGCTGTTTCAAGGCCTATGCTGACCAAGGGGCCTGGCAGCCAGATGGCTTCGATGAGATCCGGGCCCAGTTGGAAGCCTGCTGGCAGAAACACCCACAGGCCTTGAGCCTCCAGTTCTGCGCCCAGGGGGATCCTCAAGCTTTGAGATTCCGGCTGGGGTCAGCCACGCTCCACAGCTGGATGGACGTTTCGCTGAAGCCTGCTTTCGATGCCCTGGGTGAGTGCCTGGGGACTGTGAGGCAGCATCCTCCCCTGCAGTGAAGGGATCCAGACAGAAACTGTTGTGTCTGAACACTGGAACTCTCAGAAATGCCCCTGCCTTCTACAAGGACTTTAATTTCCTCCACTAGAGTTATCAGAGGGCTGCTATACTTTATCAGGCGAGCTTGGTAAATCACTTCGTGCTCTGTGACTGCAGAACACTAATTCATAGAATAATAATAATAATAGCAAATAGTCATATAACACTTTACATATATATTATCTCATTTGATCACAGAATATAAGGGCTGAGAGGGGCTTTAGAATGCCAAATATTTGAGCTGGAAAGGGCCTCAGAACAGGCAATGTCAGAGCTGAGAGGGCCCTTAGAACAGGTAATGTCAGAGCTGGGAGGGGCCTTAGAACAGGGGATGTCAGAGCTCAGAGGGGCCTTAGAACAGGGGATGTCAGAGCTCAGAGGGGCCTTAGAACAGGGAATGTCAGGGCTTTGTTGTTCAGTTGTGTCTGACTCTTCATGATTCCTCCTCTTCAGAAGGCATATAAACGGTGACCCCACCACCATTAGGGGTCTTTGGTCTAAGAGAGGAAACTAGGTGGTGCAATGAATAGATCATAGGACTAGGAGTCAGGAAGACGTGAGTTTGAATCCCACCTCAGACTCATGCTATCTAAGTGACTCTGGACAAGTCACTTAAGACACTTAAATTGTGCCTCAGTTTCCTCATCTGCAAAATGGGGGGGATGATGATAATTGCATCTACTTCCCAGGGCTGTCATGAGAATCAAATGAATTAATACATGTAAAGAGCTTTGCAAACCTTGAAACTCTATGTAAATGCTAGCTCTTATTATAATTAATAATAAATAAAATGGGCACTCCTAAAATAGAAGAGAAGGAGATTATACAGAAAACTGCAGATCTCTATTATGTGAAACTTACTTTTCTTTTTTTGGACAAAAACATAGTGAGTGATTTTTATCTTATTAGACTCAGTCCAATGCTCACAGCCTTTCTAAATCCTTAGGGATCCTGAGGTTGTCATCCTGTGTGTTAGCTATCCTTCCCTCTTAGAAGACATCCACACATTTGATGAGCAGGCCATCTCTTCCTTTATTCAAGTCACCAACAAAATTCCAGATTTTATACCAGTCTGCGGTAGAATTAGGCTTGGGACCACCAGTCTAGGCCATGCTACCTACTTTAAATCACAGAACAGAGCCTCAGGACCTATGTGTCCATTGCGGGTTTGTGCGCCACTTTTTCCTTGACCTATTGACAAGATGGTGCCATGGAAGAAACCCTAGCTTTACAGTCAGGAAGGTCACTTCTCCTTCTTGGGTCCTGATCTGTGAAAGGAAGGAATCCTAATGGATCATCTCTAAGGTCTAAATCTATGACCCTAATGGGGTTTCTCACACTTTCCCTATTGGACCTCTGATCTGGGGAATGGTGGGAGTGAACAGGAGGACAGTCCCTGGGTCCAGAATGGGGGAAATGATTTCTCCACATCTTTGGAGTCCCCACCCTAGGAGAGAAAGCCTGCTTAGTTTGCGGCAAAGAGATGATATGTGTGTTGTTTCTTCACAGGGCCTCTCAACCCTGGCTCCAAACCTAGACCCCAGGTCTACGTAGACCTCCTCAGCAATGGCTCTCCAGCAAGCACCTACTCTGAATGTTTTACTGAGCTCCAGAGGGATTTTGTCAACAGCCGCCCCTCTAAGCTGAAGAATCTCATTCTTCTAGTGAAACACTGGTACCAGCAGGTGAGACCTGGGACACATTAGCACTGATAAACGAGCACTGTCATTAAAACTATTAGAATCAAATCTCTGAACTTTTCTTTTTTAAAAAAGGAGAGGTTTTTCATTTATCCTCATTACAGATAATGCTTGTTGTCAGTTTTAGATACAGACTACTTAACATTTTAAGGAAAGCACCATTTATTCCTATGCTTTCTAGTATTTTTTAAAAATAAAAATGGGTGTTATATTTTGTCCAAAAAATTTGCATCTATAGAAATAATCGTGATTTTTGTTATTTTGTTATTAATATGGTCAATTATGCTCAAAATTTTCCTAATATTGAACCACCTCTGCATTCCTGGGGAAAAAAATTCAGCCTGGTCATAGTGTATGATCTTTATGATATATTACTGTAATCTCCTTGCTGGTATTTTATTTAAAATTTTGCATCAATATTCCTTAGGGAAATTGGTCTACGTTTTTTCTCTGTTTTGACTCTACCTGTTCTAGGTATCAAGATTATATCTGTGTCATAGGAGAAATTTGGTAGTTCTCCATTACCTATTTTTTAAACAGTTTATTTGGTATAAAAATTCATTGTTCTTTAAATGTTCAGTTGGATTTGCTAGTAAATCCATCTGGTCCCAGGTTTTTTTTCTCTTTAAAAGTTTATTTATGGCTTATTCTATTTTTTTTTTTTAAGATAGGGTTATTTAAGCACTCGATTTCCTATTATGTTAACCTGGGCAATTTATATTTTTGCAAATATTCATCTATTTTATTTAGATAGGCAGTTTTATTGGCATATAGTTAAACAAAATAGCTCCTATTAATTGTTTTTATTTCATTTTTATTGGTTGTATAATCACATTTTTTCATTTTTAATACTGGTAATTTGCTTTTTTTTTCTTATTTTAATCAAATTAGTCAATGGTTTGTCTATTTTATTGCTGGTTTTTTTTTAAAATAACTCCTACCTTTATTTATTAGTTCAATAGATGTTTCTACTTTCAATTTTGTTCATCTCTCCTTTGACTTTTGGAGTTATAATTTGTAATATGATAAGTACTTTAATTTCTAATATAACAATATGATAGATATAACCCACATGAATGGAAGCTTTTGGGGAATCCTCAGTAATTTTTAAGTGTTTATGGGGTCCTGAGACCAGAATGCCCCCAATATAAAATATCACTTTTGAACCTCATAAACAACCCTATGAGGTAATCTATCAGGTCTCTTTCTCATTTTATCTAGGTATTTTCAACTAGAGTTTATGCTCCCAAAGACCAGAAAGCCTGTCTTCTTTTCTGTTACCTGTAGTACCCAGGGTGGGTAAAGACTTGTGGATTGATTGACTGGTTTGGGTTCCATTAGGTTACATCACAGTATGAGGCAGGCCAACAAGATGACAATTATTTGCCTCCGGTCTATGCCCTGGAGCTCCTGACCATCTATGCCTGGGAACAAGCAGGAAAGAAGGAAAAATTCCACACGGCTGAAGGCTTCCTGACAGTCCTGAGCCTAATCCGGAACTACCAGCAGCTCTGTGTCTACTGGACAATCAACTACGACTTTGAGGATAAGGCCATCAGGAGTTGCCTACAAAAACAGCTGGGAAAGCCTAGGTGTCAAGTCTTCTCGCCTCCCACTTCCTAGGCCTTCCCACTTTGCTCCCCTGGAATTGAAAGCCATGAGCCCAGAATCTTCCCTGCTATACAGCAAAGTCAAGCCAGAGTCAGAGCTAGGGCCAAGATGGCAGAGCAAAAGCAGTGTCTTGCTTGAGCTCTCCCCCAAACCCCTCCAAATACTTGTAAAAAATGTCTCTAAACAAATTCTAGAGCAGCAGAGTCAGAGCTAGGCAGTACTGCGAAGAAAGCAAGGTTGTTTGGAGGCAGTGGGGAGCTAAAGAGCCAATAATAACTAGAGCTAGCATTTAGAGAGTGTTTCAAGGTTTGTAAAATGCTTTACATCTGTTTTCTCCTGAGATCCTCACAGCAACACTATCCAATAGGAACTATTATCCCCATTCTATAGATAAGGAAATTGAGGCTGAGAGGTTAAGGGATTTGTCCTGGGTCACACGACTTTCCTCAGGCAAGATTTTAATTCAAGTCTTCCTGACCTCAAGTCCAGCACTGTCTCCACTGTGACGTTGCCCTTCTCAAGGTTTTTCTCAAGGGATGCTCTGGAACCCCTTAGCTATTTTTCCCCAGTCTGCTTTGTCCAGACTTCCTCCGCCTCATATTCCTTCTTCTTGTCCTTTCCTCTAGCCTGTCCTCTGCCTATCTAGTTAGTCCCATGATGGGAAGGCTTACCCTTCATTTATTCTCTCTACTTAACTACAGGCCCCTGATCCTGGACCCAGCAGACCCAACCTGGAATGTGGGCCAGGGGAGCTGGGAGAGGCTGGTCCAGGAAGCTGAAACATGTGGGTGTCAGCCCTGCTTTGTGCATGGGGACGGGTCTCCAGTGCAACCATGGGATGTGATGGTAAGAGGCAGGGCCTCTTTGAAAAATGCTCCCCTCTCAAGAGGAAGATGGTGTTCTCTGCCCCAAACATTGATATCCTGATGAAATCAGTTATGATGAAGTGGTTCTGCGGGGGGCTGGAGAGGCCAAGAATTCTTGTCGCCATTTTGCAGATGAGAAAACTGAGCCTCAGAAGGGCCCAGGGTCCCAGACTGGGACCTAGGTCACCTAATTCCCAGGTCAACACTGAAGACAGATGTAGTCTTGTATGTTTTTGTTTTGTTTTGTTTTGTTTCATTTTGTTTTTGGTGATGGTGGAAGATTAATTGGGCTGCCTGGCTATATTTGAGTTTCAATTGTTTTTCATTTGTTTGTTTGTTTGTTTGTTTGTTTCAATTGAGGGAATCCCCACAACCACACTCTTACCCCAGCCCTAGAACGAAGTGTCTAGGCCATCAAGATATAGTACAAAGAGCCCTGGCTTGGGGTTCACGTCCTTCCTGTTTGACTTTGGGTAAATGCATTAACTTTCTTGGCTTCAGTTTTCTCATCTGTCAAAATGAAGGGGTCGGCTTCTGCAGTCCCTTCTGTCTCGGAATCTACAATTCTTTGATCCCTGGTGTCTTTCTCTTCAGCCAACTCTGCTTCAACAAACTCCATCCTGGGACCTGGACAGCTTCATCAGTAAATTCCTCCAGCCCAACCGAGAATTCCTGGGTCAGGTGAGCAGAGCCGTGGACATCATCTGCTCATTTATGAAAGAAAACTGCTTCCGGAATTCATCCACTAAGGTGCTCAAAGTAGTCAAGGTGAGCCACACATACAACGGGACCCCCAAAGGAAGGATATGGCACCCCCCATAATCAGAGGGGGTTAGAGTTGGAATTAGGGATAGAGTTCATCTGGGAGGTAAAAGAGGAAGGGAGGAAAGGGAAAATGCATTTATTAAGAACCTGCTGTGTTCCAGGCACTGAGCTAAGTAAACACTTCACAAAGGTTCTCTCATTCTATCCTCACAATAACCCTGGGAGGTAGGTACTAATATTATCCTCATTTTACAGATGAAGAAACTGAGGCAGACAGAGATGAAGTGTCTTATAAGCAGATTAGATAACTCCCTTGAGTGAGGAGGAATGAGCCAAGGATAGGAGCAGATCTGCCAGCTCTTCTAATTTACTGGGAGACTTCCTAGAAATCTACTCTATCCCATCTCCCTATCCCCCAATGCCTAAATCAAGTTGTTTTTCTTTAGTGAACACCAGGACACAGTGGTAAGTAAAGTTACTAAGTGGCCATGTCTAGACACTGAACCACCTTCAAGGTCCCAGAAGAAGTATAAAGTTCAGCTCTTATCCAGAGACAGACAACTCCCAAGATAGTGTCTGGAGTCAAAACCAAGCACTGAGAGTAGAACCTTAAGGCATAGTGAAAAGAACCTGGATTAAGAGGGCCTGGGTTAAAATCCTTCCTCTGGAATGTACTACCTATAAGCTTTGCTTATGCTTTAATTTTGTTGGAGTTAAATACTGCCTTCTTAGAGATGGATGAACGATACTGCTGGTAAACCCTGTGGAGTTCTCGTTTTTTCATTTAACAGCTTCTGAATTACCCTATCACTTTTGTCAAACCAATCTTGATGTTTGCGAGTATTCTGACCCAGATGCGCAAATTTAGATTATCCACCCCAAATGTTCACATGGACTATGTGTACCCTACCTGTGGTAGAACATTTTGAACTCCTTTAGGTCTGATCAGCCACAGCTGGATGCATTGTAACTTGGCTCTAACATAGTGATGTCATTTTGGTCCTCTTCAAGAACAAAGGACAAGGTCGTTGAGGCCACATATAGCCCTCTAGGTCCTCAAGTGTGGTCCTTTGACTGAATCCAAACTTTACAGAACAAAACCTTTTATTAAGGGAATTTGTTTTAGGTCCTAGGACAAGTAATTTAAATTCTTTTCCTGGGTCTCGTTTTCTTAATCTGTCAAATGAGAGGTGCAGTGATTCAAAAGATTTGAGACATAGTTTCTGGGTAATTTAATCATTATATTAATAAGGCTAACATGTTATTAATAAAAGGATGGTCATTTGTCTGTCTCTTAGACCAAAGACCCTCATGGTGGCAGGTTCACAGTTTATATACCTTTTGAAGAGTAAATGGGTGGGAATCAACTCTGATTGGTTAACAATGGGAGAAGGAATATTACAATGAAAGACTGAAAGTGACATCATATCACCCATGGACTGAGAGACTATCTCTGTACCCAGACCCTCCCCAGCCTTGGGCAATCTATTAAAAGAATTTATGCCCCACCCAAGCCTGAGCAAGCCTGAGCAAGCCTGAGCTGAGCCTTAACAACCCTAACAGAGTGGGGTCTTAGTCTAATCTCATTATCAGCAATATCCTTCTAGAGACTGAACATTTAAAATCTGGACTTTGGAAAAGGGGAGGAACTCTGGATCTCCCCAAATCATTGGTTATTAATAATCATTTCTCTCCAGGGGTTGGTGTAGAAGGTCTCTTCTAGGACATCTGAATGGGACGTAGGGTGGCATGGAGGTTGGATCAGGGGAAAAGAGAAAAGCCCCCAGAAGATGTGGCTCACAGCAGCCCCTCCCACTAGAGTACTACCCCAACATCATCTCAGTCAGACTAGATACTACCCATCATTCTATGAAGCTTTCCCTGACTCTGTAGTCAGACAACCTGGGTTCATATCCAACCTCTTATATTTTCTACTTGTGTGGCCTTGGGTATCACCTTACTTCTTGGGCCTCAGTTTCTTTCTCAGTAAAATGAGGTGAATGGACTAGAATGATTTCTGAGGTTCCTTACAACTCTATATCTGTGCACCCATGTATACTCACAGCCTCTGTCTGTACCTCTCTGAGGCACACATCCAGGGGTGAGCTGAAGCCAGCTCATTCCAACTCTGAGAGCTAATTGTTAAATTTTCAGTGTGAGCATTTATACTTTGGAAATAGGCAAACACTATGAATCAGGGCTTGGTTTATTGTTTTTTTTTTTGTTTTGTTTTGTTTTGTTTTTTTTGTGAGGCAAAGTTAACAAAAGGTTAAGTGACTTGCCCAGGATCACACAGGTTTATTGTTTTATTGAGTGTCTATACTTAAGAAAGTAATGGATAAAATGCTAATAATAATGCAGGTTAAACTGAAAAAAGTGTTGTGAGTAAATTTAGGGGGGAGAGGGAAGCTAGTTGTTAAATATTTTCCAGCATACCCAAGTCATATCCCTGTCTGTTTGGCATCATAGCTATAGGAGAACCTGTCTTACAGGATCATAACTTGATGAGAAACATTAATGTTGCTGTTATTGTAATTGTTATTATGCACCTCCATTTTTCTCATAGCACTCAAGGCAAAGCCTTGCCCAGTAAATGTTTGTTGATTAAATGAACCAAGGTAAATTCAAAATCTAGACAGACCACAGTCAGTCAAAGAAGGTTCAGACACATGGGGGTCAGAACACCAGGACAGCATGGTATGAAGGCATTGCTGGTATAAAGTACTTTAGACATCTCACTTTATCTCATTAGATCTTTGTATCAACCTTGGCAGAGAGGCATGGTAGGGCTCATTATCTCCATTTTACAGAGAAGGAAACTGAGGCACAGAGTGTTCGTTACTTGCCCAAGGTCATGCAGCTGGTAAGTTGTATTGTCCAGACTAGAAGCCAGATCTACCCTGTATCCAGTGTTCTTCCTTGTCATGTGGGGATGGGAGTGGAGACAGCATATTTCTTTGACCTTAATCTAGAATCTATACTTGTATGGGGAATAGGGAAATCTAGCTTTGACACAGAGCCAGAACCTAGGCAGGGTGATCAGGGCTATGCCCCAGAGTAGAAAATTTAAAGGGCTGCTGACGTGTTCTCCATTACAAAAGAAGGTAGAGGCAGATCCTGGTATGGGAAGAGCCCTGTGAAAGATGGGGGATAGGGAATGGGGGATGAGTGAGCAGCTTGACTCTCCTGGGATGAGGGAAGAAGGAGGGCAGTCCCTACATACCAACAGTGGTAACCTATCAGGTACTTCCTCACAGTCTACCCAGAAAGAAAGAGTACTCAGGAGGACCTGATCTGTCCTCAGACATTTGACACTAGCTGTGTGAACCTAGGCAAATCACTTAACCCCAACTGCCTCAAAAAAAAAAAAAAAAAAAAAGAGCACCAGAGCCTATGGACCAGGGCAGGCTGGGAAGACACCCTTCCTCCCCACTGATTAACCAGCCCATAGCAAGGAGAAGTGGGGCCCTTTAGGATGTTAGGGAGAAATATCTCCTCTTTGAGTTCATGTGATAGATTCTAGCTGCCAAAATAAATCTACCACAAATGAAGAAATTATAGAGGCAAAAATTTAGGTTTTGTTATGCTTAAGCAGAAATTCAAGAGGTAGAAAAATAACACTAAACTGAGATTAGGATTCTAATGAAGCTTTCTATAGACAAAACTACATCAGAGAGACAAAGAAATCATTTTTGTATATATTGCAATCTCATACTTCTTTTAGACTTAAAAGTTTAAATAAAAGACAGGCTCATAATCCCATGCTTCCTTCAATATCATAAACAATGAACAAACTTTAACAAAATCATAATCTCATACATCCCCTAAGGAAACAAACCTAGTTAAACAGGCTCCATAGGTAAACTAAGACAGGTTATAATTACACATTTAGGTGGCTCAGCACTGGACCTGGAGTCAGGAAGATGTGAGTTCAAATCCGACCTCAGACACTTAGTAGCTGTGTGAGCCTGGGCAAATCACTTAACCCTGTTTGCCTCAGTTTCCTCATCTGTTAAATGGGCTAGAAAAGGAAATGGCAAACCACTCCAGTATGTTTGCTAAGAATCATTCCAGTATGTTTGCCGAGAAAACCCCAATGGGTTGAGTCAGACATGACTGAATAACATTTAGAGGGCAATGGACTGATTGAGAGGGGAGATCTACAGGCCTACAGGATGATCCTTCCACCAATGACTAAATCACTTTGGGAAGCTCAAATTCTCCTGATTCTTATTGAGGAATGTCTAAAAGTTTAATTTTTTAAAAATTAATTCTATCATTGTATTACTCAGGTTTTTAGCCACATGAGACAGGCTTTCAGCTAACCAAAAGTTGCAGCAGGAATAGCTCTAAGCCCTGAATAATAAGAACCAGTAAAAGAAATATTAAAATTCTCATAAAAGTTTATAGAATTTTCATAACAAGGAGGGGTAAGATCTAGGAAAGAAGCTAACACCTCAGCTCCTAGTAAGGGGCTAGAGTGTCCTGGGAACACTTTGGCCTCTCCCATCTTTTCTTTCTTTTGAAGTTTCACCCTCCTTGGCTTTTCAAATTTTCTTGCCAATGGGAACCCTAGGGAGGGTGAGTAAACATGGGGCCAGGGCTCATCTGTCAGGCACTCTTCTTAGCTCAAGTGTTTACAGTGAGATTTGAGACCAGAGGCAACTCTTCTGAGAAAGCTGGTGCACCCAAGGAAAGCCAAATTTCACCAGCCTGGCAGAAAGAGGAGTAGACTGGGAGTCAAGACACCTGGGGTTCTAGGTCCTGTTCCAACACTAATCCTGGGCTTCTGTTTCAATAATAATAAATAGTAGTAGTAGTAGTATCTATATAGTGCTTTAATCTTTGCAAAGCACTTTACAATATCTCATTTGATCCTCACAACAATTTTAGGGGGTAGGTGCTATTATTGACCCCATTTTACAGTTGGGCAAACTGAGGTGGACAGCAGTGAAGGGATGGACATAACTGATCACCCTGTCTTAGTTCAGACTTTATGTCAACGCTAGATTTCCCTATTTCCCCTTCAGGTAGAGGCTCTAAATTAAAAAAAAAAATTAAAATTAAATCTGCTGACTCCTCCCTGGCCCATGGTCATACAGCTAGTAAAGTGTCTGAGGGAGGATTTGAAATCAGGTCTAACTCCAGGCCCAGCACTCTAGCCACTTCAACACCTAGGGCCTTCTATAAAAACAGGTTGTGCAAGGTGATCACCAACATTCCTTCCAACTGTACCAGTCTGTGAGACCATCAGAATTGAATTCCACTTAAGTATTCTACCTCAGCTTGGTCCCAATTTCAGAAGTGGAATGACTTTGGAAAAGTCATTTTCCCTCTCTAGGGCTTCCCTAAAATTTTTTTTAAAAAAGTACTATCACCAACTTTTATGTTTAATCTGAACCCCACTAACATTTTCTCCATCAATTTCTTCTGTCCAGACAACCAACAAAACAATAAATCAAGCCCTAATTCGTAGTGTTTGTCAATTTTTGAATTATAAATACTAGCTGAAAATTTAACAATCGTCTTTCACAGGTTGTGCAAGCCGGCTCCAGCACACGTCTAATAAATGGTCTCTTTTCCAGCATCGGAGTGGAGGAGCAGCTTCCCTGTGTTTTGTCCCAAGGCCTCTGCCCCTGGAGGTCATTATCCCAGGGTCTCTGTCCACTCCCTCCCAAGCGAGAGTGTCTCTTGCCCAGATGGCCCCTGCAGCTCAGTGATCCCTGGTCTCAGCTCTGACCTGACACTTTCCCCTTTCCTCACGCCTCCCCCCATTCAGGGAGGCTCTTCGGCCAAGGGCACCGCCCTGAGGGGCCGCTCCGATGCCGACCTCGTAGTGTTCCTCAGCTGCTTCTGTGGATTCGCCGACCAAGGGACCAACCGCGCGGAAATCATCGCAGAAATCCGAGCGCAGCTGGAAGCCTGCCGGCGGGAGAAGCAATTTGACGTGAAATTTGAGATCTCCAAATGGGAGAATCCCCGGGTGCTCAGCTTCACGCTGACGTCCAAGACCCTGGACCACAGTGTGGACTTCGATGTTCTTCCTGCCTTCAATGCTTTGGGTGAGCTGCTTTTAAAGAGAGATGAGGGAGCTCCCCTAGGTCCCCATTCTCCCAGGGACTGGACTTTCTCCCCTAACCGTTGGTGTTCTTCTGTATGTCTGTAAAAACACCCTGTCTTTTGTCCAACGGTGATTCCTGCCCAAGCAAAGCGCAAATCTCATTTGCTGTTTGTTTGCTTTCAAATATATTTCGAGGTGTTGACTAAACCCTAGTTAGTACCTGCTGTGATTTACGACTAAGTAATCACTCCAGATTAAGCAATTACACCTTGTAGCCAGGGTTTGTTTTTTTTTCTTCTCTCCCACTCCCACTTCCCTCGGTTCCTCTCCTGGTCTTTCTCCTTTCCTTTCCTTCTCCTTTCCTCTCTCTCTGTCTGACCATCTCAATGGAGGAAGGGACTTGGAGTCAGAAAAGCTGAAATACCTGGGTTCAAATCCTTCCTGAACCACTTTGTGACCAAGTCACTTAACTTTTCTAAGCCTCAGTTTTCACATCTGTAAAATGGAGATTGTAATAGCGCCAAGTTTGTCATGAGGACCACCATACATGTATGTGAGTGTGTGTGTGTGTATATGAATTCATAATTTTCATATTAATTGCTATGATATGTGTAATGACTAAACTAATAATTTAGTTTTCTCAAGAGCTGTCTCTCTGACTTCAGAGTTAGAGCTCCCAATGCAGCTTAAATTGATTAATCAAAACCCTGACAACAGCTCACAATCACTGGACCTTAAGTGAATTGAATGGAAGATTGTAGAAGCTGTTCATGTCACAGAACTCTGGTTCTGTACTTTAGGGGAGGTGCTCACAATCCACAAAGATTTGACTCCAGAATTATTGTATTGTGAGACTTAGGGATTTATTATGGGAAACCACTAAATGATTGTTTGTAATCCACCTTCCCCAGTTGTGATTTCAGTATATAACCTGTGCTTTTACTTCACCTAAGAGAATATTCCTCACTCTGAAACTGATTAAACTATTTGATTATTGGCACTCCAGTCTCTAGACCTGCTTTATGTGGCTCTAAGCATTCTCAAGTTAGAAACTGGCTCAGTAAAAATCTTGTTTATAGATACATAGATAGATAGATAGATAGATAGATAGATAGATAGATATAGATATAGATATACTTTGAAAACTTCAATATTAATGTTAGTTGTAATTATTATCTCCTTGTTTTTCTTCCTTTCTCTTTCCTTCACCTTTTCACTCTTGCTATCCTTCTCTCTTTTTCTTTTTCTCCTTTTCTATCTTCCTCAGCAGGATATAAAGCCTGATACATTATTTTCTTTCCTTTCTTCCTTCCTTCCTTACCTCCTTCCTTTATCCCTCCTCCTTTCTTTACCTCTTTCTTTCCTTCTTCCTTCCCTTCCCTTCCTTGATTCATTTCCTTTCTTCCTTCCTTCTTCCTTTTCTTCCCTTCCTTAATTCCTTCCTTCCTGTCACCCTCTTTTGCTGTCTCCTTTCCTTCCACCTCTCCCTTTCTTTAAAAAAAATGTATGAAGTTAAATTAATTGAGATAATGGAGAACATCAGGACGAGAAGGGATCATAGATCAGTCAACTAGTTGGTCAGCCAGCATTGATTAAGCACTTACATGCCAGGCACAATGCTAAGCCCTGGTTTAGATGTCTAAAATCACAGACTTGGTGGTAGAGCTGGAACTAGGACCCAGGTCTTTTGCCTCTCCAGAGGAGTCCCCTCCTTCACTCATCAGCAAAATGAAGGCATTGGACGCCACGGCCTGTGAGGTTCCTTCTAGCTCTAAACTCTGTGGCCCATGATCCTCTAGCTGTCCCTGATATGCTGATGAATGATCCCTTAGGTGAATGGGTAAGATATCGTAAAGCAACATATACAAAACCCACTAAGCCGTGAGACCTCAGGTTTTCAAGATGAAATACACCTTCAATTTTGCTGGTATCTCACACAAGAGTTTCCACAAAAGCCCACAGCCTGCACCTTACACGATGGTAAGCTTAATACACTGGTAACTGTGGTATGTTTCTTTTCTCCCCATTTTAGGCCAGTTGAGCTCAGGCACAAAACCTGATACCCAGGTCTACATTGATCTCATCAACAGCTACAATAATGGAGGCGAATTCTCCTCCTGCTTCACAGAACTGCAGCGAGATTTTGTTATCTCTCGCCCCACCAAGCTGAAGAGTCTGATCCGCCTGGTAAAGCACTGGTACAAACAGGTAAAGCCCAGTAGGCAGCCCCTCCATTCTTCAGGGCTGAGCCTCCGAAGGCTCTCTCTTGGGGGTCTTCCAAGGTCTCTCCCAACTGGTACTTTCTATGATACACATTTACTTCCAACTTTGAAATTTTATGTTCTAAAAATCCTTCCAAATCAGACATTCCTTGTTCTAAGGCTCCTTCTAGTTCTGACATTTCCTGGTCTAAGGCCCCTCCCAGCTCTGACATCTCCTGTTCTAAGGCCCCTCCCAGCCCTGACCTTCTCTGTTCTAAGGCCCCTTCTAGCTCTGGCCTTCCTTGTTCTAAGGCCCCTCCCAGCTCTGACTATCCCTGTTTTCAGGCCCCTCCCAACCCTGTCATTTTTGTTTTAAGGCCCCTCCCAGCTCTGACACTCCCTGTTCTAAGCTCCCTCCCAGCTCTGACATTCCCTGTTCTAAGGCCCCTCCGAGCTCTGATATTCTATATCATAAGGTCCTTTCCACATCTGATATTCCACGTTCTAAGGTTTAGTATAAGGGAAGGCAGGGACAGGAAATGAGTGACTTCTTCTCAGAAGCAGAGAGCAGCCATGGTCTGACTTCCTGGGGAACACCCAGCTGGCTCTGAGGTTACCTGTCTCTCCTTCCCCAGATAATTTTCTTCCTCAATCACAGCCGCCCACAGAATCATAAGAATAATAGTTCACAATGACCTTGGAGATCACCTTGTCCTACTCCTTCATTTTATAGAGTAGGGAACTGTGGCCCCACAAAGATGAGTGTCTTGCCCAAGGCCACACATGTAACAAATAATAGAATCAGGATTCACACCCTGGCCTTAGGACTTCAAATCCTATGCTCTTTCCAACCAGCTAGTCTACCAACAATACAAACCAACTCCTGGACCTCCTGAGGTGTGGCAGAGTGGGGAGGGCAGTGACCTTTTTGCCCATTGCCCTTTCTGCTTTTTCCCACCAGTGTATGAGAGCTCCCAAAGGGAGAGGAGCACTCCCCCCACAGTATGCACTCGAGCTCTTGACCATCTATGCCTGGGAACAGGGGGATGGGACACCACAGTTCAACATGGCTGAAGGCTTCAGGACAGTCCTGGAACTGGTCCAGAATTACAAGAACCTCTGTATCCACTGGAAGGTTAACTATAACCCTGAAAATGAGATCATCAAAAATTTCCTTACTCAGCAACTCCGGAAACCCAGGTTCTAACCCATTCTTTCCCTCCCCTTCTCGTATAGCGTTCACTCTTTAAGTCAAAACAAGAGGCACCTTGTGTTAAGTGCTAGATCCTTAAAGGAAGGAGAAAGGGAACAAGAATTTATTAAGTGCCTACTATATGTGAGGCACTGTGTTAAGTGCTTTACAAATATTATCCTCACAACAACTGATAGGTAACTGTCCCCCCCCCCCAAAGTGTTTCTCTGACTAGGCAGAATCCTGAGTTCTTTAGCACCCCAAGGGACAAGGGGCAGGGATATAGGTCTCTATTTGTGAGGCAGTGGAAGAAGGCACCAGAGGGATATGTTAGGGATCTCAGGATCACATATTTGGGGCTGAAAAGGACCTCCAAAGTCATCTAGTCTAACCCCTTAATTTTTTAGATGAGGAAACTGAGAACCAGGAGTGGGGTAGAGAATTAGTCTGATATAGGAAATGGGTTGTGGATAATCCATACATGTAGAGTTAGTTATGACTGAGACATAATCTCTTGAATGGTACCCATAGACCAATCATCCTGGATCCTGCCGACCCAACTGGGAATCTGGGCCATGGCACCCGCTGGGACCTATTGGCAAAGGAAGCTGCCTCCTATGCAAATTCTGTATGCTGTGCAAACAAGTCTGGGGACTTTGTCCAGCCCTGGGCGTTGAAGGTGAGAGAAATCTTCAGTAGCTCAGAATTAGGAGAGGGTTTGGAATCTCCTGAGGTCACGTGATGGCAGCTCTGGCAAGGAAGTGAAAACTCTGAAAATGTCCAGAGCTGAGCAGATCAGGAAAGAGGAAGAGAAAAGGAGATAGCTGTTGAGTCCAGATAATCCTTCCTTACCCACAGATGATGATGTGAACCAGAACCAGGCATCAGAACAAAGCCCTATTGATTTCCATTCTCAGTGGCCTGTGGTCACTTGATGGTGCCTTCTTTGTCTTGGTTTTTCCAACAGCCCATTGGGAATCTCCTATTTGCTGGCAGATTTTTTTTACCGGCAGAGGTTTAGGGTGCAATGGTACTTGTGTAGACTGGTATCAGTACCAAAGAGATGACCTTTGTATTTCTTTAGGTCTCTTCATGAACCTGGAATATCCTGTTTCTGAACCCCAAATTCTTCATCATGTGGACAACTTGGCTATCACCCCCTCTGTAGAGCTGAGATGCAAGATCTTCTGACAGATGTGTGCATATAAAAACCCAGCCCTAGCCACCTCTCCATTTCCCCCAGGGATTGTCTTAACTATGACCTATTCTCCCTTTGAGTACTGTTGCGGACCCTTTTCCCATTTCTCACCCTATAATGATGGTCCTTACCTGTGCTTCAGTCATCTGTCCTCTGTTTTCTTGTGTATGTTGTCTTCTTCAGAGAGTTCATTCCTTCCCATGATGTTAGTTATCATCTCTGCAGATGCCACCAAACCACCCAACTCCAGCCCTGATCTCTGTCCTGAACTTCACCAGGGTGACCTAGCAGTACCTCAAATTCAGCATATTTAAAGCTGAATCACAAATGCCAGACTTGTAGGCATGCAGATCTGGGTTCAATTCCTTCCTCTGACATTTTCACTAGTTGCTCAGTCATGGACAAGTCATTTCATTTCTGAGAGATTCCGTTTCCCTATCTGTAAAATGGGGACACAATAATACTTGTAGTACCTATTTTGAGCAGCTAGGTGGTGCTGTGGATATAGTGCATTTCAGGTCTGTAGTCAGGAAGATCTGAGTTCAAATCCTGCCTCAGATACTAGCTGTGTGACCCTGGACAAGTCATTTCACCCTATTTGCCTCAATTTCCTCATCTGTAAAATGAGCTGGAGAAGGAAATGGAAAACCACTCCATTATCTCTACCAAGGAAATCCCAAATGGGGTCATGGAGAGTTGGACATGAGTGAACAACAACAAAAAACATCTATCTCACAGGGTTGTTGTGAAGTTCAAATGAAATAACGTCTGTAAAGGGCTTTGCAAACCTTGAAGAGTTCGATTAGTGTCACAGAAAGTCAGAGCTAAGACAGCCCTTAGAATACAGAATGTCAGAAGAAGATGGGAATTTGTAAAATAAATGCATTTTGTTGATGTTTGTTTTTACATTGACTAGATTTTCCCCCCTTTATCCTTTCTCCTCCCCTCAAAGAGGGTCACTGCTTATAATGAAGTGATTTTTTGTTTTGTTTTGCTTTAAGAAAGGAAGGGAGGGAGGAAGGGAGGAAAGAAGGAAGAAAGGGAAACAAGGAAGGAAGAGGAGGAAGGGAAAAAAGGAAGAAAGAAATGGATTTTTATTGATATCTTTTGTTTTTACATTGCCTAGATTTCCCCTGTATCCCAACCTTTCCTTCCCCAGAGAAACACTCCTTATGATAAAGAATGTTTTAACAAGGAAGAGAACAAAATGAGAAAAACTTATCAACATATCCAAAAAATCTGACTTTGTATACAATGTATGGTATGGACTCTGACCTGTGTAAAGGAGCAGGGGAAAGTGTCTTCTCATATCTCTTCTTTGGGGCCCAGCTCACTTTTAATCATTTTGCAACTATTACTTTTGATTCTTCTGTGGCGGTTGTTCTTTCTATTTACATTGTCATCACTGTGTATATTGATTTTCTGGTTTTGCTTTCTTTACTTTTCACCAGTTCATATAGGTCTTTTCATGTTTCTCTGTATTTATTATGTTTGTTTCTTAAAGCCCATTACATTAATGTATCATGATTTGTTTGGCCATTCCCCAATCGATGGGTATCTACTCTGTTTCCATTTTTTTGCTACCATAAAAAGAACTGCTATAAATATTTTGGACCATGTGGAGACTTTCTTGTCAATGATGTCCTTCAGATATTTGCCTGGCAGAAGAGTCTATGGGTGAAAAGAGATGGACATCTTAGTCACTTTCTTTGCATAGTTCCAAATTACCTTCTAGAATGGTTGTATCAATTCACTGCTCCACCAACAATGTACTAGTGTACCTGTCTTTCCACAACTCCTAGGAGGGAATATAAGGCATTAGAATGCTAGAGCTAAAAGGAACCTTAGAGATCATGAGGAAACTGAAGTCCAAAGGTGAATGGCCCAAGCTCGTATAATTTTCTTCCTACATCCATTCCTCAGAAAAGATTTTGCCAAGAGCACCACCCATCTCCCATTCTCTAATGCTCAAAACCTCAGAGTGCTCATTGCCTCTTTCCTATGTTTTTTCCCTATGGCCAATGAAAAAAACATCAAGTCCACTCTAGCCTTTCTAAAGCTCAATGTTCATAAAGTTGCATGACATTCAAGTCCTTTGAAAAAATCTGTCATTCTCTCTGTTTTTCTGTTTTCCTCTGTCTCTGCATTTTTCTCTTAATCTGTCTCTCCCCTTCATTCTCCCTCTCTCTCCTTCCCTCCCTCTCTCCTTCCCTCCCTCCCTCTCTCCACTCCTCTCTTCCCCTTTCCCCCATATCTATTGGCTTCTTTCTTGCCATCTAAAAACGTGTTTAGACCTCCTTTTTCCTTAAAAAGGAAAAAAAAACTTCCCTCTACTCTACCATTTCTCAATCTAACATCCTAGATCTTTCTTTCCTTTCACAGCTAAAATCCTAGAAAAAATAGTTTACACTCACTGCCTCTACTTTCTCAACCTCTTGCAAATTGGCAGCACACCTCACCACTCTACCAAAACTGCTACCTTGAAGGTTGCCAGTGATCTCCTAGGATATGGATGTTAAATCAATGGTCATTTCTAGTCATCCTTATTGACTTCTCTGCAGTTTTGACACTGTTGACCACCTAACACTGTTGACTGCCCACTTCTCCATGGTTTATCGTGACATAACTTCTCTACTGGTTTTCATCCTACCTACCTGGTACCCCTGAGTTTCCTTCTTAGATGATCACCTCTGTTCTAGACCCTCTTCTTTTCTCTTTATATAGTCCCTCTAATAATGATCCCATTAACTCCCATGGGGTCAATCATCATCTCTATGCAGTTAACACACAGAGGTGTATGTGTATATGTATATCTGTATGTGTTTATGTGTGTGTGTATATATATATATATATATACATATACATATATATGTGTGCATGTGTAGATGTTCATATTTTGTATATATGTGTATATTGTAATATTGTATATGTATAGATGGATGGCTAGAGAGAGAGAGAGGTGTGTGCATGTGTGTGTATGTACCTCTTATGCACCACCAACTGAATGTCTCATAGGCGTCTCTAACTCAACATGGCCAAAATGGAATACATTATTTTAATGACTAAATCCACCTCTCCTCCAAACTTTCCTCTGTGTGTCAAGGGCACCGTTGTTCTTCCAGTTACCTAGGTTCCCAACCTCATCAACATCATCTTCTTCTCCATATCCAATAAACGTCAAAGTCATAAATTCTACCTCTACAACAGGTCTCATATCATGGCCAAAATCCTAGGGGAAAAAAAGTCCATCTTCAAGGCCTCCACTCATCAACCCCTTCTCACCATTTCAGGCTTTCATCATTTTTGTCAGAACTATTAAAACAGTTTAAAACTATTTCCAGTCTCTTCTTTGCCAACTGTTCTTCCCCACAGTCACCAGAATAATCTTAAAGCATCAACCCGATCATGTCACCCCTTTACTCAAGAAATCCTGATCATTCCCTATTGCCTTTAGGATTAATTACAAAGTTGAACTGACACAATGACAATATTTCAGAGGCAAACAACTTTGGAAGACTTGAGAACTCTGATCAGTGTAGTGCATCAGTGGCAAAGCAGGCTACCCACCTTCCTCACATGGATGGATATGAGATGCAGAGAGAGACATGCATGCTTTGACATAGCAACATAGGAAATTGTTTTGCTTGATTATGTGTATTTGTTACAGACATTTTGTTTTCTGTTTTTTATTTTTTCAATTGGAGCAAGAGTGGGAGGTGGGAATGAGAAAAAATTCTTCACTGATTTTTGTTAATTGATTAATTGTTAATTGATTTTTTCATTTTTAAAGTTTTTTTAAAAAGAATAAAATACAAATACCTCTGTTTGCTATTTAAAACCCTACATCAATGGTTACAGCCAACCTTTCCACCTTTATTGTTCATTATTCCCCTTCAAGTACTCCATGTAAGCATTATAGTAAAACTGATCTGCTACCTGTACCCCCAACTCAACATGCTGTCACCTCCATGCATTCACACAAGCTTAATCCTGACTCTGGAATAGACTTTCTCCTCATCTCTATCTTCCAGAATCCTTGTCTTCCTTTGAGGTTCAGCTCAAAGGTATCCATAGCATCTCAGAGGTATCCAGAGCAAGCTGTACAGCTCTGTATATAGAGCGGGAAAGTCAGGTGTGACACCTCCTCCATGTAGCCTCCCTTCCTTGACCTCCCCAGCTGAAAATGTTTTCTCCTTTTTGAAATAATAATGGCTAGCATTTATATAACACTTTAAGATTTGCAAAGCACTTTACAAATACTGTCCTATTTTATCCATTTAACAACCCTAGGGAACAGGAGGTGGGGATGTAGGCACTATTATTATCCCCATTCTATAAATGAGAGAACTAAGGCAGTCAGAGGACGAGAGTCTTGCCCAGAATCACATGGTTTGCAAATATCTGAGGCAGCTTTAGAACTCAAGTCCAATGATCCATCCGCTGTACCACCTAGCTGTATCAAATACCCATAGAGTGATATCTCTGGATCTCTCTTTTGTCTCATTTCACCCTACCATATGCTGTATGGTGATGGAAACCTCTTTCTTGACAACAGCAGATACCTTTTCAATAATCAGGGGGCAGCTAGGTGGTGCCATAGTGCATTAGCCTAGAGTCAGCAAGCCTCATCTTCCCGAGTTCAAATTTGGCTTCAGACACCTACTAGCTGTGTGACCCTGGACAAGTCACTTCACCTTCAGTTTCCTCATCTGTAAAATGGGCTGGAGAGAGAAGTGGCAAACACTCCAGTAGCTTTGCCAAGAAAACCCCAAATGATGTCACGGAGAGTCAGACACGACTGAAAATGACTAAAAAACACCAACAAGAACCGAGGGAGGGGCCATTTGCCAAGATCTTAGTTTTTTTGGATGTTAAGTTTCAAGCCAGCTTTTACACTCTCCTTTTTCACCCTCATCAAGAAGTTTCTTAATTCTTCTTCACTTTCTGCCATCAGAGTGGTATCATCTGCATATCGGAGATTGGCAATCTTTCTCCCAGCAACTTTAATTCCAGCTTTTGGTTTGCCCAGCCTGGCATTTTACATGATGAGCTCTGTATAAAAGTTAAACAAATAAGGGGGGTATTTTCGCATCCTGAAGGTCTTCTGACTGAGGCTGGATACTGAGCCATAGGATGTTGCAGAGGGAACCCCACAGCTTAGACAAAATGGCCTCTGGGGTCTCTTCCTGCTCCGAGATTCTGTGATTCTGTGAACATCCCACTCCTGGGCCTCCACACTGAGAGCTCTTTGTACTACACTGGGATGTCTCTCAGGGAGACTTGGGGACTGACCAGGGAGGGAAGATGTGCACTTTCAGGGAATGTAGAACAAAGGACCAGAACTTTCTCAAAGGTAAAGTGACATCCTTACATCCTCTAGAAAATTAGGGAGTTAGACTTTCGATTTAGCATCTAAAATTGATCCCAGTCCTGACATTCCCTGTTTTAATGCCCCTCCCAGCTCTGACATCCTCTGTTCTGAGGCCCCTCCCAGACCTCACATTTCCTATTCTAAGGCTTCTTGCAGAAAGTGGGATTTTAGCTGGGATTTAAAGGAAGCCAGGGAAGTCAGGAGACAGAGGTGAGGAGGGAGAGAATTCCAGACTGATGAAAATGCCTGGAGCTGAGCGATGTAGGGCCTTGTGAAAAAAAACAGGGGCCAGTATCCTGAAAACTCTTGGAATCTTCTCTCTAAGCTCAGACAGACTATGCTACTGATTCTGTGCCTAACAGCATCTTTTAAAAAGGAAGTGAAGCAGGCATCCAGACAGAATATGAAATATGAACAGAGACTGGGAGGAGAAAGCTTATGGAAGAGACCAAAGCCTATCAGAACTGTAGAAGCCGAGGGGGGCAGGGAAGAGGGCGGAAAACAGCAGGAGAAACAGCTGCTATTCAGAATCGAAACCTAAAGACTTTAATTTCTCTTTCTACTTTGAGTAAGGCCGGAGAACTCGTCCACAGGCTAGCTTAATTGTAAAGTTAATACCTTGAAGGAGGAAAGAGGAGTAATGTTAAAATCTTTGTGGAGTTGGTGGTACCATCAGCAGGTGCTTTACTTTGTGCCTGCTGAGAATCTAGATCAGTTCATTCAGAATGAACTCCAGCCCCAAGAAAAGCATCTGCTGCAGATTGACAAGAGCATTGACAACATCTGTGAGTCCTTGGAGAAACAGGCACCTCCCATTCAAGTGAAGGGTATAGTTGTGGTAAGTGTGACCCCCAAACCCCTTGAATCCCACGAACCTCAATCTGAAACAGAATCTGCTCTAAGAAAGAGACAAATGAAATTGTGGTACATGTGTCCATGGTTTAATTTCTCTCAAGCTGGCTTAACGAGCATTGCATGGGAGTTCGGTCCAAAACCGGACCCCCCCTAAGGGCACCAGTCCAAAACTGTTAGGTTTGGGATTTGGGGGTACAGCCTTATATGCCTTTTGAAGAGTAGTTGTTCCCAAACGTTGCCAACCAACCGTGATTGGTTGACATACCAGGAGATGGGATATATTAAAATGAGGTCTTGAGTACATACTTTAGATCATTCAGTCTGCAGAGGCCAATATCGGGCAGCCCATCAAAGGAAATACCACCCCCAGTCTGGGGAGTCTGTCTCCACCCAAAGCTGAATAGGATAAAATCAATTCAGGCCTGGGTTGGAGTTCGACCAAAATAAGAAGATTCAATGCAATCTCATTATCAGAGATTTCCTTCTGAACAACTTTGGTCAGAAGGCTGGCAGGGGGAGCTCTGAGTCTCCAAGATACAGATTACCAAGAGAAATCATTTTTCATACAAGCAGTAGGAAGGAAAGGGGAAGAGGAGACGTGAAGGGAAAAGAAGAGAGAATGGGTGAGAAAAGGGGAGAGAGAGGAAAGGAAAAGGAGAAAGGGAGGGAAGAGGAAAGGGGGGAAAAGAAAGAGGAAGGGGCAGAAAATCAATCAAGGAACAAGTTTTTATTGAGTACCCACTACTATGTACCAGGTACTGTTCTAAGTGCTGAGGCTACAAAGACCAAAAAAAAAAAAAATACTCTCCCATCCCTCCAGAAGCTTATGTTTTCTGAAGAGAAAACATACACAAATAAATGTATGCAAAATAAATACAAGATAATTTGGGATGGGGATTTGGAGTAGCAGAGGTCCTTACATCTGGGGAGCAGAAAAGGCTGTATATACTGTAAAAGGTGGAATTTAATCTGAGCCTTAAAGGAAAACAGGGATTCTCAGAAGTAGAGGTGAGGAGGGAGGGTGTTCCAGGCATGAGGGACAGCCTATGCAAAGACACAGAGGTGGGAGACTAAATGTCAGCTCTGAGGAATAGCAAGAAAGTGTTTGACTAGACCAGAAAGTGCTTAGAGGGAAATAATGTATAATTAGTCTGAAAAGTTAGGTTAGAACCAAGTTGCAAAGAACTTTTTTGTGTGTTTTAGGCAATTGGGATTAAGTGACTTGCCCAGGGTCACACAGCTAGTGTCAAGTGTTTTGAGGCCGGATTTGAACTCAGATCTTCCTGACTTCAGGGCCGGTGCTCTATCCACTGTGCCACCTAGCTGCCACCTACCTGCCCCCTTGTAAAGAGCTTTAAATGCCAGAATTTGTGCTTGATCCTAGTAGTAATAGGAACCCACTGGAGTTGATTGAACAGGAAGTGATATGATCAGACCTATGTTTAAGAAATGTTACTTTGAAAGTTGGTGGGGGGAGTGAAGCACTGGGTGGATGGGTTGGAAAGGATAGAGGTTTGAGTTATGAAGATAATTATGAGACTCCAGCAACATTCCAGAAGAGAGGCAAGGAGGGAGGGGCACATGGGAACCACAAAGATGAAAAGTATTAAAAAAAAAAACTACAGTAGGTTACAATAGGCTTCTGGTTGGCCTCTCGGCATCAAGTTTTTCCCCACCCTAGCCCATTCAGCTATCAAATTGATCTTCCCAAAGCACAGGTCTGACCCCCACTCTTCAGTAAACTCTCTGTCACCTCTAGAAGCAAATGCAAATCAGTTTGACATTCAAAGCCCTTCATTACCTGATGCCCCACCCACACACCTTTCTGGTTTTTTTACACCTTGTTCCCTCCCCCCTGTGTATGCTGCAATCCAGTGACCCTGGCTTCTTTGTTCCTCTTACAAGACAATCCACCTCCCAGCTCCAGGCATTTTCACTTCCTGGACTCATAGCGCACAAGAGTCTGGGTCCCTGCCTCCTCTGAACCCACCGCCTCTAGAGGACCAACCACTCTGTCTCCTAACCTGTGCTGGTCATGTATGCTCTCCATAGAGGCAAGAGCAAGGTTTGCAGCCATAGCTTTTGTTCCCTGGAGGCTTTCCCCCTGCAGTCTTATTTAGGCAGCCTCAAGTCAAGCAGGTCTAAAGGCTGTGATAAGGAGGCTGCCAGTCCAGAGCTGTAACTAATCAGACCTAGGTTCTGCTGCCACAGTGGGCACAGAATGTGCACCATGGATTCCTTGCTCCCTAATTGATATTGGATGACTGTAGGGTAGGGTTTCTCCAGGGTTTTATTCTGTAACTTAGGAAAGGGGAATAGGGTGGGAGACCAGAAAGGGAATTTCATAGTTCTGTGGAATGTCAAAGCTGCAAGGGACCTTGGGGAAGCTGACCCTCCCCTCAGGATTCACACATTTTACAGCCCATCCTAAATATCCTTTTCTTGGGAGATGAACAGGAATGTGGGCTGACGGTCCCATTAGCACCTTTGGGTAGACTGCCTCAGGGTTTAAAAATTCTGTTTTGATCTTCCCTTTGTTTTCTAGCAAAGCTACTTTTGAAATCTTCCTGCCTTTTCTTGGTTGGACTAAGGGTAGATTTTCCCCTATACCTAATTCAGAACAGAATAAAATACTGTGAGAGAAAACTGGAATGAGTAGAGAGGTAAGAGAGATAGCAGTCACAGAGATCCTTTTTCCTTGCATTGCCAACCTCACTAGACTTTGCCTGGATGTCTGGCCAGCAACTCAAATTTAACCAATCCCAAAGAGAACTCATTATCTTTTCCTCTAAACCAGAAATTCTTCCTTCAAACCTCCCTGTTACTGTTGAAGTCTCCACTGTCCTCGCCATCACACTGCTCTTTCCTCTTCCTCACTCTGCCCAGCCAATCAGCTGCCAAGGCGTGTCAACTCCATCATCACAGTACCCATCATTACATTGCCACAGCCCCTTCTTGCCTCTCACATCTTATACAGGCCCCCATCACCTCACCTGGATGACTGAAATCATCTATGGCATCTTCCTGCTGCCAATCAATCTCTCTCCTTTTCCTTGTGCTGTGTTCTTCACAAAACTGCCAAAAGATCCTAAGACCTATGACCTAAAAACCTTCAGTGGCTCCCTCTTCTCCTCCAGAAAAAAAATCCAAACTCTTCAGCCTGTAGGCTCTGGTTCCCACCTCCACTTCCAGGTTCATTCCCCCTGGTCCCCTTCACACATTCTATGCTCTAGCCAAACTGTTCCCTAGAGTCTGCATGGCAGTTACCACTTCCATGTACACAGACCTGGGATGCATTCCCTCCTCATCACCATCTCTTAGAGCCCCCATCTTCCTTGGGGCAGCTAGGTGGCTTAGTGGATAGAGTTCTGGGCCTGGAATCAGGAAGACCTGAGTTCAAATCCAGCCTTAGACACTCACCAGCTGTGTGATCCTAAGCTTAGTCTCTGTCTGCCTGAGTTTCAGATAAAATGAGGAAATAATAACAGCAGGGTTGTTGTGAGGATCAAATGAGATATTTGTAAAGTGTTGGTATATAGTAGGTATTTAATAAATGCTTGTTTTCTTTCCCCCAACAACATGTTGAATAGAGTATAAGCCCTTTGAGGAGCAGGGACTCTTCAGTGTTTGTCTTTGAATCCCCCAGAGTCTAGAAGCCTTAGAACCTTTAGAAACATGAGCTGTTTTTTTTTTCTTTTGTATTTGTTTTCTAGGACAATCAAAGGGAGTTGGGTCTCTAGAGAAGGGTTTAAAAGTCTGGTGTTGGAGAAAGCAAAGAGAGCTGGGCTGACTGGTCCTTGCCTGGAGTTTCCTCCCACTGGCTGTCTCATAAGTGACAGACAGGGAGGTTGGAACACTTTTGGTCCCACCACACATTTTCTCTTCCCTCATAGGGTGGGTCCTATGGCAGAGACACTGTTCTCAAAGGCCACTCCGATGGCACCTTTGTCATCTTCCTCAAAGAACAAATTGAAGTGAAGCTGATAAAGTTGAAGCTGTTGGCAATAATGGACAAGGTCAAGATGGTAGAGGATAAGCACCAGCTGGTACTGACCGAGTCTGACCTATGCATTACCTTTGACGTGCTTCCAGTCTTCAGTGCCTTGGGTAAGTACCCTGGAGAGGTACCATGTCAGCAGGTGATATAAAGCATTGGCTTTGGTAATAAGAGGGGGATTGAAGGAGTAAAGATGGATCTTTGGTGGAGGATACCCGAGGGTAAAGGATCATTCTCCCCATTTCACAGATAAGGAAACTGAAGTTGAGAGGTAGCATGCTTGTTCAAGGTCACACACTGACCTGTTTGTAGAGCCAGTATTAGAACCCTTTTTATTTTTTATAAAAAATAATTTTACATTTATTATGTTTATTATATAAAATAACTTTCCAAGATATAACTGCTCAATTTTTAAATCATTTCATGGCAAAGTATACGGGCCGCACGCCGACCTTCTGCCAGTCGTGCGCCAGTACCCACTTCCCTTAAAAGAAGTGCACTGCCAGAGTCTTACCCATGCCTGGGTCCTCGGTCCTCAGCCGGATCACCACACAGAGACAAGCCATCAGGAGGCACCAACACCAGAGCTTTATTCAGAGGCCAACACAGCAAACCATCATAGCAAGCCCAAGCAGCAAGGCCAGAGCAACAGAGCAGGAGCCAGGGGAGAGCGCACGTGTGTTCTCTGACCACGCTTGTTCCTAAGTACCTACTTAGCCCCTCCTCCCCAGCCCGCTACTAGCCAATGATTGTAGGGTCAGATACCGGAAGGGGCTGTCTGAGTTTAGCACACCAAGGGGTAGGGAGTGACGTAGGAGGCTAGGATTGGATACAGGAAGGAGGCATCTGGGATTGACGCATAGACAAGAGTACGTGACCTAGGAAGTCAGACTCAGGAGGGGACTGGGTCAGTGCTGCACAAAGTCAGGAAGGTCACAAGAGGCATCTGGGGATGACGTTGCATATAGGGAGGGGACTAAGCAGAGGGAACTCAGTCCTCTGCCATCCCACTCCCACGTGGCACCGCCCCTTGCCTCAGGAGCTCAGGCTCGGCTATTTCCTTGCACCCAGCTTATCTCATAGCACTGCCCAATTGCCTCATGGCTTCTCCGTATCCAGCCCATCCCAGTACACACGACTCTGCCTACCACAGTCCCTGCCTCGACTTCCAAAATACCCAAATCTTACCTTACCCATGCCACAGCACCCAACTGGCAGCTGCCAACATCAGACAGTCCCTCACAGCAAAGTAACAAAAGAAAATAAAAATAGTCAGTCAATAAACATTTATTAAGTGCCTACTATGTGCCAGGCACCATGCTAGGCACAGAGAATAAAAAGAGAGCCAAAAGATGATCCCTGCTCACAATTAAATAGAGGAGAAAACAAGCAAAAATATATGCCAGAAAGCCATGTTTAGGCTAAATAGGAAATAATTAACAAAGAGAAGGAAAAACTTCTTGTACAAGATAGGATTTTAGTGAAAAGTAGTCATTTGCTTTCATTTCATAAAATCAAAGTGATTGTTCTGTCTGAGTCTCTAGGACAGATTTGGAACTAGAAGGGACCTCTGAGGTCATCTACATTTCACAGGTGAGGAAGCTGAGAGAAGTTAATGGACTTCCCCATGGTCACACAGGTAGTCAAGGGCAGAAACAGAGTTTAAACCGAGGTCTTCTAACTTCCAAGTTCTTCCCATTCTACAATTCAGTCTTTCATACAGCCCTTCTCTAACCTGTAACCTGGGCTGGTCAAAGATAGAATGTCTCATGTCCCTTCTGTCTCCCTGCTCCTAGCTTTCTCCCTGAGTTATAATTATTTCCCATCATGGCCTGAGGCTTCAGACTTCTGACTTCTGACTTCTCTGGAGTCTTCTCCAAGGAAGAGAAAACAGAGCAAGTTATTGCTCCCAGATGCCTATTTAAATTTGTTTATAGTCAATGGAGTTTACCTTTCCAAAAGTGAAAAACCACAGCTTACACTTGGTCATTTATATTACCAATATTTATTCATGACCCAGGGCTCTGAGCTTGAGCTGACCAATCCTTGGGGCAGCCCTCACTCTCTGGCTGAATGATGATGAAACTTAGATTTTACTCTGAAAAAAGAAATCTCAGACTACTGGTTGGGCATAGCTTGTATCTAGGTCTCCACAGACACGGATAAAAAAAAACAGTGAGGGGGGAGGCACCAGATCTATGCAGTCACTCAAGGTAAAATACAAATTTGGTGACCTAACAGAAAGAACCAAAATTACAAAGAATTCACCTAGAAATGAAGATTTGTTGTCAGTTTTAGAAAACACTTCCTAACAATGAGAGTTTCCCAATAATATCCAAAGGTAGAATGGATTTCTGCAAGAGAGAATAAGTTCCCCTACTCTTCATTGGATTTTGTAGAGGGACTTCCTGCCCAGGACTGAACTAGTTATCATTCTCTGAGGTCCCTACCAACATTGAGAGCCTGTGATTTTATGTAGGCATAAATGCTTAGTAACCTCAAAATGCTAGGTTGTTGTTATATAGATGAATTCGATTTTAACTGCTCTGACCCTCAGCTAATCTATGTTTTTTAGACCTTGGACTTCCTATCCATCCCTCAATGTGACTTCTAAATCTCCCTGTGATGTTTGTTATCACTTGATGATTTGAGCTTACAAGACCCTTGTTTAGGGTCTCTCAAAAGACCCTTCAATGACCCTTGTTTCTTGCTGGCTTCTGTGTCCTCATTTTGGGTAGATATCACAAAGTGAAAAGCAGTGCCAAGCTAGGGCTCTATGACCTCCAATATCCTACTCCCACAGATCTGGTTAAGAACACAGCCTGGCACACAATTCTATTTCATTCTGATTGTTAAAAAAGCAAACTGCTAAAACCAGAAAGTCCAACAATACACTAAGTTTAATTACTAATTGTATAGTAATTATAGCATAGTAATTAAATTATGTCATAATTGTATTACAGTAGTTCAACTGGTTTGTTGATGTCCTTTGTTCTTGGAGAGGACCAAAATGACATCACTATGCTAGAGTCAAGTTACAGGGTATCCAACTGTGGCTAATCAGACCAATATGAGCTCGGAATGCTCTACCACCGGTTGGGCACAAATAGTCCATGTGAACATTTGAGGTGGATTCTCTAAGTCTGTGCATCTCACATTTCTTTTGAGCTAATTCAGTTCTGCTTTGTTCATAGAGCACAGCACCTTCTCTGATGAGGGTACACCATGCTGGGTGGTCATGGGACATGGGACATCTCCCATGTCACAAAATCAATCTCAAAGTTCATCAGAGAGACATTGAGAGTGTCCTTGTATCACTTCTTCTGACCACCATGTGAATGCTTAACCTGTGTGAGTTCTCCATAAAACAGTCTTTTAGGCAAGCATATATTTGGCATTTGAACAATGTGGCCAGCCCATTGGAGGGGGTAATAAACAGAAGGAATTAAGATGGCTAAGGCAAGATTAGCAGGATTAAGGGTGTTAGAGGGTGCCATAGTGCATAGAGCACCAGGCCTGGAGTCAGGAAGACTCATCTTCCTGAGTTCAAATCTGGCCTCAGACACTGACTAACTGTGTGACCCTAGACAAGTCACTTTACCCTGTTTGCCTCAGTTTCCTCACCTGTAAAATGAACTGGAGAAGAAAACGGCAAACCACTCCAGTATCTCTGTCAAGAAAGCCTCAAATTGAGTCATGAAGAGTTGGACACGACTGGAACAACTGAACAAAGCATTTATAGAACACTTTAAGGTTTGCAAAGAACCTTACCAATATCTGCTTTTATCCTCACAATAACCCAGGAAGGAAGCTGCTATTATTATCCCCATTTTGCAGATGAAGAAACTAAAACAAACCAAGATTAAGTGACTTGCTCAGAGTCATGCAACAGCTAAGTGTGTAAGGCTGGATTTGAATTCAGTTCTTCTTGATTTCAGGTTCAAAGTCTATCCACTGTGCTACCTAGCTAGCTTCTACCTGCTTTTCCAGAATTATTTCACATTACTCTCCTTTATACACTGTACATTCTAATTGGGACTACCAGTTGTTCCCCAAATTCAGCTTACCATCTCCCATGTCCTTGCCTTTGCATTGGTTTTTAAAGGCCTTTAAACTCTAGGCTGAGGAATCTATATTTTACCCTGGAGAGAATAGGGAACCACTGAAGGCTTTGTTCTGCTAAAGGCTTGTGTTGGTGGAGCAGCCTGAGTTTTCCATGCATTTTTCTCCTATGCAGTTGAACCAAGTGGCTGCCACACCCGTACATCAGCCTCAAAGTATAAACCAGGCCCAGAGACTTACCGGAGATGGATACATCCAGGGAAATCTGATCGTGAATCGTCAGTCTGCTTTACAGAACTACAAGGGAGTTTTTTCAACAATCGCCCGCAAAAACTAAAGAACCTAATACTCTTGGTGAAGCACTGGTATCAGCAGGTACAGTTCATCCCGGACTCTGATGGTTTTGAAAGCCCAAGTGGATCTGCTTTTAATTCCTTGTAACCAGAGTTGAGAATAGTTACATTACAGTGTTCAATTCTTTTTTTTTTTTTTTTTGCTTTTTGGTGAGTTGATCAGGGTTAAGTGACTTGCCCAGGGTCACACAGCTAGTAAGTACAGTGTTCAATTCTTGAGATAAAAATCGGATGGTAAGATAACAGGTATCCACAAGTCTTATCAAAATGTCCAATATGGCTCAAATAATAACAAAGTTCACTTGGACCTTACTGTTTTGGATAGGGTTTTAGTCAATTGAAGTTCAATATGGGCCAACAGGGTGATACAGTGACCAATAAATAAAATTGGATTTGAGTCTGCATGAATAGAAGCATATTGTCCATGAATAAGGGAGTGAGTACCAGCTGCACTCTGCTGTGATTAGACCATACATGGAGTGTTCTGTTTAGGTCTGGGGGCCATATTTTAGAAAAGACAAAGAAGCCATTCCTTGTATTTCCAAGGCCTTAGCACAGTATCTGGTATACAGTAGGCACTTAATAAATGCTTTTGTTAGTTTGACTTCAGAACAACTAGTATAGTAAGGGGTCTCAAGTTCATACTATAAGAGGAGAGGAAGAGGTAAATGGGAAGAGTTGCTGTTTTTAAGTATTTGAACACCCATCATTCAGAAAGTTAGCCAGTTCTTCTGGCCCCCAGAGGGCTAGTGCTGAGGGCCATGGGCTAGGCTGGGCTTGGTGGGGTTGGGTTGGAGAAAGGCTAATTAGGACTGAAGGAAGGGAAATTTTCCTAATAATTAGATCCATCCAGAATGGTAATGGGTTCCCCCCTCCACATCAAAAGTCTTCAAGAAATTAAAATCTATTCGGTTCAATTCAACTAATAATCTTGATAGCTAGCATTTATATAGCTATGGTTTGCAAAACATTTTACATACATCTATTCATTCAATTTTCACAACACCCCTGGAAGGGAGATGCTGTTATTATCCTCATTTTTACAAATGAAGAAACTGAGTTTGAGAGAGGTAAAGTTTATTGAGAGAGGTTAGGATCACACAGCTAATAAATACCTGAGACCATATCTGAACTCAGGTCTTTCTCACTCTTGGCCTCATGCTCTATCCACTGCACCACCCAGCAACATTTTCTTAAGTACTTACTAAGAGCCAGGCACAAAGCTAGGCATGGGGGATACAAAGACAGAAATGACAACCATTCCAGCTCTCAGGAGCTTCCAGTCCACTAGGGAGATAGCAAATTTATAGACAAGCAAATGCTAAGTAATTTCGAGGAGGAGAGAGAGTTGGCATCTGGAGGCACTGGGAGAGCTCAATGTCTCTTTGTCAGGTATTATGTACAAAAGACTCGGGTGCAGATGTGGGTGGTTCTATGATGCCGCCATTTTACCTGAGTTTGAGCTTATCCTTACAAAAAAGCCTCACTAACAACCCTATGGATAAAACCAACATTGCCATTTCTGTTTGGTACCAGAGCTCAGAGAAATCAACTTAGAAAAGGCTAAGAGCCCCTGCTCAGGGCCAGCACCCTTATCTGTAATTGGAGGAAATGAAGTCCCTGAGAGTCTGCAGGCCCCAAAGTAAACAGCCGGGTGCAGAGTCAGGTCTAGAAGCCTGGCCTGCCCATTGTTCTGAAAGTGTTATCTTGCCTTCACCTTCAGCAGGGGAATACTCTCTTCTAGTGACAGGCCTGGGTGATGTGGTCTGCCATAGGGCTTAGTGGGTGGGTGGGGCCCTCTATCTCCTCACTGATTGTCTTCCCATTCTCCTTCTGCAGTGCCAAAAGAGACTGAAAAAATATTCCTTTCCCCTACAATATGCTCTGGAGCTGCTAACAGTCTATGCCTGGGAGCAGGGGAGTGAAGCAGATGATTTCAACACAGCTGAAGGCATCCTAACAGTCCTGGAGCTGATTATGAAGTACAACAAACTTTGTATATACTGGACAGTCAATTACAACTTTGAGGATGAAACCATCAGGAATTACTTGCAGTCCCAGCTCCGAAAAGACAGGTACCAATGTCTTCACCATCCTCTTTCCCTTGAATTGTGGAAAAGGATGAAATAAAAATTTCCTGAGCAGACACCTAATCCATTGAATACTTTCCATGACCTCATCTAGAATCAGTAGACTGATTCTCTCAGGAACAAATCAAAATCAGAACCTCAGAATTTCAGAAGCAGAAGAAGCCTTACAAAATAATGATGCTAGGGGCAGCTAGGTGGCACAATGGATAGAATACCAGCCCTGAAGTCAGGAGGACCTGAGTTCAAATCTGGCGTCAGACCAAACACTTGACACTTACTAGCTGTGTGACCCTGGACAATTCACTTAACCCCAATTGCCTAAAATAAAGAAAAAAGAAAAAAGAAAAAAAAGAAAATAATGATGCTAACTGTCATATGACACCTTGCAACCTGAAAAAGGCTTTGTATATGTTACCTTAGTTAATACTCAAAAAAGCAGTCCTGATTTGAGGGTAATGCTGGATCACAGATATCAGAGAAGTCTACACTGGGTAGTTTAGGGTTGGATTTAGAGTCAGGAAAAGACTACATTCTAACCTCTCTCAATCTATTTCTTCATCTGCAAAATGGAAAAAAAAACAAAGTAAAATGGAGACAATAGCACCTACCACACAGGGTTGTTGTGAGGCTCCAAAGAAATAGTGTTTGGAAAACACTTTGCAAACTATAAATTTCTATAAACAAGTAAATTGTGTATAACTATTATGCCATTTTAGAGATGATGAAACTGAGGCTCAGAAAGTTTAAGTGAATTGCCCAAGGTCACACTGCTAGTCAGAGGCAGGATTAGAATGTAGATCTCTCTTGACTCCAATGAGAGCACTCATTTCTATTATACTATGATGCCTCTTAGAAATCAGTTAATACAGCCTCCTCATTTTAGAGGGAAGGAAACTGAATTGGAAGAAGGGGAAATGACTTCTCTAAGGTCACATAGCATGACGGATTCATGGCTAGAATCCAACTTTCTGCATTCCTGAAAATTTTCCCTTTGGGCTACTGGGAAGGGGGAGAAGAGTAGAGAGAAGAAAGAAAAAAAAGCCAACACCGCATTTATGCATAGGATCATAGACCTGGGGTTGAGAAGAACCTCAGAAGTCATTTAGTTCTAGATGCTAATTTTATGGATGAAGAAACTGAGTCACAAGTAGATTAAACCATTTGTCCAAGATTACACAGATAGTGTTAAAGATGGAATTTGAACCTAGGTTTGAGGACTCCAGAGACGGTACTCTTTCTATTGCCTGCCTGTTTTTGTTTGATTGCTTCAGTTATGTCCAACTTTTTGTAACCCCAATTGTGATTTTCTTGGCAAAGGTACTGGAGTGGTTTATTTTATCCTAATAATCATTTTTCCATTTGGGGAAACTAAAGCCCAGAGAAGGTGTGTGGTCCAATTTCACACAGGTAGTCAGAGCTACACTAGAACCCAGGACTTCTGAACTCCAGCCAAGGGCCTTCCTCTGTCCTACCCCAATCCTAGCATGCTTCCAAGGATCCTATTTTCTCCTGAGAAAGTTCATCCCTGATTCCTTTGCATGGATTTTTTTTAGGCCAATCATCCTAGATCCAGCAGACCCAACTAGTAATGTTAGTGGAACTGATCTGGAGCCCTGGGAACAGCTGGCTGAAGAAGCAAAAATCTGGTCATCTTCCAACTGTTTTATGAAGAATACTTCATCTTGGATGCCCTGGGATGTTCTGGTGAGAGAGAGAGAGAGAGAGAGAGAGAGAGAGAGAGAGAGAGACAGAGAGAGAGAGACAGAGAGAGAGAGAGAGAGACAGAGAGAGAGAGAGAGACAGAGATAGAGACAGAGACAGAGACAGGGACAGAGAGAGCATTCTAAATATGTCTTAATATTTGCTTCAGCAATATCCTGATCCCCTTCATGACAGATTACTGACTTCCATCATAGGACCTTAGCCATGAACCTCCTGCTCCCTCTCAATCATATCTCCCTAATGTTCTATTTTCCCCTTGATCCCTCTCTCCTGTCTTAGACTTCCTCCGCTGTCCCTAACCTTTGCCCTCCCAACTACTTCAAAAGACTGAACCTTAACGTCTTTAGTCAATCCAATCATGCTTTTGTCCCAGAAATCTAATTCCCTTTTCCCTACAGATGGATTGATCTTTACAGTTTATGACCTATCACCCACGCCAATCCACATCCTTACCACTCTGTTTCAAAATTTGGCTTGGATGGTTAATATTGCCATCCCCCAAAGGAAAAAAATCCCTTCATCTCTATTTTCTTTATATTTTCTATTTATTTATTTATATACCTCATGTTTTCCCCAGCCCAATGTAAAGTGAAGGCTGCTTTTTGGGCTTTAAAGGCGAAAGCTATTTTTTTTTAAAGTTGTGTTTTGCCATGTGAGTGCTAGCTGTTATTATTGTGGTCAGTAAAGCCCTCAGCAGCCTCTTAGTCAGGAGTGTGCTGGAGCCAGCTCAGACTGGCTGTGGAGAGCTTAGGAAGCTGAGGTTACAGTTGATAGAGTGCTGGACCTGGAGTCAGGAAGACCTGAGTTCAAATCCAGCCTCAGACTCTTATCAACTATATAACCTTGGGCAAGTCACACCCTCTGTTTTCCTTAGTTTCCTCTAGTGATAATAATAGCACCTAACATGAAGGGTTGTTGTAAGGATCAAATGAGATAATACTCGTAAAGTGCTTAGCATAGTGCTAGATACATAGTATAGCAGGGGCTACCTAATGTTAGCTATTATTATTATTAGCTCTAAGTTAAATTTTCAGTATGAGTATTAACATCTAGGAAGTTGGCAAACACTATAAATCAGGAATTCACTTATTGTTTTGTTGATTGTTTAGAATTAAAAAAGTTATAGAGAAAATATTAATAATACAGATTAAATTTTTAAAAAGTTGTGTTTTGCAAGTATATCATGGGTTGGAGAGACAACTCCTTATGCTTCATACACCTAATGCCCCACACATTGTCTAACATGTAGTAGGATCAATAGGCATTTAGTAATCTATCATGTGCAGGGAACTGTCCTAGGTGCTAGACATATAAATACAAAAGCCCATTAAGAGGCTTATATTTTGGAGATAGGAGGAGATAATTTAATTGTACAATGTTCTCTTGGTTCTGCTCACTTCACGTTTCCTTAAAATTAAGACTTTCTCTAATAAACCTTCTCTGACTAGCCAGCCTAACCCCTAACCCTAACCCCATAAACACTTATAAAACTCTTCTACAATTCTTCAGTTTTTCCTTCCTAAGGTTATTTGACACTTAGAGAGGAGGAAGGATGGGTCATGATATTGTATAGAATTTTTGCTTTCCGTTGTTGGTGTTTGTATGTATTCATTCATTATGCTTCCTCCATCAGACTGTAAGCTCCCCGAGGACAGAAACCATTCCTCTGGAGAGACTGATTTTTTTAGGGGATGAAGATTATCAGGCAAGATACTGGGTTACTTAATTCATGTGCTTTATCTGTTTCTTCTCTAGCCAGCATCTCTTTATGTAACTCGAGGCCATAAGCTTGATAAGTTCATCAATGATTTTCTCCAACCTACACAAAAATCCCTGGATCAGATTGGAGAAGCTGTGGACATCATCTTTAAGTTCCTGACAGAAAAATGCTTCAAAAATTCAACCACGAATGTTGGGAAAGCTGTGAAGGTGAGAATTGTTCTTCCAGTCCCACTCTTTAGGAAGTGATTCATCCTCTTTCTCTTCCATTCCTTCCATATACTCAGAGAGACTTGGCTCCCCAAAGACAACATCAAATTATTGTCCTTCCTCTCCAGTATTATATATACCTCCATTCACACCCCTCACACACTGGTTCTGGAGAGAGAATCAGAATATATTTTTTTCTCCTCACTATCAATTCCAAGCTCTTCCTTTACTACAATTACTCAGCAACCTCTCCTCCTTTGAAGTTCCTCCTATTAAAATTTTCTGCCCAATCCAGATCATGGCTGGCATTATGTCCTGATACCTAAGTCATCCTTACTCCTTTCCCAAGGAGTTTAACACCTGACCTCTCCTCCCCAACTTCTATCCTAATACTAGGGGACTTTAATATCCACTTAGATATTCTGTTTAACTCCTAAACCTCTCACCTCCATGACCTCTCAACTTCATGACCTACTCCTTTGCCCTAACCTCAGCTGCACCAAGGAACCCTAGTCCTGGATCTCACTGTAATCCTTCTCCTTAAATGAAAAACTCTGGCACTTCTCCATCTAATCATGATTTCCTATTTATTAACCTATTTCTTGCCCTCCTCATGACCTGCAAACTTTCCATCCCTCAATACTTTCTTGAGTCATTATTCCTGCTCTGACCCTCCTTTCAAATCTCAACCCTAGAGTTAACCAATGCCACTCCACATTGTCCTTTACTCTGAGATCTATTGTCCTTTTGTCCTATAACCCACTCATACCTTGCCAAATTTTAGCCCTAGATGATTCCCATCATCTGCCTTCTTCATTCCTATTCATGATATTGAATGGAGCTATAGAAGTCGTACAACTCTGCTGACTAGGTACATTACAAATTCACGTCATCAAACTTCAACTGGGCTCTCACTTGCAATGAGGCAATTCTTTTATTCCTCCCTAATTGATGTGATATTCTACTCCCTAAAGAAGCTATTTCAAACCTTCTTTTTTCTCTTCAGTCCTCCCACCAAGCTTTCCCCCACCCTATAGACTAAGGATATTACTTCTTATTTTACTGAGGAAAAAATGAGTTCCTTCCAAAGGAACTCCCTCTTCTTCCATTGACTTCATCTCAAAATCCCTTGATGCCATTTCCCTCTCTTGCCTCTTTTCCTCCTGCCTCTAGCAAAAAGGTAGCCCTTCTCTTTGTCAAGGCCAATCACTCTTCACATGCCTTTGATCCCATCCCTTCCCATTTTTTCCTGCATATTGTTCCTCTATATCCTCTCTCTCTCTCTCTCTCTCTCTCTCTCTCTCTCTCTCTCTCTCTCTTTCTCTCTCTCTCTCACACAGACAGACACACACACACACACCTTCAACCTCATTATCAAGTGGTTTCTTCCCTACTGCCTTCAAACATGTATAAATCTCCCCTATACTTAAAAAACCTTCACTAGACCCTTCCGTACTCTCAAGCTATCATCCTATATCCTCTCCTCCATTCTCAGTCAAATTCCCTGAAAAAATTTTGACACACACTGCCTCTACATCCTCTCATCTCCCTCATTCCTCGACTCTTTTTTATCTGACTCCTGATCTCAACACTTAATTAAAACTGCTCTTGCCAAAGTTACCAGTGACATCTTAATTGACAAAATGGTGGCCTTTTCTCAGCCCCCATCTTGCTTTAGCTACCTGATGCATTGGAATGTTGACTACCTTCTCCTAGATGCTTTTTTCTCTGTAACTTTTCATGACACAACTCTATTGGTTCTTCTCTCATATGCCTAAGTATTCCTCAGTCTTTTTGCTGGTACCTTTTCCATACCATGTCCCCTAACTTTGAATGTTCCCCAAAACTTGATCTTGGGCACTCTTCTCTCCTCTATGCTCTCCCATTGATCTCATCAGTTCCCATGTGTAATTATCACAACTACATAGATACCTAGATTTATATATCTAACCTCAGTCTCTCCTCTGAGAGACTGAGCTCCAGTCTAATTACCAACTTGCTCTTGGACATTTCAATCTGGATGTCCTAGTAACATATCAAACTCATCACATATAAAAAAATAACACTTTACCTTATTCCTCAAGCTCACTCCTCTTTCAAACTCTCCTATTTCTGTTGAAATTTTCTATCCACTATTCTTCTTTCTTCCAGGTTTATAACCTCAGCATCATCCTGTACTCCTCACTTTCACTCAATGCATATAATCCAACCAGTTGCCAAATCTTATCATTTCTACCTGTGTAATATCTCCTACATTTAATTCCTTGTCTCTATTCACACAGCTACCACTATAATTTAGGTCTTTAATCACCTCTCACCTAGATTATTCCAGTGGTCTTCTAATTGGTCCCCCATCTCAAGTCTCTCCTTATTTAAAGTTCTTACACAGAGCTTTCAAAGTGATTTATCTTAAGCAGAGATTTGACTATGTCACTTCCCTACTCAATGAACTCCATCAGCTCCCTATTACCCCTAAATTCCTATTTAGCTTTTAAAGTCTTTCACAGCCTGGCCCCAAACTATTTTTCCAATTTCATTGCACATTATGTGCGCTCGCATACTCCGCAATCCATCCAAACTGGTCTTTGATTCTGTGTCTTACAGATGATTCTATCTCCCACCTCTGTGCCTTTGCATTGGGCATCCTTCATGCCTGCAATGCTTTCCCTTCTTAATTCTACCACAGAGAATTCCTCTCTTCTTTGAAGGTACAGTTCAAGCTCTACTGTCTGCATAGAGCCTTTCCCAATACCTCTCTATCTGCTGTTGCCTTCCTTACTAAACTCTTCTGCATTTAGTTCTTTTGTATTCATTTTCATTTAGTCTCTTTATATTATTTGCATTTTATATGTGTGTGTATATATGCATATATATATTTTTTTTACTTGTCTCTTTTGTTAAAATGTCAACTTCTTGAAAATAAGGATTTATTTTTTGTATTTGTATTCCCAGAGGCTACCACAGTGACTGCACATAGTTATTTTAATTTTCATTTTAAAAATCAGTCAACAAGTATTTATTATGCACCTACTATGTGCTTGGAACTATGCCAGGCTCTGGGAGATAGAGGCACAAATGAAATAATCCCTACTCAAAAGGAACTTATATTCTAATTGGAGAGCCAAGTATATATTAAAAATATATAGCATAAATATAAAGTTAATAAATGTACATATATCCACGTATACAAAGTAACAAAATAACAAGTAGTTTGGGAAGGAAGACACTACCAGTTGGAAGGATTCTTCATGCAGTAGGTGGTGCCATGTAAATGGTGGCTGGAGAGCCAACCCAGAATTGCACGGGGTGCTAAGGAAGCTAATGGGACCTTAGGCTGCATGGAGAGATGCACAGTGTCCATAACCAGGTTTTTCCTGGTCAGGCCACATTTGAACCATTAGGCCATATCTGACCATTTGTCAGATATATTATAGAAAGGAATTCTTGTGCAAGTATGGGTTGGATTCATAGGTCAGTCTTAGGATTCTGATCTAAAAGGAACCTATCTTTTAATGGTTTTAATGGTTTAATGAGGTCCAGAGATATTAAGGGATTTGCCTAAGGTCACACAGGAAGTAGAGTTAGGATGTCTTTCAACTCTGGATCATGAGGAAAGATGACCTACCATTTTTCTTTCCCATTAGGGTGGATCCACTGCCAAAGGCACAACCCTGAGAAGTACCTCTGAGGCTGACTGGAGGCTGTGCCCAAGAGGCTCTGATGCAGACTTAGTTGTTTTCCTCAACTGCTTCACAAACTACAGTGATCAAATTGCCAACAGGTCCGCTATCATCAAGGAAATTCAGAAGCAACTAGAAGAGTATCAGCTGAAGGAGCAGTTTGAAATAGAGTTTAAGGTCACAAAATGGAAGAACCCACGAGTGCTCAGCTTTACCTTGAAATCCAAACTTCTTAACCGGTGCCAAGAATTTGATTTGCTGCCAGCCTTCGATGCCTTGGGTGAGACTTTCCCTGGCCTTGGCTTCTAGGAGAGAAGGACAGGAGAGAGAGAGAGAGAGAGAGAGAGAGAGAGAGAGAGAGAGAGAGAGAGAGAGAGAGAGAGAGGGAGAGAGAGAGAGAGAGAGAGAGAGAGAGAGAGAGAGAGAGAGAGAGGGAGAGAGAGAGAGAGAGAAACACAATATTATCAATACTACACTCCCCTTTAAGCACAAAGGAGTCAAGATAGTAATTACAAAACATATTGACTAATGGTACTGTCATACTTGAGATTGTCATAAACTATGGGAATTTATATACATCATTGGGAATAATGGTTGCTAATTCCATAATTTCTTTTAATTGTCTTCCTCTAATAACTGTGTCCCCTCAAGAGACTCTGGAGTTCTTCCAGAGTTCCCTCAGGAGACTCTGGTACAGTATGCCCTGGGATACCATGCTTGGGTTTTCCAGGTTTACCAGGTCAGGGAATGAGCCTAGAAAATGGCCCCAAAGTGTTCCTGATCCCTTAAGGCTATGAAATTATGATTCCATAAACTTTAGACACCCAACCCACCAGGGTTGTCTCCCTCCTCCCTGCCTCCTTAGGCTGTGAGCCCAGACTGATGACCACCAGCAAGATTTAGACTACCAATGTTCTCCACTAAAAAAGGCCCTATGGGCTCTTCCAGGGCAGGGACCCCTTCTTAGAGTCAGGTACTAGGAGTATAAAACAGAATACTGGCCACCCATAGGGCTCAATAAATAATTAATGACTTTCCCTTCCCTTCCCTTTCCTTTCTTCTCTTTCTTGATAACTTTATCAATACCATAGGTTGAACTATTATTATGCACCTACTATGTGCTTGGAACTATGCCAGGCTCTGGGAGATAGAGGCACAAATGAAATGATCCCTACTCAAAAGGAACTCATATTCTAATTGGAGAGCCAAGTATATATTAAAAATATATAGCATAAATATAGAGTTAATAAATGTACATATATCTACATATACAAAGTAACAAAATAACAGGTAGTTTGGGAAGGAAGACACTACCAGTTGGAAGGATTCTTCATGCAGTAGATGGTGCCATGTAAATGGTGGCTGGAAAGCCAACCCAGAATTGGAGCTCACAGTCTAAGGAGGGAGATGATATGCAAACACCTATGTAAAAACATGATATATACAGGATAAATTGGAGATAATCAAAAAAGAGAAGGTGCAAGTATTAAACAGGATCAAGAAAGCATTGTTGCAGAAGGTGAGATTTTAACTGAGACTTGAAAGAAGTCATGAAAGCTAAGAGGCAGAGATGATGAGGGAGAGAATTTCAGGCATGGGAGACAGTTAGGAGACAGAGTGTGTTATTCAAGGAACAGAAAGAAGGCCATTGTCACTGGATCGTACAGTACATGTGGGGATAATGAGTTGTTATTAATAACAGCATCTATATTTGCATAGTTCTCCATTAAAGGCTACCCCATTAAAGCTTCAATGTGGTTTGGAAATGACCCTCAATTCTAGACAGTCATCCTAGTCAATTCTAGAATGTAAGCCCTGACAGTTCCAATGAAGCTGGAAAGCCCTTAATTATGGGCTGCACATCTGTGGTGCACAAATTAGCCCAGTTAGGCCTGGAGAAGCTTGAGCCCAGATGGGCTGCAGGGTGTTGAATTTTTCAGCCACAGCAACTCTAAGACCACCTACCAAACTGTATAGGGATTGCACTCCCCATCATCGGAGGAGATATCCACACTAATGAAATCACTGCTTCCTGAAGTATATTTACATGGACTTTATACTTTTCAAACTATTTTTATATACATTATCTCATAACTTAGAAGAAAGTCACTATATCTAATCCTTGTCAATTCTACAACATTACTAGGCATAGTGCACATTCTTGTCTTTCAGAGTATCTTAAAGCTAAGAGTGAGTGTATGGTTTTGGCCACCTGTGCTACTGCTGATCCAAAGTCTGTAGTACTAGAATGTTATCCAAAGGTACTCTGAAAGCTATATAGCGCATTTTATTATTATCATTTTTTCCATGATAGGTCCACGAGTTTCAAAATCAAAACCAGACCCTACGATTTATATCAATCTCATCAAATCATCCGAAAGCAACAATGGGGGGGAATTCTCCACCTGTTTCACAGAACTGCAAAGAGACTTCATCAGACCTCGTCCCACCAAGCTTAAGAATCTTATCCGCCTGATGAAGCACTGGTACAAACAGGTAAATTTCTTTCTTTTTTTTTTTTTTTCAGGCAATTGGGGTTAAGTGACTTGCCCAGGTCACACAGCTAGTAAGTGTCAAGTGTTTGGTCTGAGATCGGATTTGAACTCAGGTCCGCCTGACTTCAGGGCCAGTGCTCTATCCACTGTGCCACCTAGCTGCCCCTTCAAACAAGTAAATTTCTTTAAATAACCCTTCTAGTTTTCACATTAATCATGATACCAATGATATTCAGAATTTGCTGTTTATGATGTATTTCTAGATTGTGTTTATAGTTTACAAAGGGCTCTCCTCACAGCAAATTTGTGGGGGCAGGTAATGCAAACATTGTGACCTCCATTTTATAGATAAGGACACTGAGGGTCGTGGAGGTGAGCTTGTATCAAAGTCAATTCAAAGTCAGATATCCTGGATTCAGATCTATCAGTCTTTCCACTTCAGCACAAAAATACCTGCCTAACCATAGGGCACCACCAGGTGCTGAGCCACAAGTTCAGGGAGCTGTAGGGACAGAAGCAAGCAGTCACTTTGGGGGTGCTCAAGTGCCTTTGCAGCATATTTTTACTCCCAAGCATCTTTAAAGGTTCCCTAGTACCAACTCCAATGGTGTAAGTCACACCTAAAAGTTTGTGGTACCACTTTCCTGCCACCTAATTGATTTCAATGAACATTTATCAGGGACCTACTATGTGGAAGGCCTTGAGCACAAATAAGGTAGCCCTTGACCTCAAGATGATTAGGTTCTACTGGCAAGGATGGGGGTGGAGGGATACAATGTGAACACAATTAAGCAAACACAAAATGACAAGAAGTCATTTCAAGGGGGTGAGAGTGATCATCCCTGGAAAATATCCACAAACACCTCTTGAGGCACTGGGCTGTTCTTTGAATAAAACTAAGGACTGGCTCTATGAGGTTGAGCTGAGGAGGTATTCCTCAGCATTACTAACATGAACAATGTCCTGGAAAAAGGCAGACAGGTGAGAGGTGGGTCATGTGGGGATCATTAATAAGCCAACCTGACTAGAATGGAGAGTGTATGAATGATAGCAATTGTAAATAAGACTAGAAAAGGAGGTGAAACTCTGACTGTGTTTTCCCAAAAAGAAGAACATTTCACATTAAACATTTCTATAATTATTCATTGGCTGAGCCCCAAAGGCCAGGTGCCAGGACAAATGCAAGTTCAGTCTTGTTATGAAAATAAGTGTAGGGTCCTAAAAGAAATTATCTCAAGTTGTCCAAGTCCATAGTCACAGCCACATCAGGAAGTTAACTTTTCCCAGAACAAGCCAAGAAAGTCTGCAAAAAAAAAAAAAAAGAAGTCTGCAAACACTGGGGTGGGAGGCTGACCAGGAACGCAACCTGGTGGAAGTGGCATTGGCCACAGACTATGGAGTAGCAGCATCAGTGCCAAGGGATGTTAAGGGGACTGAACACCTGGTCATCAAGAGATTCCAGGGGACCCCTGTGATAATACTAGGAGCAGGAGCAGGTACAATTTAGCACCTCTGTCAACTATTACCCAGTTCCAGGTCTCAGTTCTAGGGTAGAGAGGAGCAGTTACAGTCATGAGGGAGCAAAAGCTCTATCTACATAACCAGAATGCAGACCAGGATAGCAGTGACGAGACCTCTCCCTGGATCACACTACGTTTGAAGAAGCAAAAATTTACAGGCTCCCAGATCAAGCTGTGAAAGCAGCAGGACAAAAAAGACAGAAATTCTGGCCAGTCATTCCCCTCAGAGGTGAGCAGAGCCCAACTCTAACTTAAAACTCAAGGTGAAGAAACAGACTGAAAGAAAATGAGCAAACAATGAATCTGCCCATAAAAACTACAATGGTGACAAAGAAGGTCAAGACACAAACTCAGAAGAAGACAATAACTTGAAAACATATATAAGCAAAGCCTCAAGGAAAAATGCAGATTGGACATAAGCCCAACAACAATTCCTAGAATAGCTAAAGAAAAGGTTTTTTAAAAAGCAAAAAAAAATTAAAAATCAAATAAGTATAGAGGAAAATCAGAAAAAAAATGAAAGCACTTCAAGAAAATTATGAAAAGAGAACTGGTAATAGAGGCACAAAAATATAGAGTAAATATAGAGGTAATAGAAGTGTGGTAATTAACAGAGGCACAAAAATACTGAAGAGAATACCTCCTCAAAAATTAGAACTAGTCAAGTGGAAAGATAATGACTTCATGAGACATCAAGAAACAATAAAACAAATCAAAATGCTGGAGAAAAAAAGAGAAAGAAGAAAATTTGAAATATTTCACAGGAAAAAAAAACAACTGACCTGGAATATAGATTGAGGAGAGATGCTTTATGAATTATTGGACTACCTGAAAACCATTATAAAAAAAAAGAGTCAAACATCATATTTCCAGAAATTTTGAAGGGAAACTGACCTGAGATCTTAGAACCAGATAGCAAAGTAGAAATTGAAAGAATCCAATGATCACCTACTGAAAGAAATCCCAAAATAAAAATTTCCAGAAATATTATAGTCAAAACCCAGAACTGTCAGGTCAAGGAGAAAATACTGAAAATAACCAGAAAGAATTCATTCAAATATCATAAAAGTCACAGTCAGGATTTGACAGATTTAGCAGTTTCCACTATAAAGGGGTGCAGGGTTTGGAAGATGATTTTCTGGAAGGCAAAAGAGATAGAATTACAACTAATACCTAGCAAAACCGACATTTAATGAAACATAGAGCTTTCAAGCATTCCTGATGAAAAGTTCAGAACTGAATAGATAATTTGATGTTCAAATACAAGACTCAAGAGAGGCATAAAAAGGTAAGCGTAAGTGAGAAATCATAAGAGGAATATGATACATGTAACCTCTAAGAACTTTATCATTATTAGGTAGTTAGAAGAAGTCAACTTAGACAGAGGACATGGGTGTGAGTCTATTATGTCAGCATGAACTCAAAAGAAGAGTGAAAGGATGAAAAAGAGAGATGCACTGAGAGAAGAGGGAGAGGAGAAGGATAGAGGAAATTATCTTACATAAAATAGAGGTACAGGGAAGAGTTTTTACAATAGAGGGGAATGTGAAGTCGGGGAGAAGGAGCAGGCAATAGATTGGTTCAAGGAGGGAAAAATATATATACACACAGAGTTGGGTGTAGAAATTCATCTTATCCAACAAGGAAGTAGGAGGGAAGGGGGCTAAGAGAAAGAGGAAGGGGTAGAATGATAAGAGGAAGGTACATAAAAGGAGGTGATGGTCAAAAGCAAAACAGACTTTTCAGGAGGGGGCAGGGTAAAAAGAGGAGAATAAATATGGAGAGACTAGGATTGAGGGAAATACATAGCAATCATAACTGTGAGTGTGAATGGAATGAGCTCATTCATAAAATGGAAATAAGGGGTTAAAGAAGAATCTATTATGCTTTTAAAAAAAAAAAAAAGGCAGGTTAACAATAACCAGCCCTGGAGTCAGAAGAACCTGAGTTCAAATTCACTTACTAGCTATGTGACCCTGGGCAAGTCACTTAACCCCAATTGTCCCCCTAAAAAAGGCAGGTTAACAATAATGATCTCAGGCAAAGCAAAAGCAAAAATCAACCTAATTAAAAGGGATAATCAAGGAAACTACATTTTACTTTTTTTTAAAAAAATGTACCATATATAATGAATGAATATCAATACTGATGATATATGCAGCAAATGGTATAACAGCCAAATTCCTGAAGAAAAAGTTAAATGGGTTACAGAAGGAAATAGACAGTAAATCTATAGTAGTAGGGAACTCACTTTACCCCCATCAGACCTAGATGAATCTAACCATGAAATAAACATGAAAGACATTAAGGACATTAAGGACAGGAATAGAATTTTAGAAAAGTTAGTTATGACAAACCTCTGGAAAATATTGAATGGGAATAGAAAAGAGCATACCTATTTCACAGCTATGCATATAACCTTCACAAAACTAACCATGAATTAGAGCATAAAACTTCAAAAACAAATTCAGAAAAGCAGAAGTATTAAATTCATCCTTTCTAGACCATAATGCAATAAAGATTATATTCAATAAAAGGTCTTTAAAGCATAGAATAAAAATTAATAGGAAACTATGTAATCTAATTCTAAAGAATAAGTGGGTCAAAGAACAAATATAGAAGCAATCAATAATTTCATTAAAGATAATGACAATTATGAAACTGCATACTGAAGTTTGTGGGATTCAGCCAAAACAACACTGAGGAAATTTTATATCTCAAAATATGCACGTCAATAAAAAAAGAGAGCAGACCAATGAATTGGGATGCAACTAAAAAACAACTAGAAAAAAATAAAATTCTCATTTAAACACTGAAATATAAATCCTAAAAATTAAAAGAGAATAATAAAATTGAAAGTTAAAGAAATCATTTAACTAATAAGTAAAACTAGGAACTGATTTTATTGGGAAATGATAGATAAACCATTGACTAATTTGATTTTTAAAAAGAAAGAAGCCAGATTACCAGTATCAAAAATGAAAAGGGTGAATTCACAGCCACTGAAGACAAAATTAAAGCAATTATTAGAAGCTATTTTGCCCAACTTTATGCCAATAAAACTGACAAGCTAAATTAAATGGGTGAATATTTACAAAAATATAAGCACAATTGACCATATTAACAACAAAGATGATATGATATGATATGATCAAAGCAACTAATATAGAACAAGCTTTTGACAAAATACAACACTAATTCCTGTTTAAAAAAATGAGAAAGCATAGGAATAAATGGAACTTTTATTAAAATTATAAATAATATCTGTCTAAAACCAACCAAGAACAAGCATTACCTAGGATAAACTAGAAACCTTTCCAGTAAGGTCAGGGATGAAGCAATGATGTCTTTTATCACCATTGTTATTTAGTATTGTACTGAAAATGCTAGTCATAGTAATGAGACAAGAAAATAATTTGAAGGAATAAGCACAGGCAATGAGAAAACAAAACTCATTTTTTGCAGATGGTATGATAGTATA